GCCGAGGAGGGGCGATCAAATCTCCAGAGCAACAGGATACCGCATAGAAACGGACTACGAGACGCGCCACGGTGACTGTCTACGTTTCGGAACCCTCAACTGCCGCTCGCTCGCTTCCCGATGCAGCAAAAAGAGCAATTGCTCGCGGCAAACCGAAACGCACTCATCGACATAGTGACGCTCCAGGAAACAAAAATCTCAAGACCAGCTGTAAACTTGGGCAAACGGTGAACTTCTCATCCTCGGCCACAAAAGTCCCTGGGAAGAACGTTGGCGGCGTCGGTTTTCCTCGTCACCTTGTCGACTCGCACGAAATCGTCAATGCCCGTCTCGGCATCCCTCCGACTCAACCTAGGAAAGCGAGGAAGACTCACCATCATCAACGTCTACTCGCCGACCTCACCAGAAGCCGAATCCGACAAGACTAAAAGGGAAGAGAAGGAAAAGGAGCTTGACGACTTCTACCGGAAGCTCGAGGAAACGATCCAACGGGAGAAGGCGTACTACATCTTCGTCCTGGGTGACTTCAACGCGAAAATGGGCAAGTACACCACTCCCTCGATTCGTCACGGGAAGCATGGACTCGGAGCTCGGAGCCACAACGGCGAACGCCTAGCCGATCTTCTCAACTCCAGAAGGCTCTACCACGGCAACTCTCTCTTCGAGAAGCCTGATCAGAGACGCTGGACCTGGAAATCGCCCAACGGAGACACCACCAACGAGATCGACCACATTCTGGCCAACCGGAAATGGTCTCTCCTCGACGTTGCCGTACTACCCAGTTTCGACGTTGGATCCGACCATCGACTCGTTCGCGCCAAGGTCCGTCTGAACCAGAAGTTCCTGAAGAAAGACTACCACCAGCCATCGAGACCGAGAAGACCAACCTACGACATCACCACGTTGGAGGAGAATATCTCGGAGCACGACTGGCAGCTTCTCGACGACCCGGACAGCCGACTACGAATCCCTCTGCAATGGCCTCATCAGGTGTGCAGAAACTGCAGCTCGACAGACCTTGTCTCTACCGCCGCGACTCGACCAACGAGCGAAAGATCTGCTGCGAAGAAGAGAGAAGTCAAACGAGAGACCCGCAGGCCACGCACCTAGAGCGTCTGACGATCGACAAAGCCTGCAGAATGGCCCGTGCAAGAGTCTCTCGCCAACCGACGCAGGAGTGCACTTCTTCAGACAGCTGAGAAACGTCGAAGCCTCAAGAAGAAGAAGTTCGAGCTCGTCGACGAGCGAACGGTGATGACAGCACTGAAGGACGAGAACGGCCAGCTGAAGACGTCAGGAACGAGATGGAGCGCCTGACGGTCGACTTCTACACGAAACTCTTCCGAAGCGACGTTCCCGTCCCCAGAACACCAACGCCGCCACCAGAAGATGAACCCCCGATCCTTCCCGAAGAAGTCAAGTACGCCATCAGGAAGCTAAAAGGTCGGAACGGCCGCAGGACTCGACAACATCTCATCCGAACTGCTGAAGACTGGAGGAGACTCGCTGTACCGACTACTTGCCCGGCACTTCTCCAAGTACCTGAGCGAAGCCTCTATTCCTGAACAATGGAAAACGTCAAGACGATCCTCATTCCGAAGAAGGGCGACCTCACCGACCTGAACAACTTCAGACCGATCTCCCTCTTATCGGTCGTCTACAAGTTGTTCACCAAGGTCATCGTCAACAGACTAGAGAAGCAACTCGACAACTTCCAACCGCCTTCGCAGGCTGGCTTCCGACGCAACTACTCTTGCCTTCGACCACATCCACGCCTTCGTCGACTACAACAAGGCCTTCGACAGCGTGGAGATCAACGCCGTTTTGAATGCTCTTGCCTCCGCCGGAGTCGCCACGAAGTACGTCGAGCTGATTGCCAGCAGCAACGAGGGAACGTCCACGACCATCCAGCTGTTCGACAAGAAGCTTTTGATCCCCATCAGGAAAGGTGTTCGCCAGGGAGATACCATCTCCCCCAAGTTGTTCTGCACCCCACTAGAAGACGCGATGCGCCAACTTGGATGGGACGAAGAGCACGACTGGGAGGACAGTACAGACATCAGAGGCATCAACATCGACGGCAAGGTCCTCACAAACCTCCGCTTCGCCGACGACATCGTACTCTTCTCAAGCTCCACCACCGAACTGTCCTCCATGCTGAACGATCTGGACGAAGTCGGCAAGAAGATCGGCCTTAAGATGAACGTCAAGAAGACGCAGTGGATGAAGAACCGCTTCTGCGACCAAGGCAAAAGTCACCTTTGAGGGGCCGCGACCTTCAGGAGGTCACATCCTACATCTACCTTGGCCGGGAAGTAAACATGGTGAACGACCTGCAAGCAGAGATCGGCAGACGCAAACGCGCTGGATGGGCCGCCTTCAACTCCATCAAAGAAGTCACGTCAGCTGAAAGACCCGAAACTGCGAGCTCACATCTTCGAAGCGTCGATAATCCCTGCCATCCCCTACGGTACCGAAGTTTGGCCTGACACGAAAAAAAATGCAACCGCCCTACGAACTTCCTACCGCGCACTGGAACGTGCTCTCATCGACACCACTCGCTTCGAGCAGTGGAAAAAAGAACAAAGGAGCACAGACCTCTGTCAACTATCCCAAATCCGGGATCTAGAAGAGCACATACAACGCGGGAAACATCGTTGGGGCGGCCACGTCATCCGCAGTCAAGACGACCGCTGGTCCACGAGATTAACACACTGGATTTCGAGAAACATCAAGCGCCCACTCGGGCGCCCACCGACTGAGTGGACGGACTACTTCCGCAAGAACATCAGTCAGCCAGGCCGCCACTGGATGGCCGTCGCGCAAAGACCGAGCCGCCTGGAGAACGTGTGGTCCACGCTGAGAACATCAGCAAAGATGGACCATCAAAGTATCAAAGTAAAAAGTAAGTAATTGCCAAAGCCGGCCTACTTGCTTTCTTTCGCCAACTCGTTAGCCATTTCTTGGATCTTCTGCGTACTGGATGCAAACAGCACGATGTCATCAGCAAAACGGAGGTGCGACAAAAGTTGTCCCGTTCACAGAGAATCCATAGTTCTGCCAGTCGAGGCCTTCGAAAAATGTGCTCGAGGGTGGCGTTGAACAAATCTGGAGAAATAGTGTCTCCCTTGACGCACGCCTTTCAGTATCCGAACTGGTACATCTTGTCCTCGAATTCTGGCAAAGATTTCTGCTTCTTCGTAGATGTTTTTCAGAGTCATATCAATCTTCAGAATGAACTCCACACTCGCTGAGAGCCGTCCAGAGAGAACCGAACTCCACAGAATCGAAAGCTTTCTTGTAGTCGACGAACATCAGGTACAAGGGGAATTTGTATTTCTGAGACTTCTGGATCATCTCGGTCACGACCAGGGTGTTTTCTGCCGTCGAAATCCAGATCGGAAACCAGTTTGCTCTATGGGTTGAGCAGCTTCCAGTTCACGCGTAGCTCTTCTTCGAAGTATCGAGGTGAACAGTTTGTACACGACGGACAGTAGTGCTACTGGGCGGTAGTTTCCTATGTCTAGGCAGTTTCCTTTCTTGTGTAGCAGTCGCACGACAGAGTCCGGCCTTGAATGTGGAGCTCTTTCATTTACGAGGCTTTCGTTGAAGATCGTCACTAGGTGTGGAACGACGATGTCTTCACACGCGAAGCATCTCCTGAGTGACCATATCCGGCCCAGAAGCTTTTGTTTCTTTTTGGCTTTCTTCAACGCCGCACGAACTTTGTCAGCCAGTATCGGAGGGAAGTCTTCTTGCGATGGTAAGACCAGGGCTGGAGAACTGTCCAACGAGGTGTAGAGTATTATAGAACTGCTGAACAGTTTCCGCGACATCTTCTTTGACGCAGCAATCGTTCCATCTTCTCGTTGGGGTTGCGTCAGAGCGGTTGAACAGACTTGGCTTTCTTTCATAACCTTTAGAACGCTTCGATGTTTTTCAATGGCATTGTCAATCTTCGAGTGACGTCTTCTTTCAATGTCATCCTTTATCGAGATGCGGAGTGCTTTGTTAGTTAAGCAGAACTCGAGTCGACCAGAAGGCGTGTTGGTTTTTCGACATAAGGAGATGACGTTTCTTGAAAGAGCCCTTGAGTCTTCGTGGAGAACCGACAAGGGATCGGTTCGTAAGTCGTTGCAACTTTTGAAGCTCTGCTCATAACGTTTCTCAATCTTTCATACGTATGTGGTCTGTGTTCGTTGGATATTTGTTCGACGGCATACGCGAAGAGAGATTTGTGAAAAACACGCTTAGAGGTGGCGCGTTTATTCACGTGACGTGAGCTCAGCTTCATTTTTGCTCGTATGAGGCGGTGGTCGGTGATATACTGGAAATTGGCAATAACATCGACGTCGTAGATCGGGCAACGACGGTCCGCGATGACGTAGTCTATTGAATTGTGTGTGATGCCATCGGGAGATTTCCAGGACCACTTTCTCTTAACACGCTTTTTGAAAAAGGTGTTCCAGATCCTCAGCCTATTCGCCTCGCAGAACTCAAAAAGGTTACCCCACGGTTATTACGGACTCCAACGCCATGGCAACCGAGAGAGGATTCGGTTTCGATCTTACTGCCAACTTTTGCATTAAAGTCACCTAAAGTCAAGGAATAAGTCACGTCCGCCCCCGGGTGCCGATCACGACGTTGGAGGTGACTCAGAGCCTCCTCTAGGTCCTCTAGTAACATTGAACATACCTCATCGGCATAATCCGTGGTTGGAGCGTACACTTAAAAGATTCTTATACGTTCTTATTTGATCTTGACATCGATGAAAGCGAGGCGATCGTTAACAGGTGTGAACTCAACACTGGCAGCCAAGTCTTTGTGCACAAGGCACCCTACTCCTACTTGAGATGATGTTCCGTGGTAGTAGAGTATGTGCTTGGTGTCATTCAAGACGAGGCTACCAGTGCCGGCCCGGCGAGAATTCGCAGAGGCCTAGGATGTCAAAGTTCACCAACCTGACCGCGTTCTCGAGGACTACGAGTCTTTCGTTGGAGAGCAATGTTCTCACGTTGGGCGTTCCAAAAACAGGTGCTTTTGACATGTAGGGGCAGTACGACGTCCAGCTTGTCCAGGGCTTGCGGACGACGGATTATCAACTCTCCGAGCGAGAGCGGAAGAGAGACCGACCGCTCGGCGTGAAGAAATGAGTTATTTTTGATACAATTACACTATAAAACAAAAACGCGCTCTGAAATGTCATATAACTTCGTCAGGCCAGTCTAAAAGTCCAGTTCAAAAATCTCTCGCAAGGGGCGAGTATCAAAAACCGCAAAAACTTTCTGACCAACCCTAATAGTCAAATGAGTTACCGCCTGAAACCTGGAATCAACAAAACTGAGAAACCGAAACATTTCAAAAATGTTTGCTTTAAGCTAGAAAACAGTTCTGACGCCTTTTCCGCTGGAGACCGAGGCTTCCTCAGCTGGACCATTGTTTACGTTCCCTCGTTGCACGTCTCGATGAAGTCAATGCAACGTGAAGATACTCCGGCTGTTACGAGCGAGGTTTAGAACCGCGTTGATCTCGGCACTGTCGACGGCTTTCCGATAGTCGACAAAGGCCATGGCCAGGGAAGGTGGTACTCCCGATGTCGTTCTATGACTCGGGTCAAGGCGTCGATATGTCCGGACGTTGGTTGGGTTGGTAGTCGTCGAGCTTCTTTTCCCGTCTTCTGACAATGACCTTCGTGAACAACTTGTAAACGACTAATAAAGAGTAAGATTGTTCGGAAGTTATTCAGATTGGTCAGATCGCCTTTCTTCGGTATGAGGATGGTTTTTGACCCTTTCTATTGGTCCGGGATGACAGAAAATTTGAAAAATCGTGAAGAAATTGGTATTTATGGTTTTCCACATCTGAGTCGACTATGTCTCAACTTCCTGAGTGCAAAATTTTTAATGCTCAAATGCTGTCATTTCCGGTCAAAGTCATTTCGAAAAATTTATGTATATATTAGCAATAAAAAGTAGTTCAGGTGCCTCAAATCCTATTCAGCTCAAAATTTTATATTCGCTTGGCCTAAAAAATTGGATATCTGTTTTGTTTCGCTTGGCCTTAGTACTGGGGGAAAATTTTCCAGTTAGACTCTCTCGAACTACAAACACTGCCAGGCGAACTACCATGAAAACAGTAAAAAAAAAAGTTTTTATTCCGATTTGTTTTCTTCAAAATCAGTAATATATCAATAGTTAAATTGAAGCGATTAATGAGCAATTAAGAATATGGATTATTTCGTATTATACACCGCGTTCAATAAGGATAGGACCCCCCTCGATTTTGGACTTTTTGGCAAAATACGGAAAGATATCAAAAATCTGAGAGTGCCATTCGATTCAGAGTACACTTTTTTTGAGTTTGCATCAAAATATTCGAGCGAATGATTTTTTCCAGTACTTTGAATGAACTTATCCTATTAAAAGAGACATTTTAACATTCAGAAAAACAAAAAGAAGCTTGAAAACATTCGCTTAAAAGTTAGAAAACCAGTTGCAAGACGTTGTATCGTGACCAAATTTCAGACTGTCGTCGTTTTCGACCGTTTTTCTTTCTGTATAAAGCCGACTGGCAGTTCAACTTTTTCTTTTTTGAAAATTCTCAAAGGTGCTATGAGCTTGAGAAAATGTAGAGAAAATGGTACCCACGCTCATCGAAGGTTTTGTTTCAAATAGAGCGTTTGGCGGGTTTTTAGTTTTGTCAACAATATAAAGCATAAAAACGTGCAATAAAACAATTTCTACTAGAATTAGAACTTTTTATATGATTTATTTATATGTACCTCAAAAAGTTCGAGTAGCAGTCGGAAGGGTGTTTTTTCCTTTGATTTTCGAGGATCGCCAATTCTTACCCAATCCAACTAAGTGTCTTTTTTTTGACTACATGCAAAAAGAAAAACGGTCGAAAACGACGACAGTCTGAAATTCGGTCATGATACACCATCTTGTAACTGGTTTTCTAACTTTTAAAAGAATGCTTTTCAAACTTTTTTTGTTTTTCTTTTAAATGTTAAAATGTCTCTATCAATAAGATAAGTTCATTCAAAGTACTGTAAAAAATCATTCGCTTGAATATTTTGATGCAAACTCAAAAAAAGTCTTTTTTCCCTATTTTCGATGAATGTTTAAACCTGGAATATATGGAAGGAAAACCGTAAAACAAAAAAACCACTCATCAAAAAGAGAAATTGACCAAAAACCACCAATGAAAGTCAAAATTTTCCAGGTGGTCCTATCCTTATTGAACGAAGTGGAAGGGACCTTGATGCAGTTGACCAAATCATTTCTGAGAAGCGCTTATTTTTTACTTGTGTTGAAATTTTTCCTTTTATTTTTGATTTCATATTAACACTGTGAGTGGGGGACCACAGCATTTCCAGTAATTATGAATCAAGCAATTTTATTTTCAAATCATCCGAAAAGCGAAAATAATCAAAAGTTTCAGAGAAAAAATGATTGCTGATAGAAGAGAAACGAAACTTACTATTCATGCAAATCGAAAACTTTTTTGAAAAGCTATTTCTGCTCTGACCATTCCTTTTCTCAATCACCCGAGTATTCATTTTAACCAAAACTGACGGGAATTTGAACTTAGAAAGTTTTATATACATTAGAAACATATTAAGTTGGTGCGTAATTCTTGATAGTTTTTTTTTTCAAAAATACCTAGATATACTTCAGTTTTCTTCAGGAAGCTGAGGTTTCTGCAGATTATGTTATACTTGTTCACCTTTCATTTACGAAAAAACAGAGTAGATCTACAACACTAATCAGTGATAAAAGTCGGAATGCGCAAGCCAGGACAAATCCACATTTGCTCTTAATATTTTCATGTCCTCATTCTGAAAAACCCGCAGTCGCCGTCCATCGAAACTTTCTGTATGTAATTTTTGGAGTCTTTCCTTTGCCATACAATGATTAGCCATTACAAGAATGTCGGCAACGTCGGTTTTCTCTCGTCGAAAATCCTCCTCTGGGTCAGCTGGTCGCGTTGCATTTCGATGCCCTGCGCTCCGCAATGGAGGCACTGAGCTATATTTTTTGTATAATTAATAGAGACATTAGTAGTAGCAACTATCCCAGTATTCGGGATCGAAAGCTTTTTAGAAGTCCTCAAAACTCGACCGATGCGAAAAGTCAAAAGTGAGCGATTTTTTGGGAAAAGCACAAGTCAAAGGCAATCATTTTTTATCCTGTATTTTCAAATGGAGACGACTTCTGATCATTATCTTTTTTTGAGATAATGTTTGAACCATCTACTTCCCATTAAACATCAAGAAACACTGATTGCATAAAAAGGAGCAGCAAGCCACGAATCTTAACCGAACTTTCATCTCAGAAAACAAAGTAGTCTGCTGTTTTTGGTCCCAGGTTGGCAAGAAAGGGTAGGAGCTTCTGACGGTTAGTGACACTTTCACCAGTGATAAATACTCTTTTAAACCGCAAAAACTCTAGATTCAGCTCTTATCCACTAAAGAGCAGCAGTCCAAAGATCGCGTCGCTACATGGCAACGTCAGACCCCTTACGGCAGAAGTCACCAAGATTGTGCTGCATAGCTATGGCTGACTTATTATGGTGCTGCCACCGTACAGTCCTGACATCGCTCTCTCCGATTACTACCTGTTCTCCCATCTGCCGCATCACCTGAGGGAGAAGCAAATTGAAACAGAGAGCGTTGTCGAATTCGGTTTGACCTCATACTTTTCCTCTCGGCCAGCGTCCTTCTGGAAGGACAGTGTCGAGCGTCTGCCTGGACGGTGGCAGCAAGTGGTCAATGCAGATAGAGAATAGATTAAATGATATTAGCCGTTTTCTTCGGAGAAAAAGAGAAACTAGAAGAAAAGAAAAAAAAATCAAGAATTACGCACCAACTTAATATGTTTCTAATGTATATAAAACTTTCTAAGTTCAAATTCCCGTCAGTTTTGGTTAAAATGAATACTCGGGTGATTGAGAAAAGGAATGGTCAAGACAAAAATAGCTTTTCAAAAAAGTCTTCGATTTGCATGAATAGTAAGTTTCGTTTCTCTTCTATCAGCAATCATTTTTTTCTCTAAAACTTTCGATTATTTTCGCTTTTCGGATGGTTTGAAAATAAAATTGCTTGATTCAAAATTAAGTGTAATGGTGTGGCCTCCTATTCATTTGTGTGTTGTTTTGAAATCAAGAAGAAAAGCAGAAGTTCCAACAAAAGCCAAAATGAGTTAGGGCCCAGGGTGCGTTTATAGTTAAGACCAGTTCAAAAAAATATTTTTGACGAATGACAAAATTTTTGTTCTGAGTTTTGCGTAGTTTCTCTCCGATGTTAGTCATTTCAACTAAGGTTTATCATAGAATAAGTTTAACCGTAGAAAGTTCAACATATTTTTCGAAAACTGCAAATATGAGGATATAACTATGACGCGCATTGTAGGATCAAGAAACATCTCCGTTTCTATTTTTTTCCGTACGAGTTGCAAAAAGTTGCAATTTTCGGTGTTAATCAAGTTTGGAAATGGAAACTTTCTTTTTTTCTGTTTTTAAAATGAGACTTAAAAATAATTTTAAAAAAGCAAAAATTTTTTTTTTTGAACAACTACATAGTTTGTTCATTGCATTTTTTTAGTTTCAATACAGATTGGTAAAGAAGTTGAAGATATACTGTGTGCGTAATAATAAAATAAACAGCAACATTAGTTCATTAAAAGTATTATGATCATCTGTGATTAAGTATTGGTAGAAAAGGTTTCGAAAAGTCTTCTCGCCAAAGCTTTGAGGCTCGAAGACGCAACGGCACTGTCAGATCACTACGAAAAGTAGGTTTTTTTTTCACAATTTTGTTCAACACGGATATGGTGTCCTGCAGGAAACGTGTCTATTTTTTTCTTTTTGAGCAACTCCGGTCTATGGCTTCCTGCTCCTGATTCTAGAAAAAAAAAGAAAATGGAAAAACGCAAATTGGAGAGTGTGAAGCTGACAGGCGCGCCGACGATGTTTGCACGAAGGTCTCGGGATCCAGTCCCTCAAGCCGTTGACCTGTTTTCCATGAATCGTCGGATTGTAACCGTTTGGCTCGCGGAGCTGCAGCACCGCAAAGCTTAACGGCCGTGGAGCCCGCTGTCAGCTTTCTTTGCGCTCCTTCTCGTGCACGTTGTTTGCAAACGGTCCACCACTTCTGCTCTTCGCTTCTTTGTTATCCTTCCGTCCGCTTTTGCTTCGATTTGGTCTTCTTCTTATTTTGACCCACTTTTTGAACTTTCTTTCTGACGTACCCATTCAACAAATATCAACTATTGGGTTTTCCGTTTAAAAACTTTCATTCCCAAGAAATGTATACCTATAACGACAGAAAACAATTTTATCTTATCTCAAAACTTTCTTTTTTTTCAGCCCAAAGCTTTAGAACAGAAAAAAAAAGTTCAAAAGAAGAGACGAAGGGGTTCAACTCCACATGATTTAAATGTTGTGAAAAGTTCAAATTGTTCAAAACGAATATTTTTTGCGAAGTAAACCTTCAGACTATAATAGAACAAAACTTCGGACAACGGCCATTACAGCGGAAAAAAAGAAGGACATGTTTCCTCTTATGCCGGAAATGTCTCTCTCGGCGTGCTCCACCACGAATTTCAATCTGTAGTGCACCTTGTTTTTTTACTCTCCGAGTTTTTAAGTCTGAAAAATTTCCATTCATCATCCTCATGACCATTTTAATTTCAACTAGATATAATAAATTAGATTTTCCGACCGAGATTTCAAACTCTGCAATTTCAAGTTTCTTCCTGTTTCGAAAATAAATGAAACAAAATTGCATTTCTGTTAGACTTTTCCGCTTTTTTCTGTTCTGCTTTCCGATAAGCCAAAGTGAAACTAAAAATTTTACGCAAATTTCATCTTCAACAAATTTTATAGTGTTTTCAATTTTTGATAAAATTGTCAACTCTGTAAAGTTTTTGACAGAAACATTCGACCTGTTGTAAACACAATTCAATATAGAAAAAACCAAAAAAAAAAACTCTCAAAAAACATTTATCAAACAGTACGTCGTTAAATTAAAAAAAAATAGACTTCTTCGCTTTGAAGCCTGTATTCTTTTATTCGCTTTCCATTTAAACTATTTGAAATAATACATTTTAGAAACGGCTGGAATTCCAATAAATATCTCTGTACTTAACTTTCCATTTTTAGTTTCAATTATAGTTTTTTCCTCGATCAACCTCAGGTGAGTTAATGGGCGAAAGGGAAGTCAACTTACCGCAGTTATTTTCCGACGTATCACGTACAATAAGTGGGATATCAAACATTATGGGCACAAATCCAGGTAACCTTGAGATATTATTTCTCAGAGGATCACTTTTGTAGAAATGCACGGGGAAGAAGGATCAACAGCCTCCGGTGGAGGAGGAGGCATTTTCGGAAACACTTGTTTCAAAGCTTGCGGAATGGAAGATATTCAGTTTGCTGCAAGGGTGAGTTTTGTTTTGCTCTCACCAATTATTATCGAAAAAAGAGAATTTATAGCACAGAGCTCACCGATGAACCGAACAGCGAGTCTGAATTTGTATTTGAGAAAAAGTTTTTGGTTTCAGGCGGCCGGGGATATGTTCACGACGATTCGTACCTGCGTTTTACTATCAACCGTGGCTTCTTTGTTACTCCTTCTTCTTCTCGCTCTCACCATCATTTTTCTGCTATGCACTCAGGTTATTATTTTTATTATTATTCATATTTCTTTTTAGCTTATTATATTTCTTTTGAATTTTTGTACAGCTTAATTAGTTCCTACCTCAATCTCTTTTTTTTATTGACTAAAATTTTTTTTTCTTTCATCTTATGTAGCATTTAAATTTTATAAAGTGCGAAAAAGTGAGTCCCTGAGATTATTCTAAACCGACTTAACAAACTATTTTTTTGATTTTTAATTGTTCTGCTCTTGAAAATATGTAATCCATACGTCACTCACTTTTTTTCCGGGGCCTACAGATCTCTCTTCAAGAGTTATTTGGAATAGTGAAAAAAAAACAAAGTATCTTGAAGAAGAAACTCGGTTTATAAAATTATCCGATAGCTCTCGTCGTCTTTTGGTTCATCGAAACTCTCGCAGATATGTTGGTTATGATAATTTTTCATTTCAGTCGTCTTTGAGCAAGCGCTTCACGTTGCCTTCTGTGTTCCGCAGAGTGGTTTCAACGGGAAACACGACCTCTCAACAGCCAAAATGACATTTTGCTAATTCTATTTTGAATTATTTCTGGGTTGTCAACCGACATTGTCTATTATTTATTGATTGTGATTTTTGTGTCAAAAGTATTTCATAACCTGCTTGCCGTTAAAATCGTCAAAAAAGTCAGTGTTGCGATTTCTCCTTTCTTATGAGTTTCTTCAGTTTTTAATTTTATCATGATATCAGTCATTTTTTTCAGCAGTATACTTCCTTCATCAGATAATTAAGTTCAAACTTTTTGGTGTTCCCATCAACAGTTATTTTAACTTACGGATTCTATATTCTTATATATCGTTTAAAAAAAAGCGACTTAAAAGGTCTGAATAGTTTTTGTTTTCAGGTACTACTGTAGAGCATAGGAATCAGTTTTTCATTTGAATCATTGGAAACTTGTGCAAAATTTTTGTGATTTTTACTGGAACTGTTTTGGGTTTTTCTGAAAAAATTTGGAAACTTTCTGTGCATTTTCATGGCTGCTCAGAACAATTTTTCTTTGAGAGAACTACCCAAATATTTTCTCAGCAAAAGTTGGAGGGAAACTTCACCGGTTTTTGAAAGAACTTTTCATTTTTGTTCATCTTAAAAAAAGTTTACGTAACTCTCTTTTGTGAGCAGATGACTCGAATAGCAAAATATTGTTTATTTTCAAGCTCTAAAAAATTTCAAAATATATGTCTCTGTTGGAATAGCAAAAAATTTAATCGAAATTCAATAAAGTCCCTAACAAAAAAAATAGATTAGGCCAATTTGAGAAGGAGAGAAAAATACTCGAAAAAAAGAGAAGAAAGAAAATACCAGAACGAGTTTCCTGAGTAAACCATACGAAGCAAGACCAAGATCAATACAACTTGAAAGCATGAGATCGCACACCCGCATTGGGATACAAAAACTTCAAAGGATTTTGAAGCCAACTAAAGATAAGAATTGTTGCCTATGTCGTGGTAGTCGTAGCGCGATTGTCGTTCGGAAGAACAGCAGATCGTACACGCCAAAGACGAAACCAGAGACTTGCGGAAAGAGCTGTTGATGAACATGTAGATGAGAAATTTACAGCATGGTCCGGCTATCGCCAGCCACACAAAGATGAAAGTCACCTGCAACATGCTAATCAACTTGGAAAAGGTTTTGGTTTTTTCCAAACAAGTAATCGATTTGTTTTTAGAAGCTGTACCTATCGACAAGGTGAAAAAAACTAAACTTGAAAAAAAAAACAAACATAATCAACGTAGCTGGCCGAAGGAGTCCCGTGGAAACTATGATTTTCTCATTTTCAAAGCTAATAAAATTTTGACAGTAGAATGAAAAGTTTCCCATTAGCAGTAATAATATAACCTCTGCATATGCTCTCAGCTACTTTCAGATAAATTGATAATTGGAATGATAAAAATTCATTTTTCCTAATTTGACTTACCATGGACAAATCTGAATCGGTTTGCGGAATAACCAAGTATTCGTATATTTTTAGACACAGTAGCGGCAACCAAGACAAGACAAAAGAGACGAGAAGAAAAATCGTCAAAACAAAGTTCGGATCCGTCTCAATCACCATTCGCTGAATATCGTCCAGCTGAAAAAATAAATTAATTCCAAAACCGATTCGTGATTAAGGCATTCATGTAAAAGTTTAAAGATGCATTCCAAATCCGGAGATTCAAATAAATCAACACTCAAGAATGAGTTCATTCAAATTTATCTTGTGTGGGAAATAACCCAGTTCATTAGATGAAATCTTCGATTTCGACAGAAGGAAAAATTTTCCAACGACTGAGGCTTTTCGAGAAAATCGTCGAAGTTACCATAATCTTTTGGCTATTGGTTTTACTTTCTGAAAGTTTTTTTGGTTACTCTTCCAATTTTTTTCTCAATTTTCGGGAAGATATTTCTATTTTTCAAAAATTAACAATTATGCGGGGAACGTTCGAAAAAAAGTGTAAAAACGTTGTATGTAAGAATAATATCGATAGGAAAATAACACACAGCAGAAAAAAAACTCACAGCGTCCGGATTTCTCATGGCCGCAACTATTTTATAACCCGTGTTGACCACAGTAACGAGTGTAGGCAAAAACACTAACGCTAGCAGTGTCATACTGAAAAAATGTGATGAGCAAGAAAATTCAAAAATTTGATTTTTAAGGATAATAGAGGTGAAGAGAAGCTTTGCGGTGCTAATGAGAAATTCAAAAAAGTATAATTAAAACCTATAAGCAGACGTCGCTGTCCAATCGAGCACACATAATTGAGCGTCTTGGTAGAAAATAACCTGAAAATAATTACTTCTCCTAGGCGATTGCAATTTTTCTCTTTCATCCTTTGTTTTTTGGAAAAGAGGGATGTAGAACTTTTTGAAAAATGAAAACAGTAATTGCGCCGTAGGGCGTTGCGAAAACAAAAATGAGAAAAAAGTTTGAAAAAGAACCTGCATTCTTGCAACCAAAATCGGACAACACAGCAGGATGGAGGTGAGCCAGCTGAACACAATCCAACATTTGCACCTCGTCAAGGACTGTTCGCTGTATCGTGACGGCTTCATCATGGCAGAGTAGCTTGAAAAATAAAATTCAGAACATTTCGAAAATAGGAGTTTGTTTTCAAACTGTATGAACATAAATTTTCCAAGTTGGGAACATAATTTTTTCACTTTCTCAAACGCTGCTTGAAAAATATTTCTTCTTTTTTTCTTTTTAATTTCAGTTTGAAACACTTGCAAACTCCGATCTAAAATAATCCTAACAAAATCATATATTTGTTTTAAAAGGAAAGTATTAGGTTGGCATGAAAGAAATGCGGCTCGTTTTTGTCGGTTTCTAATTCATCCAAGAAGCAATATTATTTGGAACGGTATTTTTTGTCGAAAAAGGCTTGTCCTTGTGCGTCATTGGATATATAGAAAAGGTTGAGAAAAAGGAACTTAAAAAAAAAGAATCATCTCACTATTAACCAGAACTCTCAAAAAATGCGAAAGCTTTGAAAAATTCTTGTTCTTTGGGCTTGAAACGGCAAACTATGATGACTGCCATTTTTTGCCAGGCAGTCGCTTTTTTTTGCCTAAAAGTAATAGAACCCGAATTTGGCCTTCCTTCTATAAAATTTCAACTATTTTGTGGTCAGAGTTCATCAAAATTTGATTTTGCCCGTTGGAAACTTAAGCGAGCTCAACAAATGCGGCAATCGATTTATAACAAACATCCTTCGTCAAGATATGAAGAGTGATTTTGAACATTTAAAACTTTTTTGCGATTTTTAATATTTAACTTGGTATGTTTGTCAAAAACTTGTTTTTCGCAGTTTTTTTTTCGAGCAACCGCACATTTTCATTTCCGCGAAAAGTCTTTCAACGCTAGCAACCTGCAATTTTTGTTTCTGCTCGGCGCTCATTTAATAGTCGAAAAATTATTTTCGATTTTCTCTCGGTGGTTCTCTTTTCTCTCTTTTTTGAACACAGAGGGAAACGTGCGAAAATTAGGCATGAATGATCCTGGTTCGCGTGTTGTCGCCTCAGAACCGCCTTGTTGTCATGAAAACGCCGGAGCCTCTCATTTGTCCTATTCGGACTCGCTGCATAACGGATATCTCACACTACCAAAAAAGAAGCATGTTTTTGAGGAATAGAAGCACTCAAAGGATTATAGCGTTCTATGGAGCTCTTAGAAAGCTCTTCTTAGAAAAAAAAAGCCGAGGATTTGCTTTCAGCTGCTAAACCGCTTCTTTTTCGATTAGAGCATTTTAAGTACAGTAATCAAAGAAGAGCCGAACACCAGATGGAGATATTCATCAAGAAGAAAAATTTTGCTTTTTCGAGTTCACTTGTATTAGTGAGTTGAAAAAAGTTAAGACAATTAAAAAGTTCACAAATTTTCGAGCACAAGTTGTGTTCACACAAAAAAGACTCACCGGTCGATACATATCCATGCAAATGTGTACACTGTCGAGCAAAAAAGCGCAATTTGTGCATAAGCGGCTCCTTTACAAAGATAGGAATTGTCGCCTGCAATGCGCCATTGAACGTCGAGGGTAGAATACACGCTGAGTGGGATGACGATCACTGCAGACAGTAAGTCGGCTACTGACAGCGAAATCTAAAAAGGCCATCAGAGTATACACACTTCTTTCTATTTCTCCCTAGAGGCTCAAAAATTATGACAGAAACACGATTTATGATAATGATAAAAGTAGAAAATTTGGACAGCTACTTTAAATATCTTTCTTTTTCCAGAAAACTACATAACTGTGAAAATACAAAGCAAAAAAACGGAATAGTGAGTAAAAATCGAAAAATGCAAAAGTTTTTCAGAAGAGAAACTCGAAAACCAAAACGTGGCAACGATTTCAAAAAATTCAAAACGTGCTTTCAAGCAAAATCTGCAAGCTGCGAGTCTTCTTTTTACAGAAATCACAGCTGGTAGAGGATTCAGTAGTAATACCCTATCGAAAGTAGATTCATTTCAACAAAAAATACTTACGATCCTTTTTTTGAACTTTCTGTTTTTATTCTACAAATACTGAGTCTGATCAAGAAAAATGAAACAGAAAGACAGCCTCACCAGGTAACATCCGATGACGTCGTAAAGATCTGGCGTATAAGCGATGACAAAGATGTTGAGAAGTGACGTGACGATCAGAAGTAAGTCGACGGCAAGAATGAGCGCGGCTCGAGCAAATGATTCAGCAGTCAAGTTTCGCACGTCGACAATGTGCCACATAATCGGGTGGATCGCTCCTCGACCCAACCATGTAGCACGCAAACTGAGCGGTTACTTGCGGCTGTGGGTGTGTGAGAGCTTCGAGATGAGACGGAAACGGTGTGAGAGGCTGGCGTGCGGCCCTGCTGGAGACACGGCCCTAAATCGATATGCCTCCGATACTCTGTCAACTAGATAACTGCGCAAACCACACACGGCTCGTCCGATTTATAAATGATGCCAGTGGCAAGTAAAGCGAGTTAAAGCCGTAGGCAACAGAAATAGGCGAGTGCAAACACGTTTTTTTTTTCTCCAAGCTTTCCGGAGAGAGTGCCGAGCAGCCCAGGACGCTGGCTCTAGAAGGCGTCACAACTCACACACAGCTCCCAAGCGGTGAACTTGGCTAACATTACTTCTCTCACCAAGTGTCGTACTAATTCAAATTGCATTTGGTTCCTGTCACTTTTTTGCCATCCCAATAAGCTTTATTGGGTAATCAGGAAGGACAATGAGCGCGATTTGAAAAAAGACCTTTCGGATTTCGGATTTCGGAACACTTATATTGTTTTCCTCAAACTTTGGATTGAATGTGTTTCAGAAAATTTCCATGACGGGTTTTTTTACCAGGAACAAAACAAAGTTTGCTTCTGTGATTTTTGGATTAACTTTCTCACAAGTTAGAAAAAAGTTTGAGTTTGGATTCTTAACTTTCATGGAGCAAGCAAGTTTTTATATCGTGTTTCGTGAAACAGTTGAATTTTGAATCGCTAAATTGCATCCTCAACATGGAAGAGCAAAAAGAAAATATCATAAAGATTTTACTTTTAAGAAGATCGAGCCCCGAGTTAGCTTTGGCACAGCGTTGATATCGAAGATCAAAAAAAAAGAGAGAAATGAACCGGCAAAAAGATGTTCGATTGGTTAAATTCAAGTCAAAAAAACTCTTGCAACACTACAAAGAGGCAAGGAAATGAAGATAAAAGAGCACGAGTGAAGCCATGCGCTAATTGCTCCAAGGAAAGTGTTGTCATCGCATTAGCGCACATGCCGCACTGAACGCGATGTATTGGCAATAGACGGAAACCCGGGAATGTAGGCCTTGCTCTCCCACTGCCAATTGGCGTGAGCAAAAAATTTTCTCCACGGGAATGCTTTGTTTCTTTGCCTTCCAAAATTGGCTTATGGTGAATCCTTGGCACGCGCCGGGAATGGATCAAGAGTAAGTGTGCATCTTTCTTCGTTCACATGTCCATGAATCCCCGGTTGATGCGCGAGTTCGAGGAGTCTTATCAGTTTCATTCACATCAAAATCTTGAAACCTAGAGCTTTCAGGGAAAAAAAATTAAATTTCTGAACATCTAAAAATCTCAAGGTGAAACTTGATTAAATTGAGTGAAGCTATTTTTTTCGCTTATTTCCATCGAATTTCAGGTTAATCATGCTCTCAAAACTGAAGTTGAAGAAATTCACATAAAATTCCATTTTTAATTTTTGCAAGTTTGGGTTATGCTTTCAGAATTAATTAATTATGAGTTCCTTTTTTTACGAAAAAAAGTGAAGTCTTTTAATTTTGTTCATTATAAAAAAACAATCGTAAAAACTCCTGTCAATAAAAAAACACAAAATGGGACGAATTTAAATTTTTTTAAATGAACACTCATGAATTTTTTTGTGACCCAAAGAATTTTTTTCCTAACAATACTTTTGATACCATACTCGGCCAAAGTTTTCGTGAAAGAAGCAAAAAGTCTTCCGGAAAAAATTATCTTCCCATAATTGTAGGTTCTTTCCGAGTGAAGATTTATGGATGAACCTAAAAACAATTGTAATTTTTTTTTGCCTTACTTCATCGGGAATTAACGTATATTCCGATCGTTTGATCTTAAAAGAATTTTTTATGAAAAGATGGTTTCAAATCTCGCGAAAACCAATCTACAATATTAGTAAGTAAGAAATAATTGGGGAATTTTTTTGGGAAAGCCATATTTTTTGAAGGAAAAGAAAAAAAAAGGAATGAAGGAGGAGTGCACCCTGTCTTATATTTCTTTTTGCATCTGAAGTATCCGGGGCGATGAGAACAGACATACTCAAACCATAAAGCATGACGACGCCGGCTGATGCTTTATTATCCACAGGAAGAAAAAAGAAAAATTCCGAGATTTGCAAAAAAAAGTTCTGTTGGGGATATACAAAGAGAAGTTCATGGTTTTCGCACAGCAGAATTGTCTTCCAAAATAAAGCAAATACACATATAGTAAACCTTCCCAGTTCTCTTGAATATTTTTCGTTGTGCACTGTTGTTCGTGAATATAAATTATTGGACAGAACAGAAAAATCGGGAATTTTCATAAATTTTCATAAATTTTCGATTGATGAAGAAGACACAGATATCATCTCTAAAATGAAAGATCTAGACCAGTAACAGAAAAAAAATAGAATATCGCAGGCTTTTGCGAGGAGCGAACTCTTGTGCTACAGCTAGCCGGAAGCACACATAAATTCCATCGGGCATCAGAAAAACGAGGCGAAGGACCGTAAAACTGTGCTTTTGACTACACGTTCGGACTGACAGCTCGCCAAAGGCTATTGTTCGTTATAACTTCACATCTGACTAAAAAAAAAGTCATTGATTGGTTGGTTGAAATTTTTCTCTCAGCATTTTTAGAAATTCCCGTTGATTTTATCTGCCAAAAGGAATATTTTGGGCCTGTTGGTAGCACCAGCGAATAAACTGCTTCACTAAAAGAAAAGTTGAGATTGATTCTGGCAATCATTTGAGAAAAAAACGTTTTTTTGAGTTATTTGTTCATTCTTTGAACAGGATTTTTTTCAATACTTCTGCTTGATTTTTTTGATATCTGTACAGAAGAATTTGCCATTCAAAAAAATGAAATAATTTCACGTCTGATATTTTTTTGAAAGAAGATTTTGACAGCTTCATGAAATGAATTTACAGATTTCGAACATTTTGATGTTATTGAGAGACTGAAATTGGGCCGAGTTGAGGTTCGGAACGCACACGTACCATTGAATAAATAAACAATAAAACAGCTCAAATTGCCGGGAAACTCAGGGTTTTCCACCAGTGAGCTATAAACAAAATCCAGCATTTTTCGATCATTCCATTAATCAGAACTTTTCTTTTTTTACAGTTTTTTTTAACCTAAAACTGATAATTTTTAGTTTTGACATTTTTTATTAGTTTTATTTTCGATAATTTTTTCATTGTTTCCGTTGATATGTGAATGGCCTTTTTTTTTATAATATTATTTATTTACAGGCAGAACAAAATAACATGTACAGAAAAAAAAGAAAAATTTGGCATTAAGCCTGAAATAAATAAATAAAAGGCACTTGAGGCCCTCACGAGCCTCTGTGCCAGTAAATGAAAGAATAAGAGGTGAGGGTTGCACAAAGGAAAAAAAAGTAAATAGAAAAGAAAGCATTATAAGTTATGACACAGTGTAGCACAGGTGAATGGGGCATTTAATTGTTTGTGATGATATAGACGCGCATGTTTGGCGAGTGAATTGACGGAAGATGTTTTCGAGGGTGTAAGATAGTTCTGAAGCTAGGGGGGACTGAACAACTCACAACAGTAGTCCATATAGGGAGCAACGTAAGTAAGAAAAAAATCCGGCTCATTAGAGCGGGAGACAGGGCGCGGAACGCTCTGATGATTTGTTTACTTTTTTTAGTTTGCATAAGGCTATAACTTTACGAAGGTGAGGCTCACATGTTAGTTTGTTATCAATAAGAATGCCTAGATCGCGAACAGCTTCCGCGGAAGAGATAGTTATATTATTTATAGTATACTGAACATGAGGGTTGCTACGGCCTAGATGGAGAAGGGTGGTTTTGTGTTCGGCCAGGGGAAGACCCCATTGACTAGACCATTGGAAAACGTCGTTGAGACCTTGCTGAAGCGCTATAGGATCGTCAGAAAAAATTTTAAGATCATCAGCAAAAAGATAAGCCTTTACATTATCAGATAAGTTGCTGATAATGTCATTAATGAATATTATAAAAAAGAGTGGGCCACAGACTGGCCTTGTCTTTAGTCTCTTTCTTTATTTTTAACCTCAACTACGAGGCATCAGAGCTATCAATTTTGAAAATTTTGTAATCATTCAAAAAAAAATTTGATTTTATGTTAGGTTTTCAAGAAACGGATTTCGCTTTTTTTTCGTTTCATTCCAAACAGTCCCAACTTGTTTCGAATTGCACTGTTTGAGTGATTTTTACAGGGTGCGCGGATAGTTGTAAGAGTAGACGTTGACGTTTCGCGGCACGAAAAACATAGCGCTTTTGCTCGTAGCAGCTCAAGACATGACTGAAGAAGGATGGCTCGTGCGACTGACAGTCTTTCCACTTAAATTGGCCGCTTGGACGTGGGACGGGGAGGGGGAAGGGGCTATTGTTGTTGGCAGAGCTTCTTGAACATTTTCAAGAAAGAGCGATTTCAAAATTATTTTTTTTTCATCTTTCCTCAAACTGAAATCACTTGAAGGGACAGTCAGAGCTACTGACGGAATCCTTCAACAATGGCACCGGGGCAAAGGACGACTCGCCTTATTGAGTATAAATGTTGAAATGGAGTTCAGGTCAAAAAAATTATGGTAAGAAATAAAAAAATTATCGCTAAATAGAACAAAATAAAAAAATATAATAAGTAACTGCTACAAATCTTTCAACAGTTTCGGTCGCCCCCGTCTCCTCAGCAGAATAGTTTCGAAAATTGACCGTTCGATGTTTTTTCAACATGTCATAATAAATGGTCATGGGTTGAACGGTTGGAGATTCAACCTTTAAACATGTCACTTCAAAGTTTATTATGGTGTGGAAGCTTTCCGCTTTTTTCCGATTCTGATTGGAGGAGCCTCATGAAACAATGTTCCATTGAATTATAGTAATCAGAATTAACATCGATCGAAAAGATCAAATAAAAAATCATTGTACCAGCTGAATTTTGCTTTCATCGGTTTTCTAACAGAATGCGTGTTAACACAAATTATTTGAGACGCTTTATCTGAGAAAGTCGATATATCCAAAGAAAAAAAAAAGTTGTTTTGATTTGCTTCGAAATGCGATCACGGCTCACAAACGTGCTTCTGATCATTTAGCACTAAATTCCAGGTGGCTCCGCCCCTTTTCAAAAACCTCCGACCGCCTGAAGGTGACTACTTCAAAAATGGAAGTTCTACAAAGGCTCGAAAAACAACTTTTTTTATTTTCTTTTCTCACAAAATGCTTTTTCAATGAGACCTACATCACTTTTCGACACGAATCGAAACCTACTCTTTCATAAACCAAAGATAATGACCACATTCGGGGGTTCCTCCTGACAAAAATACCTGAAAACGGAAATAATCGAATATCGACGAAAGTCGTTAAATTCAAAAAGTCTCGAGAAACTCGGAATAAAATTTTCTTTGAGCGCTAAAATGGTGGAGAACACGAGAACGAGTGTTGTTTTTTCTTTCAAATCAAAAAAGAGGAAGAAGCCGCCAAGTTAGAATTAAAAAGATTTTTTGAACTTGAGCCGATTCGAGGATCACCTTCGGCCGAATTGAGGTCAATTATCCCACCCCAGGGATTTTTGTAGAACTATGGAAGAAGGTCCTTAGTTTCATAATCAGAAATAAAAGTCGTACCATAGGGGGTCCTTACTCTAGTCATGGCTCAAAAACTGAGAAAATTGCTGTTTTTGAGGAGATATTGATTTTTTTCTTCCCGAAGAAGTTAGAAGAAAATTTATAACTAATAAAATACTCAAAATAGTGTCTTCTTACATTTTCAAGCATTTTTGAATGAAAATTCTCCACCAGATTTTTTTTCAGCTCACTGTCTACAGCATCTTTGAAAAGGGGCGGAGCCACCTGGGACCTGGTGCTAATAAATCAGAAGCACGTGTGTGAGTCGTGATCACATTCCGAGGCAAATCAAAAAAAAAATTTATTTTGTTTTGTTTTCGATTACTGAAAGTCATCGAATTTCGCAGAGAATGTGTGTTTAATAAATGAACTATTGTTGGATGTTTTCGTTTTGGGATTTAGTTTCGTTTTTAATAATCAAAGTTGATTGATTCTGAAAAGCAAACATAGTCTAGAAGCTTGAAAAACTTATTTTTGATCGTTTTCTGAAACAATATATTTATTTAAGGTTTCGAAAAACAGTATGTTAAAACACAGGGGCTACCGAAGTATAAACTACTTTACTCTAAATTTTGAGTTGGGAGCAGCCTTTATGAATTAATTGGATAGCCGAAAATTTGTTACACATAAAATAGTTTCTGTTTGCAGTTCGAATGATCTCTAAAATAATTTTTTTATTTCAAAACTGAGACCGAATCTTCATTTAAACAATTTTTTTGTGTTTTGCTTAAAAATTTAATTTCATTTGAGCAGAACTTTGTCAAATTTTGCAATAAGTAGCTTTTTGGATAATGGTCTTCAGATCGCAGCTATGAAATTGGTTATTTTTGAGCCAAGGCGCATTGCATAAATTACGTTGGAAGAACCAAATATGCGTTTGGAAACAGTTTGCAGAGACAATTTTTTGAATTTGCTTTGGAAGTTTTCGCTCAGCGCTTACCCGATTACGTATAAAGTACGTCCAATGAGGATAGGACCTCATAAATTTGGGATTTTTGGCGATTCTAGAAAAGATATCCAAAATCTGTGAGGGCTACGTGATCGACCGAAAACCTTTTGTTAGGCGCAGACTTGTTCTGCGCCATTTGGGTTTAGGCTGGGTTGGAAAAAAAGGGCGTTTCGTTAACTTTTTCTCTTGATCGAATATGTTGTAAAACACAATTTTTAGGATTTTTTTAACACAAAACCGAATAACCTCTTTCGGCTAGTTTTTGAGATACGGTAGCTCAAACGATTACGGTGAAAAGCTTCGAAAATCTATATCTCGACAAAAAATTAACGAATTTTGATCAAAATTTGTCACAAGGTGCAAAAGTATTTTATGCAATTTTTAAAAATTTAATTATTCATTTTTGCTCATTATTGCTCATTAGAGAGTTTTTCTCAAAAAAATCGAAACCAGTATATGACGCTGCGGTCCGGCGTTTTGTCTCGCTTTTATCAAAACCACAAAAAAATACTCTATTTATTGAGCTAAACATGGATTAGGCGAATTTTCCATCTAAGACCCGAAAAATCCAAAAAACATGTAATTTTGAGTAAGTTTCCCGAATAACTTTATTTATCTTTTGTCTTTTCGGCTTAAAACTAACAAAATCTTAATCATCACGCATTTTTACATTTACTAGGTCATTTCCAGATCGCAACAAAAAAAATTTTTCTTACCAAAAAAAAATTCTGTCCGGGAACCGGGAAATTTTGTATGCCCTGGGATGGAAATTTTCGAGGTTTTTCGCTCATAACTTTTTTTGAGATCAAATTATCTGGTCGAAACAAAGTTTTTGTCTCCGTTACGGTTACCATAACAAGGGGCATACACCATTCTAGGTTAACTAAAAACTTTTTTTTTGAAAAAAGGCCATTTTCGAAAATCCCAGGGAGGAAAAGATTTCGTTTTAGGATCGCAGTTAAATTTTGAAAAATTGCGGGGAAACCCAAATCCTTTTGTTTCGTGGCTCCCCCACGATGGCGACTGGGTTAAAGTTTAATGCGGAATAAAATTTTGATATACTAAGCAACGAATTCGTTTTTGATGAACTGTTTAATTTTTATTCATGCAAATTCTTACCCATGCAAAAGTTAGGAGCTTGTTTTCAAAGCAATAAGCCAGCATTTCAAAATAAAAAAAATGGAACTTTTTCGTAAATTACTGAGTAAAGCTCACTTAACGGTCGATTTTTCCAAAAAAATATAGGCAACTAATTTTTTTAAACAGTGTTTTTTTCACTAGGGAAATGAACACATTAGGGTCTGAAATATCCAGAACACTGCTTTTTACCCGATTCTGTTTTTCAATACAGTCGCCTTGAGTTATTCAGATACAACAAATGTCAAAAAACGCTTATTCAGAAAAAGAGATGGAGAAAAGTTGTAATCTGCAAATTTCTAGCAGGATCTGCCTATTTTCAACAATTTTTTTTCGGTATCTTATCATGTATAGCAAACAGTTTCTATTTTTTTCAATTATCATGTGAATCATCAAAGTTTAAGCTCAATCCGCGAATACGAGTTCGCGTAGTTCCCTAGTCAGCCGTATCTTTTTTTGTTTTCATCAATTTTATGATTATAATGACCATTTTCTGACATGAAATAATTCACTCTAATCTGATCGATTTTTTTCTTGCTACTCTGTATCTTCTTCAACTTTGTTTTAGAAACTGCCTCGAGTCATGTAAAAGGCAAAAAACTCTTTTGGAGAGAGCGTTAGAAAATTTTTTTTAACTCTTTTTCAAAAAAGAAAGACAATTTTTTTAAACTGTGATTTGGGAACATTGAGATAAAGGTCTAGTTAAATGGATCCGTAACTTTTTCCCGATTTGTCATTCGCAAAGCCCACTGTTCCCTGCATTTCATTCCAACAAAAATAGCTGTTTTTTCTTAGATTTCAGGTAACATTGCACACAAATGAAGTCAGATTATTCTGAACCTTTTTCTCGAATTGGCAAGAAATATTTCTGATGACACCAGAACTAGTAGATGAATTCTTAAAGCTTAATTTTCACAATTCACCAGGTTTTGAAGAAAGCCTTCGCTTAGTAAGAATAGTGACTCTAGTGAAAGTGTTCTCTGAGAGGATGTCTTTCCTTCTAAAAAAAAAAAGAATAATTTGTGCAGAATCATGCTTCCAGGATTCAAAGCCAAAAGAAACTTTCAGCCGAATTTCGAGGAAGTGTCAAATTAAAAATTGTAATTAAATTTTTCGTTGCTTATTTAAGAAAAATAACTCTACACACTTGAAAAATTTTTATTTAGATTCAACCAAACGTCCTAGCCGCCTAAAATGTCTAAATGAATGAATTGATTTGTTTGTAACTTGAGAAGAACGTCGAAAATGCCACTGCCTAAAAACAATCTCACCATTTTCAAGATGTTGACCGAATTTCGAAAAGCGGCACGGGCCAGAAAACATGGAATTTTTGCGAAATGCGGCATCAGCCCTTGCTCGAATTCATTTTTTATCAGATCAACCCAACGAGAATTCCTTTGTTTGCCGTTTTTTGTGAAATCTGCCGTTTGAAACAGCCTCGGTGCCAATCAATGGGCAGCAAGAGCCTCACGAGGTCGGACAGATACGTCATTGGAGACGAGACTGAAGAGAAAAAAGGCGAGCGAGTGAGGGTGAACCTTAGGGTAGCGCCGATTGCCGGCAGCGGTGAGAGGACAGACGGCAGAAGAATTGTTGAGGCGTGGCCCCAGGCAGCCATCTAGGTCCAGTGTCCCACTCGGCTTTCCAAACTTCTTACAGCTTATTCCAGTTCGTGTATGGGCGAGCTGGAAGCAGCAGAAAGGGAGCTGGAGCATTTCGCTTCGTCTGCTCGATCAGGGCGACGCAACGCTCTTCCTGAAATTGAGGTTCCTTTTTCATTTCTATAATTTGGGAACCGGAAGCTTCAGGTGGAATCGAACGATCCGGATGCAGCGCAATTGGCCGAGCGCCTATCGGATATGACAGCAAAATGTGAAGGCGAGGAGGAACGCAAAAAACAGCAACAAGGTTGGATGCATTCATACTCGTCTCCAATTTCGTCTCTGTTCAACAATATTTTTTGAGTCTCTCACTATGATTGCGGAAAGGGTTTCCATGTATTGATTGGATTTGCAGACGAATACAAAAAGTACTTCCTGGGAAAATAGCAATTTTTGTCATAAAACTCTGGGCATCCACGTTTCTAAGAGACGTCGCCCAGGCAACTCTCAGAACAGTGGGAAACGGAAATTACTTCAGAGCAGTCGCATCCAAAAGAGAGAAAGTCATGACGGCATCTTTTTGGAACGACTGTCCTGTCGGTCTACGTGTCATCACGGGTGAACGCGATCTACAACCAACCAAGATAAATCTCAACAGTTTTCATTTTGACTATATGTTTGTTTTTTTCCCTTGATAAAACTATTCGGTTTCTAAACGATTTATTAATTATATTGAAGGAAATGAACGATTCATTCACGAAAATTCGAATGAAAAACGAAATGCGATTTGTGAAAACTTGGAAAAATTAAAAAAACTTTGTAAAGTCCGAAAAAAATCTCTATTTTTTTAATAAAAATCTCTTTTTTTCCAAAGTTTTATTTTTGTTCAAAAAGACAAAAGTAAAAATTTCCTCTTCTTTTTTTTTGATTGAAAATCATAAATCAAAAATTTTCACAAATCACATAATGTTTTATTTAAGCAGCCAAAACATGTCCAGTAGCAACGATATGTTGGAAAAATCACATAAACGATATGGATAAAAACTCTTGATTCCAATAAAAAACCATTAGTCCAAGGAATCAGACTATTCATTGAGAAGGAATGTTAGTAACAGAGAACGAATTCAATAAATATACTGACGGTAAAAAGTTCTGAAAACAATTCATAAAACAAGAATAATAGATCTTCAATGAGTGAATAAATATTAAAGCTCAATAAAAAGTGAGTCGCAATTTGTATTAAAGATTGATTTCAAAATTGTCTCAAAGTGTTCTGTATTTGTAGCTTATAATTGGGACGAAGCGACCATCTCTTTTTTTTCTTCTGAAGTTTCATTTCTTGCATTTTGGACGTTTTCTTGAGGTAGAAAAAGCAGCATTATACAAGTCTGTAAATCGAGAATTTGTTTTTGTATAGGATATCAAACTAATAACGGAAAGTATATCAATTTACCTGGAAAATTAGAAGAAGAGCAAAAATGGAGTCTGGGAGGTAAGTCCTCTGAGATCGTAGATGGATAATCTGAAAAACACTTTTTTTTTGAAATCGAGATGCCACCGTACCGTGGGTGCAAAGACGGATCCGAGACGCGCCCCGACGTTGCAAACTCCGCGTGCAATACTTCTGACTTCGATCGGAAATATCTCCGCAGTGTACAAGTGGCTGATCTTCCATGCCGGATCCATCCCAGCGGACACGGTCAGGGCCAACGCCACCAACAGCCATTCGTTGTTCGACGGACTGAATATTTTTCTGCAAAATGGATTACGTTAAAACGTTTTTTAATTTTTCAATCTCACATCAAACTGATGGAAATCGTGCAAATGACGCATATTCCTATTGAGAAAGTAGCAATGTACCGACGCGGAACAAGATTCCAGCAAAAGAATGGAACAAATCCTGAGAGGGCGTTAATATTTAATCTTTATGTGTTGCGTGCGATTGTATGATTCAACAGGAAGAAGGAAATCTGAGTAGATTATATCAAAAATAAAGAATCATGCGAAGTTCTTTTTTGATTGCTAAAAATAGCTGTAACGGTGAAGAGCGTAAACTCATAACTTGCTGAGTAAATTTTTTCAAAAGTCTCGACCGCGATTTTTCTGACCTGTGATGAATTTCAAAAGACCCATCAAAGAGGTGTTGACGAATCGATTTCCAGGTAACGAGTCGAGTGTGAAATAATACCTTAATAACCAAACCTCATCAAATTTGAAAAAAAATGGTCTGACCCAAAAGATACCGCCGACATGGCAGTGAAACAATAAACCATCACAAATACATCTTTCTGGAAACTGCGGTTTCTGAATCAACAAATACGTGTGTGAATTATTTCAAGTCCTCATTCTTACTTGAGCATCAGTTTGCAACGCTTCACATCAACACTCATTTCCTTGATGGGAGAAAATCCAATCACCTCGTACCACATGATATCTAGCGAAAAAGGAATTACAGACTTTTCCTAGTTATTCAGTACCTTTTTCTGCCTCATTTCCGTTCTCAGAGGCGATTTGCAGAGCGACTTTTTTCGCTTTTTCTAATCGGCCGATTGTGGCCAGCCATCGACAGCTTTCGTGGCATTTGAAATGCTGACCAGAGCTACGTGAAATTTCAACATTGACGGATTACACCTACACATGTTAATGCCAGAATGGAGGCTATCAGGGAAACGCAAAAATGATATTTGAGCCAGTGTCGAGTTAATTGAGCTATCATTCCCACGGCGATCTGCAAACTAATCCTCTTTCGTGATTTACACTTGGATTCACCAAAGAAATACTCCAGCCATTTAACGACACGGCGAGAAGACGAGAACGTTTGAGTTCGAAAGATTCGGTGAGCAGAACAAAATTTGATACCTGTAAATTCGATTGCGAACTAGGAATAAGAGAAGTTAAATAATCAGTCAAACGTGAAAATAGGAACGTTTAAATTTTTTTGGTTATTCCAATTATGTCGGTCTCGATATCGGGTATTTAATCTTTGATTGAGGATCATTACTATTATCGGATGCTTCAGAATACACCAGATGAGTCAAAAAAATTTATCTATTTCTCTTTCAAATGACAAAAAAATTTTTTTCCTTTTTTTACTTGAATGAGAATTCTAAACAATGTTCTCGTCTTTTTCACAATTTTTTTCTGAAAAAAATTCTATCGGGCGCTAATTTAGTTTTTTTCTTTTACTCAATCAAAATCTTTGGCTCTATAATTTTTCCAGGTGTAACTGAGAACAGCAGACGTTTTTTTCATTCGAATTTCAACATCAGACGTGATGAATAATCGCAAAAAAAGTTCTACTATTTTCTTGTTGCACAAATGAGAAAAATCATTTAGGAATTGACAAAGAGATAAAAGAGCAATATACGCGCTCTCCAAAAAGGCACTGGAGATTGAATTGAAGTCTTTCAAGAGCCGCGCACGCGCACGCTACGCGTCCCGCGATCCTCGCGTTTTGAGCCAGGAAAATCGACTGTATTGCCAGGACTCGCCATTTTTTGCGAAAAAATCAAAAAATATGTGCACCGACTGAATATAATTTCGAAAAAATTGAAAATGAATCGGTAAAAACGTAGAAAAAGTAGAGCCCTAATTTTTTCAAAGGAATATTTTTATGTAGTTTCTTCGGATTTTTTTTTGTTTGATTTCAAAAAAAAGATCAGCAAACCATGTAACCTCCGCAGAAAATGCCCAGGCAAAGCTGCACGGTATTAACATACTCCCAAAGCCAGTGAACAGTAGCCGCAAAACAAATCGCACCATTTCCAAGGCAAACAAGCATCAAGCAACCTGAGAACGCAAATTTTATTTTTCGATAATTTTTGTTCACAAAAGTTTGGTGCTTATGGAGAGCTCGAGCTGGGAAAATTCTTGTCTGGTGAAATAGCTGTTTTAGTAAACTTTTTTCTTTATTTACCGAGTTCAGACTTTTTCATGAAACCCTATATAACCACAACACGTACAATCCAAAAGATGATAAATTGGTTGATGCATTTTTTCGTCTTTGTTTTGGTTATTTTTCAATTTACTGTCAGTTTGGTTCCATGTTAATTTAGGCCGTTGTGAAAAGCAAAACCATTTTGATGAAAAAGTCTCGCTAGTCTAATTTGGGAGAGTATTATGTGGACGCTTCTATAAAAAAATATTGTTGAGTGTAACTGAGCAGTAGGCCAAGAAAAAAAAACAGAAAGATTCTAAAAAGCTCACCTAGAACCACAGGCTTCCTTCCGAAGTTATCCGCAAGTGCGCCGCCTGCGAAAGAGCCGATCAAAGTTCCGATCATTAGAACTGTGGCAGCTCTAGTGGTAACTTGGGAGGATTTTTCTGTACATGCTTCTCCCGTTTGTACAGTCAGTGAGTAGAATTCATTCTGGAACGTAGAAAAGTGGGTTAATTGTTTTGTTAGATGAGTCAGCTTGAACCTCGTTCCATTCCTCGAAAGCTTCGGCCAAAGAGTTATTGTTATTGACATGCATACAGAACTCCTTAAGGATAAAATCGATAAGTTAAGGGCGTTCCAACTAAAACCTTCGACGGTTCGTAGTACGTTGTCATGAGCATTGTTGACGCTATCGGTATATAACCCAGTTGCGTAACAAGTAGAAGAATTATTTCATATCGGCTGAAGTCAAGCGTTCCTTTTTGCAGGAGAAAAAAAAAACTAGTGTCATATAATACAGGAAATCAATAATATAAATTATCCAGATTTCGTAGAATATCGATGTTTTGAGAGCGAAAACAAAATTAACTCACAGGAAAAAACAGACTTACTTGTAATCGTCTTTGACCTTTTTTCGGCGAAAGGTCATCGTTTCAGGCACGTTGGCGGCCCGGAACGATTTTTCAGTACTCAAAGCAGTTTCTTGCCCAATATCATTGTCCTGAAATATTTATATATAATTGCTCACGCGCAGAAAATATATAAACAACATTGCACCTGTGGATCCGGGAAACAGTTTTTAGGAAATCGCGCTCTATTGAAAAAGGAGTTCGATAGGGCGCAAATGCAATTATTCCAAAAAGATCCAAATACTAACTTTTTCTCTACTTCTAGACGTGTAATATTTTAATTATTATAAGAAATTAGAAGTGAAGTATTTCTTGAGGTTTTTATTTTTTTGTGTTCTTCTTCTGCTTTCCTCGATAATATTTTTCACCTGATTCCAGAATGTCTCTCTTGGGATCCCTGAAAAATTTTGACGCGTATCGCAAACCGATGGAAGACTTTCGCGTGAAAACCATCACCGGCGGGTTAAGTGTGTTTTTGGTTTCGATACATTTTTGAACCTTCGATTCAGTAACCGTAGCCGCAACTTTGTCTATTTTCACCTTGGTGGCGTTGGAGACAAGGCATTTTTTGTCGACAGAAGTTTCCGAACAACTTTTTGTCGATTCCACGACTTCAGACGAACATGTCAAGATTTCATTCGACATAACTTTCCATAAAATGCCGTGCACCTGTAAAAAAAAAAGCGTGGGAAAGTGCATGAATTGTTTTGTTTTAGTTATTACGATTGATGTGATGGATGTGAGCAGCGAAGCTCAAGAAAACATAAAAGACGACATTTATAAGTTACGACTCGATAAGAATGGTCAAAATATAACAGACAGCATTCAGAAAATAGGTAAGTGTTGAGTTTTCCAAATGTCTTCATCATTTAAAAAAAAATGAAGTAAATCATTTTGAGAAATGTTTTTCATTTTCTTGAATATTATCGAAAAAAAAATTTTAAGCGGTCAATCAGAACAAGACGGTACCCGCCAAACCTTCTGAGGAGGCGCCAAAATGTGGAAGTTGTTATGGAGCTTTGCCTGATGGCTCGTGAGTTATTTCTTTTTTAAAACAGAAACGCGTTGAATTTTTTTTATCGCATCAACCCTTTTTTGAGGCTATTCTTCAAATTTTCAAAGTTTTGTTTTTGATGTGGAAAAAACCTTCTCACTTTTGAATTGTTGTTGACGTTCTAATACTGTCCGTAAGTAATCGGAAAATGGATTGCTGTCCAAAGGAAAATCCAGTCTGCAATTTCTTTTTATTCGAAGTTTTCAGTTATGAGTTAATCACAAAAATTACATTGCTAAATGAATCATCAAGTTTAAATAGCTTGAATTGCTCATTTTAGATTCCGAAAAAACTTTTGACAGAACCTTATTTCAAGTCAACAGTAGCACATTGAGAAGTTTTCGATTCAGAAGAGATGTTTTGAAAATGTAAACGAACTAGTTTCACTCACAGAGGAAAAGTTACCCGAGACCTCAATCGAGACGAGCCTCATTTCCTATCATTGATAGTTTTCAGGTGCTGCAACACGTGCGAGGATGTGAAAAACGCCTATGCTCTCAAGGGCTGGCAAGTGAACATCGCTCAGGTCGAGCAATGCAAAGTAAGCACGCTTACAGTTTTTTTCCCAAAAATTTTACCAGAACGATAAATGGGTCCAAGCATTCAACGATTTCAAAGATGAAGGATGTCGCATCTATGGAAAAGTACAGGTAGATAAACATTGATTAGTACATCGGTGTGCTTTAAAAAAAACATTGTTGGAGATATCAATTAGAATTTCATTGGAAAGTTTTTTTTTTCTTTTTCCCTGTTTAGTTTCGCGCCACAAAAAAAAATTATAATGATGAAAAAAAAAATTCAAAACGAGTTTCACCCCAAAAAACAGACGATGTGAAGACGCTGTGCTCTCAAAAGCTCACAAAGAACATTTTGCGACCTTTTTTAAATGCTCGGCGCTTTTCCAACGGTCCGCCCCCTTTTTTGAGAGCGTCACAATTAAACCTCAAAACCATTAGAGCAAAAAAAAAACGATTGTATTGTGGAAAAACGGAGACAAGAAATGGCTCTATATATATTTGTTTTTTTTTAAGTTTAGTATTTTGATTGTAAGAAACAATGAAAAAAAACTTTATTTATTTGCGCGTTTGAAAAATGATTCAGGTGGCAAAAGTGGCAGGAAATTTCCACTTGGCCCCGGGAGATCCTCATCAAGCCATGAGAACTCACGGTCAGCCGTATTTCTATGCTCTTTCCCCTTACTGTTGGTTGTTCCAGTTCACGACTTACACTCGTTGGACCCCTCTCGATTTGATGCTTCTCATACAATTAATCACGTCTCTTTTGGAAATGCGTATCCTGGAAAAACGTATCCGTTGGATTCGAAGACATTTCAATCGGAAAAAGGTGAGAAATTTTTTCCTCTTTTTGAAATGCTTTTTAGGCCCTTTATTGCCTCATCACGCGTGTGAATTCAAAAGGTTTTACAGGCGGTGTAATGTTCCAATATTACGTGAGAGTGGTTCCCACCAGTTACTACTATATTGATGGAAGGCGTGAAGATAGCCACCAGTTTTCCATAACGACACACCAAAAGGATCTCAGCCAAGGTTTGAAAAGTTATTTAATCATTTACATGACAATTTTTAAGTCTTCGGACCCAAAAATGCTGTGCAAATTTACTAAGGCTCAGTAATTTAATTTAAATTTTCAAAAGTAAGAGTTTAAAAGTTGAGAAAAGTTTGGGGAGAATAAAAAATAAAAATCGAAAAAGGATGAAGTGTTGAATAGTAAAGGCTGAAGTTTCAGGTTTGCCTGGACTGCCTGGATTCTTCTTGCAGTACGAGTTCAGCCCACTGATGGTGCATTACGAGGAACGAAAACAGTTAGTTGTTAGTTCTGGCATTTCTGAAGGATGTCAGTTGCAGAGCTCTTTCCACTTTCCTCGTCTCTCTGTGTGCTATTGTTGGAGGTGTCTTCGCCATGGCGCAATTATTCGATCTCACCATTTACCACGCGTCTCGCGTCATTCGACAGAAGATCTCCAATGGAAAACTTATTTGAAGATTTGTTTCCTCTGTTCTGATACAGGCTTCAAAAAGCGAAAAAAAAAATCCCTGTTAAGAGTCTTCATTTCGCACTTTCTGGGTACACATGGGTTTTTTGTTATGTTTTTCTTTCTCATTTGTTTGTTATTGACTTGGATATAAAAAATTATGTTTTTCAACATTGTAAAACTTTATTGAACTTCTTGCTACCACCAAATTATAAGTTCGAAAAAAACTCACGTTATGATAATTTTCACGAAATTGAAAATTAAGACAAAAAATAGAGAAATCAGTAGAAAATATATCTTTCACTGTAATCACTGGTGTACCTGCAAAATAGGAACCACATTGTAAAGTTGCAGTCAGGGGGATTTTAAGACCGGAAGGATATTTTGTGATTAGAATCGATGATACAGATTACAACAGGAACTTGAAATCAAAAATAAAACACCTTCATATAGTCTTAGGAGTTCAATCAATTTTTCCGAAATTTTGACTTTGCTGAAAAAATAAAAACTGGTTTGCGAGAATGGAAAAATGAACAAATAGAAGAGGCTGCTTTTGCGATGAAAGGAATTATTCCTCCAGATTGAGAAGCTTTTTATTGACGTTCTTATTCAAGAGAGTTGCAAGAAAACTAACGTTGCATAGCAACGCCAAAACACTAAAACTTAGATGAGCTTTTATTTCTGGGAGAAAAATTCCAAGTTTTTAGAAAATGTTGCTATGGAAACTCTAGTAAAACTAATTGATTGAAAAGTTTTTTTTTTTCATTTTTTTATCATATGGGTATGAACTTTTAGCAATATTTCGAACAGAGTTAGTGTTTATCTTATAGAATTTATCACAAAAAAGGAAAGAAACCGCGAAACGAAAAATGAATTTTGGTAAATTTCTTCTAACCCATTAAATCGGCCAAATCTTCTATGAACTTTTGACCGATTTCTAAGCTACGGAAAACCAGAGTTGCACTCAGGTGAAAATTGTGACGTGTGAGAACTTGCCTGAGTAAGCATTATTCGCGTTTCTCATTAACTACAAGCTACAAAAAGACGCGTCAATCTAATGTCGGCACGGCTTGTGATTGCAAACGCGAATGTTCGGGCTCTTCGAAGCCAGGGGCGGGGGGTCTTCGCGATGTCGCAAAGTGCAGCGGCAAGGAAAGGTTAACTGCGTCGTTTTCTCGAGAGCTGAGCATGTAACGCGAAAGTTGCGGTGGGAGCGGAGAGTAGACGGACGACGAGCGAGAGAAAAAGATTCTGGAGACTGCCATGTCAGGTACGACGTGCTCTTCCGCGTCTCGTTCTTCTCTTTTTGCCAACTGCTTTGCCTAAAAGAGTATTAATTTTTATTTTTTTATACAAATTTTTCCCACTCGTTTTTCGACGTTTATGATTGTTCGAAAAGTGGAAAAAAACCGGGAACAATTTTTTTGTACAAATTTGCTGATCTCACAGAGGCGCCATCTTGCCTCTCCAATGTTTTTTTGAAGAAAACTGTTTTTAAAAAAAGTTTTTTTCTATTGTAATCCATTTTAAAAGTTAGGTGTTTTCTTCATTGTTCATTCTCCTATCAAAAGGAAGTGCTGTTATTCTTTCATACATTCAATTAGAATCGTATGATGATTTATTGAGAATGTCCCGCTTGAACCCACCATAACTGCGACTCGATGACGAAGCATTGGAAACACGAGGCTGAAAGCGCCTGGAGTACGGAAATCGAGTTTTGCGACGCGACAAGGCAATGGTGAAGGCGCATCCCAATAAGGGACGTGCAAAAAAGCTTTTGCAGCGGCTCGTTCTTCTGGAAGCCTTCTCAAAAGCATGTTCACCAGACTTCGAGCTGGAATCATGGGTTCTCTCAGAATTCTCATATTCTCAACCTGTGACGCTGAGATGAGAGTTTGGGAAGACAACTTTGGCTCGACGGATCCTGCTGAATACTCCCGCTGGAGAAGTGTCAAAGAAAGGGTATTGTCCCAGAAGAAGAAGATAGAGCAAGACGCCAGCTCCCCACATGTCTGCAGCTCGGCCTGAGTAGCCTTTCTGTTTTGGATTGAGTACCTGAATCGAAAATTAGAATGAAGCCTTCGATTTTGAATACCTCCGGCGGCACGTAAGCAGGACTCAAGAATCGCTCCGTAAGCATGTCGTCTTGAGGACTGTCGCAGACAACACAGTCGTAGATGTTTCCAAGGCGCAATCTGCGTTCTTTGCTGTCGAAGACCAGTTTTCTTGGCTTCATATCGCGCACCATGATGCCAATTGAATGACAGAAGTTGAGAATTCGCAGTAGCTGCAAGGTTCGTACTTTCAGGAGACAAGCCATTTTTTTTACCTGATCGAACACCTGCTTGACGTCAGCCTCCGATATGTTGTCGCCCCGATCAGATGCAAAAGAATGAAGAGTTTCTTCTTCGGAAGGCGTGAACATGATGTAAGTTCCATTAGGTTGCTGGAGCATCTCAGCGTTCCGTGGGAAAACGCACTCTCTACAGCTTTCCAGTTTCAAGAACCGTTCTCAATTCGCTCACTTCATCTCGGCTATGTCGATGCCTGGGTAGTAGCGCTCTGCTTCATTGATCCTTGCGACGACGCGCCTGACATTTTCCCCCTCTTTTTTTGTGAGCCTCTGAAATGACCTTATTTTATAGCAGTGAAAAGATTGGTTCACCTGTGCTTTGAAAATGATGTTAGACAGAGCATGAATAGCCCGCCCTTCTCTTCCAGCTCCAATTATACGGTAAAGGCCGATAGTTTCTCCATTGGCCTATAGAAGTGTATTCCCAGAATATGAGCAAACTACAAACAAACTCACCAAATTTTTATGAAGAAGCCGAGTTTCGGATGAACTTGCCGCAGCACGAACCAACCTCTTTTTCTGCTCTTCTCTTTGTTTTAGAAACTCTTGAAAGTCAGCACCGCTCTGAAGACGCTTCATTACTTCGGTGAGCTTTTATTTCTAACTTGTAAAATGGAAGGTGGCGGAAGATCGCACTGTCGGAACACAGGCTGTATTCTGCCAGAGTTACTCGTGTTTGTTAGTTGTCTTTGAGCGGATTCTTCCACAGGTCTAGAGGCTTTCCAATCTCTCTTCGCATGTGCCGTTCTCATAAGTTCTCCCGAGTTTGTGGGATATGGCGCTTGAGGTGTTGCCTTTACTGAGGCACCCGCTGGTGCCACTTCAGAAGTCGGCACTGCATCTTGCTTCTGTCTTTTAGGAACAATCACAGGCACCAAGTCCGAGTCTGTTGGTTGATTCCCATCCTACAAAGATTTGATAATTCATTTTTTTATGTGAAGTTTGACATTTTCCAAAAAAGAAGTCAGAACACGATTTAACCTCATATTTCCAACCTAAGAATACCGTGTTTCAGTTTATAAATTGCAGTTCAACGTTAAAAGTTTTTTGAGTTTCCAATTCAATTTTTTCACTTTAAAAGCTCAATCAATTCAACTTCAGGTTTATAGTGGTGTTTTGTGAACTTGCGAGCTACTTACCTGTAAAGATGGAAGAGCAACTGCCAACGGTCGTTTTCTTGAAACACAATCTCTTGACATATTCTTATTGGCTTTTATACCTGCAAAATGAAAAAATTATTAAAACTTATGGCTCTCTGTTCTAAACCTCAGGAAAAAATCAGGTTTAAAAAAAAAATTTGGAAAACCAAAAAAAAATCGGTCTGGGTTCACGTTCAAAACAGGAAGCCCAAATATTAAATGAAACTTCTTGTTGCAAGAAAACAAATAAAAAGATCGATGCAGAAGAAGCTGAGAAAAGTAAAGTTGACAAAGTCCGTTAGAAAATGTTATCGAAGGAAAGTAATCTGAATGGAGGGGCGCCCTGCGCAGATCAATACTGCACAGAACGGCCCTCGTGTTTCGCAATCGCGTCGAAACGTCGGGCGAGCGAGTCCGTATGACGGCATTCCTTTTTGCTGCAGGGAAGCGCCTCCGCACACTATTTCACAATCTTCATGGAAGGCGGGAAGGCCCACTTTGGAATCATTACAGGAACTCAGCCTCTTTTCAGCGTTGGAAGAAAAAGTTGCAATGTGTTTTTCAAGTGATAAGAATGGATTAAATGCAATTTTCTTCTTAAATATTGGCTCCAGCTTAAAATATGTATGTATGGAATGGAAAAAACCTTGGAAAAATTCTTCGTGAAAAGAAGGAACACCCGAGTATGGAAAATTCTATAAACATTATTGAAACTTTTTCTTTTTTTGCCGATTATACAACTTGTTTTTTTATTGCTTCACATTAATATTTTCTAATAAAAACCAGTTTGTTTGAAAAGTTATAAGATGCATCAAAGCACAGTTCTTGCCAAAAGGTTTCATTCGAAAAACCCTTTGAGTATTCAAAAAGTCGAGTGAGAACCGTGCATAAATTCACGAGAAAATTGAAATTAAGCAACATTTTGGGTATTTGATAGTCTCCGTCAAAAACTCCTTAACTTTGCTTGTGAACTGAAACACCAATTTTGCAAAGTAAATAAAATAAAAACTGAAAATCTCGAAAATTTGGTTGATTTAAAAAAAAAGATCATCGTTGCGAAGAAAAAAATTTAGAAGATAGAAAAAATGTTGAGCATATGCGAAAACCATCATTTTCTTTTTTTTACGAGGTTACCTCGTAAAAGAGACCATTCATATTTTTCTCTGCAGTTTTTTTCTTGAACGGAAAAAAATAGTGGGAAACAGAAAACAAAAAAAACATAAATACGTCTTTCTATTCTAATTTTTATAACAGCTCTGAACTAACAAAAGCCTGAAAATAAAAATAAACTCTTCAAAATAAAATGAAAAAATAAATTGATGAAAATGTTTGAGCGAAGGCTTGTTGAAACTCAGAAACACAAAACAAGAGGATTGTGAAATACGCAAACCGCGTCGCGTCCGTTTGCCTGCACATCTAACAAGGTCCGCGAAATGCAGATTTGTCACTGGGCTGCTGTGTACATCTTTCTCTCAAGTTTTTTTTTTGAAACATTTGAGTCGACTGGTTCCAATTTTTTTTTCAACCTATTCAGAGTTTACTGGTTTTCTAGCCCGCTATTCTCGGAAAATTCTTTTTCAAACATATAATGTTATAATTTTTATTTTAAAGCGTTTTCGCAGTCTACAATCCCACTTTTTTTGAAGAATTTGAGATTTTTGAAAAAAAAAATATATCAGAAAATTTATAGCTCTGTGAAAGATAAGCACGACGTTCGGCTTTCTTTGGCGGTAAATTTCCTCAATGAAACTTCAACTGTTATAAAAATAAGTTTATTTGGGTGAGCTTCATGAGCAAGCTAATAAATGTTTTCTTTGTCTAAAGTCTTTTTTTCATTGCTTGTTTTTCTCCAATTCAAAAGTTATCAGAGAGTGGAAAATTTTAAGAGAAACCAGAAACTGTGAAATAAGATAGTAGTTGTTTACACTACGAAGCAACATAAATCGCCATAACTGTCTGATATTTTTTCAAGTCTGTTCGAGGTGGTCATATTGCGGAGTGGAAGAGAAAAAACCAAGAGATCTGGCGCGAAATAGCGCGGCACGTAGGAGCGCTGCCGCTATCGATTGCGGCGACGTCTTCATTCGTTTCCCCGGTCTATTCGCTTATTCCACCACCTTTTTTTCTCCCTTTTGCTTCCATTGTTAGTTTCTCATGTTTTCTTTTTTACTTGAATTCAGCTTTCATTTCTGGTTTCAGCCGCCATGGCGAACACTCCTTACAACTACTCGTACATCTTCAAGTACATCATCATCGGCGACATGGGAGTTGGAAAGTCGTGTCTGCTCCATCAATTCACAGAGAAGAAGTGTCAGTACGAATGCACAAGATTTATGTTAAAATGTTCGGAGTTTCAGTCATGGCGGATTGCCCCCACACGATTGGCGTTGAGTTTGGCACGAGAATCATTGAAGTGAGCGGCCAGAAAATCAAGCTGCAAATTTGGGACACTGCTGGCCAAGAAAGGTAGTTTTTACTTTTGTATGAATTTTTATTGTCCAAATTTTCTTTGAGCGTAGTCAAACTAAAATTTTTCATAAGCTCATAGATCCCTTTTTTAGGCGAGGGCATAAAAAAAAAGTTCAAAATTAAATAAAAAGCCAAAAAAATGAAAATAAAAATTTTCGTCACTGTTACGCCGCATTTCAAATTGATTGATGACAAATGTTTGGAAAGAAAAAAGAAAAACTTCGTGACCCGATCTGCAGATTCCGTGCCGTAACTCGTTCCTACTACCGCGGAGCCGCTGGAGCTCTGATGGTGTACGACATGACGCGGAGGTCCACATACAATCATTTGAGCAGCTGGCTCACCGATGCACGCAATCTCACCAACCCGAACACTGTGAGTTTGTATTAAGTTTATCCAGAAATTAGCACGAAAGCACTCACATTCTCTTTATTCAAAAAATTTAGAATTGGGAGTATCTTCTAGTTCGATTTCCAGAATACTTTTTGGCACAATAGAAAACATTTTTTTCCATTTTTTCTCACAACAAAATTAAAAAGACTTTTACTACAGGCTATTTGTCATTTTTTAAAGACTCGGGTAATTGCGTCCAAACTTTTACTGTTTTTCAAACTTTTTATCACATATCAGTTGCAAAAAAATCAAAGATCTACTGATTTCTTTTTGACACTGAAAATTTTGAAAATAATTCACAAAATTCCAAAAAAAAAATGGAGTAAGCAGGAAAACGCAGTAGGCAAATCGCAATATCCACATCACCAATATTTGAGGCGATTTTCCTTATCGGCAACAAAGCGGACTTGGAAGACCAGCGCGACGTTCCTTATGAAGAGGCGAAAGCTTTTGCTGAAGAGAACGGTTTGACATTCCTCGAGTGCAGTGCCAAAACGTCAGTTTCCAGTTTTGTAGCTTTTGAAAACCTTAAATGTTTTACAGGGGATCAAACGTCGAAGACGCTTTTTTGGAAACGGCAAAGGAGATCTATCAAAACATTCAAGATGGAAGGTTGGTCAATTTATCAAACTCAGTTCGGTGGCTTGAATTGGGAAAAACTTTTTTTATTCCTTCGAATAATCAAGTTTAATCAAATATCTTTCAAAAGATGGCAATCATTAAAGTTTTTTTTCAGCCTGGACCTGAACGCTGCTGACACGGGAGTCCAGCCAAAACAAACTCTGCCACGTCCGGGAACCACAGCGACCAACGAAAAGAGCGACTGCAAATGCTAGGGGGACAACTGAAGCCGTTGCTTGATGAATTACTCGATTTCTAATTTAATGAAATGCATAAGTCAGCCGTTTTCGATTTTTCTGTTTTTATTTGAAAATGGAAATTCTTACTTTTTTACACACAATATATTAAATTTTCTGTCCTTTTGATTATTATCAGTTCACTTTCTTCATTTTTTCCATATATTGTAGGTTGTAAAAAAAATGTGAATTTGAAAAAAAAAAACCTTTAAAAGTAATTCTTTGAATTATAAATTTGATTGCATTATCAGATGGTTTGTATATTGGAATGCTCTAGAGTTTCTTCTCTTCACTCAATCTTATGGAAACCAAGACTTTCAACTCTTCTACACAAATTATTTCCCAGTTTATTACGTGTCGTCATAGACCTATCTGTGAATAACTGCTTGCTGACATAATTCAGAATCCACATTCTTATATTCTATATCCGCTTTTTTTTCGTATTTTTAATGAAAATTTTTGTCTTTTCTGACATTTCCCAATTTTTGAGTTGTGATATGCGCATATTATTTATAATTGATAAAAGTTATCAACAAAATCTTAACAATTAACAAAAACAAATGAAGGGTAAAATAAAAATAAAACTATTTATTTCCGCAGTCGTTTCTATTGGCTGTTGATTGGCGTTCCGGCAGTTATAACAAGTTTGACGAGCATAGTGAACAATAAACCGGAAACGATTCCTGTAGAAAAGTGTTAAGGAAATGATTCAACGCCTGGTTTTACCGAAAATGAGGAAAAATCCTGCCATCATTCCTACAGTGCGAGCTTTGGATGGGTCGACACTCCTACGAATTGATTGTGATTAAGAGAGAAGTGAGGTAAGCAACTTACTTCGGCGCGTACATCATGGCGAGGCCGCTGAAATAGCCACTGCTGATGCTCATAAGTGCCCCCATAATGACGAAACCCCAAGTTGAAGGGAACCATACTGGATACGATCTGCAGAATTCAAATCGAACTAATTTTGAAATTATATTTCTCAGAGTTCACAAAAGTAAACCAACCGTTCATAAGGCAAGTAGTTGCACATTGCAAAATAGGGAATGAACAGCAGCCGCAGGTACACGGGAATCCATAAATAACCGGGAGAAGGCTGCAATTCGAATTTACCTTAACTTTTCAAGACTAGTAGCGGTGTACTTTTTGAATTAATTTTTTCAAAAAAATTGCGAAGTAGGGAAGGAATCTTTAATTTTCTCGCAGAAAAATTCTGGCTAAAAATAAACTTCCTAAATTTGTGAGCTCAAAGTTTGCATACCCAGCGACAATAATATCAATTTTTAGAGGTGATGCAGAACTTCTTACAAACTGAAAAATGTGTATTCCTAGCTCTCCTATTGAAAATTATTTTTTGACATCAAAAACCCGGGACAAAAATACAAATAAAGAGAAAGTTGGAAAGCCAGAAAAAAAATCTCGACTAACCCATTGGATGGAACCAGCTAGCAAAGAGCCAAAGAAAGCAAAAACATTGAAAAGCAGGAAAGTAGTGACGTCCATGAAATAGTTCTCTCAAATTCAGTGATTGCAATGACTGACGAATCATTTCTTACGGGGCAAAGGAAAGCTGTAAGGCTCTCCTGGCTTCTCGTCGCGTACATACATCATTATTCCAGGAAAAATAGCCAAGGTCGCGAAAAATACAAGGTAGACGTTGATCAGAGCCCAAAACGCCTGTAACAACTCTTTTTGAGAATAGAGGAAAATTTTCCATTTTTTTTTCAATGAATCAGTGAATTATAAACGGAACCATTATTGTCTGTTAATGATTCAATTTGGATAGGCACCTGTTTGAAAGTAGAGAGATAAGACTGGAAAGATCCAGAAGAGCCGTTTTTGTTGTCTGAAACTCTTTGCCGAGCAGCCTTTTCTGTGAAGAAGATGTAAAAAGCCTGAAAAAAATTAAAAATATAAAAATAGGAAAGTGACAGTGCCTTAGTTTTCAAAACAAAAAACGACGCGAAACAGCAGCCAAGAGTCAAAAGCGAAATGCTGAAATATGCGAAAGCGCGATCAAGAACGTTCTTCGTGACTGAAATCAAACGAAAGTTCAGAAAAAGTTCCTCGTCCTCAAAATTTCAAACAGAAAAAAACTTACATGCTTTTGTAGCAATACTCAGAACTGTCACAAAAGTTCCGCAGAGGTTGTTTCCAATGATCACGGCATTTGTGTACTTGAATGGAAAGTCAGAAGCCAGACCGAAAATACTGAAAACCCATGTTTTTCACAATAAAAAGTTTTTCGTTCACCTGTTTTGATAAATTCCATTAGCTCCATTTAAAACAATAATAGTGATGATAGTGATTACGAAAAATGTCGAAACCCCTGTTAACACATAAATAAACTTCTTTTAAAAACAGTTCAAGCGCACAGTTGGAAGTGTCAATATAAATGAAGATCATAGTTGACAGAACAGCCACGGCGACGATGGAAAGCGAGATCGAAATCCTCTTGACCAAATCTCCTCTGAAAAGCTTTAAACAACTGAAAACCTTAAAAAAGGAACTACCTGACGACTACAAAGATGTTGATGAAGTTGAGAAGCAAGTTTGGGATCTGAGCAGCAATCATTTGATAACTCTGGAAGTTTGCCGAGTAGACGCTTGGGGAGCCTGTCACAGCTCCCGTCTCAGGATTCATAGTTGAGTTCTCCAACATTTTGTAAGTTTCGTAGTACTAAAAGTTAATTTTATTCAACCTTTATCAAAAAAACGAAAAACAATACGTCGTATGAAATGTTGAGAAACATATTCCAAGGCATCAATGTCCCGATTCCGTGCAAGAGAATAATGAAGAAAACTAAATTTCCTTTGTCCTAAAAAATAAAATAATTTGTATGGCAGTGAAAAAGAAGAAGAATTACCGGTGGTGGCGGACGCTCTTCGTCGTCCAAGGCAATCGCTCGCTTCTCTGAATTTAGAAATAGAGTTTGAATACGGAAGAAACGGGAGTATGATCGAACATTTTGTTTCAAAAAAAATTTTTTTTCAGAGATTTTGCCAAAAACTTATTTGAAAAACAAACAAACCTCCGGCTGAGAGAAGCTGCAATTCTGCATCGGCCATTCTGAATTCTCAAATATTTTTTTGAGTAAACTCATAAAAAAAAACAATTCAAAAAAATATCAGCACAATAAGAAGAATAACTTTGCTATTTAAAATTTTTTTCAAATCCTCAAAACGTTGATCGTTTCGAGATCCGTTTCAAGGCGCATTACAAAACGCGATTTTTTTGAAATAGATTTCTCTATTGCAAAAAAATCTGTTATTTTAAATAGAAGTTTGAGTTTTGGTCAAACAAATGTGTTATCAAAAAAAGAAAAAAAATAGAAATTAAGTTTGTACAACTTTGTGAAAAAAAAACTCATTTTATTTTCGAAATGAAAACAGATGTGTAAAAAGCTGAAAAAAATTTCCTTCTCCAATGCCACGATTGTTAAAATGTTTCCAACTTGATGGAATTTGAAGTGAAAGCAAATGGTTAGTGAAAACGAAAAGTGTTTGATTGACACGAGGACGATACAGCACGATGATAAGGCTGGATCGCAAAGAGGATTGATGGGAACTCAAATATAAAGAGGGCGAGAGACTGTTGAGAACTAGGAGACTTGGAAGTCCGGGTCGGCGTGGGCGACCTTTCGAGGACCATCGCATCTGTCCCATCTCATAAGTAGGGCTCCGATTACACTTTCCTATCAGAAAACGATAAAGTGAGCGGATTTGTCGAAATTTACATTTTCATTGACTGACTGAGGTCACAAAAGAACAAGATTATCGAATAAATTTGAGACTGTTGCCCATTTGAAGACTTGGAAAGAGAGAAGAAATTTTGACAAAACAACTGCCGAATAATCTCAATTTAGAATTTATCAAATTTCCTCTTAATAAATGAATAATTCCTGTCAAGAAAACTTGACTTTTTGAAACAAAAAGAAAAAAAAATGGGAATGTCAGTCTTTTGTAAAAGGTGGGTTCAATTAATTTACAATTGGGAATTTTTTGAAAATTGTCAAGAAAACTTTTAAATAGTATGTTGAACAGGCTGAGACTCTCAATATAATTAACTAGCCCTTTAAAGCGTGTTCTGGCCAATATTCAAAAAATTCCCGACCGCGAAGTAAAATGACTTTTCTTGTGAGACTTTTTCAAAGTTAGTGCCCTAGAGCAACTTTTTTTCAAATAATAAAAAAATTCATTTTATTTGTCAATAGTTGTTCCCATAAATACTGAAGAGTAGTTTTTCTTTTTTTCATTCACTTCGACAAAAAAACAAAAAGAAGAGCAAACTTGCATCTTAGTTTTTCGTATACACCTTTTTCACTGCAGAAGAAATAACACGGCCAACAAACAAATTCATCATAGGAAACCAGCACAGCAAAAAAACAACAATGAACAATTATTTTCAATTGAAACAAGAAAAATATAACTTAATTCAAAAAACAAAGAAGGAACCGGAAAATATTTATACAAAGGAAATTTTTTTAGAAAAGAATTTATTTCCTTTGTCTTTTGGTCTCATCCTTGGCTCCGTAGTAATACTCAAAACCGTCTTCTGGGTCGGAGTCGTGTCCACTTCGTCGCTCTGAGTGCTCCAAATGTCTTTTTTGGTTTTTCCCATGATGACGCTCGCTGTCACGACTGTCGCGCTCGTGTTCGCGTCGATGACTGCGATTGTGCTCGCGGCTACGGTCGCGGTCGCGTTTTTTTTCGCGATCGCGACTGCTTTCCTTCTCTTTCGCCTTTTCCTTCTCCCTCTCTTTTGTTTTCTCCTTTGTCTTCTCCTTCTCCTTATCTTTGGAACGACCGTGATCTCGTGTTTTGAAAGGCTTTTCTTGGCTCTTTTCTCGCAGCCGTTCCTTTTGATGTGACTTATGTTTTCCTCTACTTCGGTCGCGTTTTCGTTTTTTATCACTCTTTTCTTTCTCTTTCTCTTTTTCTTTTTCTGATTCCTTTTGTTTTGCATCGCTTTTCGGGGTTGTGTCAAGTTCACGTTTAGCTGCTTCTTTCATTTTCATCTCCACCTTCGCCATTTCTTTTAGCCTGAACTCTTCCACCTGAAAAAAATCAAACTGTTTTTTTCGAACGCAGTTCTATTTTAAAAAATTGTTTCAAAAACTAGTAAATACCTTTTTCTTTGGCTCTTGGGTCGTTGTCAGCCTCCAGCTGATCGGCTAATGTCATCGCTTCAACCTGAAGACCTCAGTTAAATCAATTTTTTTAATTTTTCTTAGACAGCAGATGTAAAAACTAAAAACAAAAAAATACCTCGATATCACGTATTATTTTTTTCTTCTATAACCATCGTCCACCGAATTTGAAGATGGAGCCCTACAAAAAAAAATTTGAAACGTGTTGTAAAATTTGGTTTACCGTGATTTGACGTCAAAGGAAACATTGCCCGCCTCAGGTTCCGGCTTAACTTCTGCTTTGACTTCAGTCGAATTTTCAGTCGTTTCAGCGTCCCACTTCGAGCTGATGTAAATAGAGGACTGCGGCTCATTCACAATATCCTCTTCTTTTCTCTTTGATGCGTTTCCCTCTCGCAATTCTTTGAAATCTTTTGTTTCTTCTTCTCTGTCCTGAATTAAAAATATTTTCGAAATGATAAGAGGAAAACACGCCTTTTCAAGGGGTTTGAAGCTTTTCGCAAAGTTCCAAGCGACACTGGTACTCTGAAACAAAAATAAGCGGATGCAAATAGGGAAGTTCACGTCGCGAATCAAGATTTTTTGAAAAGAGGATTTTAAAAAAGGTATTTCCCTACCTCAGCCGGCAAATCTTCAATTGGCACGCCGTCCAAGTCGTCGTCAATCGGATAACCATCAATATCAGCATCTGGTGACGTCGCCCCGTTTCTCGAGGTTTTCTCTGTCTTCAATAAGTTTTTGTTTTGAATTTTTTCTTTTTTCTTGCCTGAATAAGGCCGAGGAAAATGTTTTGACTGCGGATCAGCTTATCCACCGAATAAATTGCCGAGTCTTCCCAGCACCTGAATTAAGAATAATAGGAAAACTGAGACGGGTAACTCACTGAAAGCAGCGAATTACACGTTGTTTAAATTGCTCTTGTTTCAGGCGGGATGGGATGTTTCTATAAGTTTTTCCGAGCGCCGCAAAAATCTAAGATTTGTCAGTTTGCCAGATTCAGGTAATCTGCATACTTTATCCAGTAGAGTTTCAAAATGAACTCGAAAGTAGAAAACATCGCGAATGTTGCGGACAGCACAGTTGGCAAGAATATCGTTTATCAAATACAATCTGAACGAAATTTGGCTCTTTCGGGTAATTTTTTCGTCGTCTACCTGGCTATTTTCTTATTTAGCGGCGTTTCGTCGAGAGTGAGAGATTCATAGAGACACTCACAGATTTCCTTCGAAAATTGAGCATGTTCTATGCACCAAACCATTGCTTCACCAATCTGAAAGGAATAGGTTTGAGAACGGTATTCAAAAAACCTAACCTTTTTCTGCTCCGGAACCAACTCGCGCAACTTGCTCTCCAACCTTCTTCTGTTTTTGCGTGACATCAAGTTTTTATCTTTTATCAGCATCCGTTTTTTTTCAGGGCTCTCAGTGATCTCAGGCTCTATTTTTTTTTCTTCCTTAATAGAAAAACTAACTTTTTTTTTTAAATTCTGATAACTGACAATTTTCTTTACTCCGCACCATCTTTCAGGATTTGTACGTATGCAACTGGTGTAGTACAAACTTTTTGGCATTACTTGATACAGATCGTTTGTCGGCGTCGGCGGCAACCACCAACTTCCTTCGTCAAACATTCTCAAATGAAAATTATAAACACCCACTTGAGTTTAAAAACCTGAATTTCTCTTTTCTCCACAAAGTTTCCGTGTCGCCTTGCATCAAAGAAAAGATTTTCCAACGATAATATGTGTGCGCTGGATGATGATTGTTGTAGAGAAATCTGTGAGACTTGGCAGTTACGTCCAAACAAAAAAAAATACCTGAAGATCGGGTTTTTGAACTCCTGCTTCATGATCATTGCTTCAAAAATCGGCCCCTCAGTAACCACGTAAACGGCCATGCGGTTGATCAGACGAAGTAAACGTCTTCAATTAGTCATTCACATGTAGGAAACAAATAAACTTTGAAAAAATATTTGAAGTTTTCTCATTCCTTATCCTATTATAACCATTAAGAAAAAAAACCTGTCTGTTGGAATCACCACACGTACTGTTGCGTTTCGTAGCATCTAAAAAAATTTTTTTCTTTCTTTTTTAATTGTTTTTTACTTTGTAGTATGCTTCGTGAGCTGGATGATCTTGTCCTGGAAATTCGTTGATCGGTGGAAAACCGCCGAAATCTTGTAGAAATCGCACCGCCTGAAGTGAAAATCAGCAGGAAGAATCATTTTGTAAGCGGACGTCATTTAAAAGAGGTCGAGCGTTGAACGGGAGGTTTGTTGGCGCGTCAGGAATTTGAAGTTTTTTCAGCGCTGATGGAACATAGTAGGGCTGTAAACGAAAACACTGAAAGAAAGAAAAAACTAATAGACTAAACTGGTATTTTTTAACTTTCACCAAACGATAATTGGAAGGAACTTACTTTTGCCGGTATTGCGATCGGGCGGCCCAAGGCGATTCTCACAGCAACATCTCGAATGATTAGTACTTTGGTTAGCTGGAGGACTCGGTCAACGTCTGCTCGACTCCTCCAACACACATATTTTTATTTGATAAATGAATGAAACTGTGACTGAAGCTTCAAATGCACTTTTCTGAAACTTACATAAAAGCGACAAAAGCACAAATGAATGGTCGCCGATTTTCTTCTTCGTTTTTTGGATACAGTATTTTGACGGACGCTAAAGGCCCAAAAGAGCCGAACGAGAGCAATAGATCCATTTTTGTTGCCTGCAGTCTTCATTTGCTTTTTTAAATGCCAAAATTCAATCACCGAGTGTGACAGATTAGAGATGTACACATTCGTTGTGTATGGATCTTCAGCAAATTCTCCTCCTGTGTTGTACGGTTTATCTAGTGGAGGAACGATCCTGAAAAAAATAAAATCTTTAGAAAATTTTTTGACAAAAATGAACTTATTGATTGCTGAAATATCCAGTCCCACACTGCTCAAGTTGTTTCGAAACGAATTTCTTTTTTCTCGGTCTTCTTGTACTCTTAAATACTTATAATTTGAAACGCACTGCAGTAATTTAAAAATTAACATTTGCAAAAAATCGCATTGAAAGAAACCTCTCCAATTCCTGTTTGAACATTTCGAGGTTGCTCATTTTTGCCTTTTGCTGAGATCTGTTCGCCCCGGGTCTCGGTGGTCTTTGCATTGGAGGAGCCGTTTTTGGAGCCACAACTTTGGGAACTGGCATGTTCTTGGCCTTCGCTGCTTCTTCTAACATTCTCCTTGCCTAAAAAGGACAATTTTGTCAATACGCATTTTTTGAATGTTTATAATGGTTCAACCTTTCCATTTAAGTGATACGCAAAACAAAACCTTGGCCGCTGCAAGTTTTTTAGCTCCTTCGAAGTCATTGGCGGAGACGTTGCTGGCGGGAAGCTTGAGATTTGAAGCGGGCGTGTAAAGTTTGTTGCCGGAATCTTCGGGCTTGGCAACTGCGAAAATAAATTGTATGTTTACAACAATTTTGATGCGAACTTGATTTGTTTCCTTCGACTATGTCGGCTCGAATGAAAGTCTTTGGAACCGAGGATGGAGCCGACTGTCCAAATTGCACTTGGAACTCATAAAGAGCTTCGCTGAGATCTTCCTCTTCATTATTCTGAAACCATTTGTTTAAAGAAGCTGACATTATAAGAAAACCTTTTTTTTCTTTTTGCTCCTGTCCATTGCTGTAAATGAAAGTGAAAAAATGACTTGATAAAATCGAAAAAAATATTTTCAACGTCAAAACGCTGGAGTTATAAAATACAACTTCAAACAAATGAAATAAATATATTACCAAGTATTCACATAAATCAGTATAAAATGATATTTTTAAAAAGCTCAAAAAAACTAGAGAAATAGAGGATTCCAGTCGTTCGATAAAAAAAAAGGAAAGGCATCTGAATAAAATATTGTACAACCTAGTCTATAAAAAGAAATGAGCAAAAAATTGTCACAACAAGGCCTAGAAGTAATACCCCTTCTTATCAAAAAAAAACCTTGTATTGAAAACACCGTAACAAAAGGCAAAAGCTTTTACAACAAATGAATAAAAATTTTTTTTCAGTATGATCCGACCGTACCCAAACCTGTCCACTGGTCCGGCACCACAGGAAAATAAGAATCAATCGCTTCCGAAAATCTAATAAAAAACAACTGCAAAATTCACAAAAGCTGATTAAGAACCTGGCGCAATACATTTCCGGACTAAGAATTGTAGGAAGATGAGCACCAGGTATAGCGACAATTTTTACCCAGGATTCCAGTTTCTGTAAAAATTTGAATATAGGAAAGAAGCTTTTTTCAAACTTTGTCTAGAGTATATGTTCTCATGTAGTCGACAATGCCTAGAATAAGTTCTCCATTATCGTCGTCAACGCCGACAAGAAGAGAGTAGTCCATCACAGACTGCAAATTAACATTCTTTCGGCAAAAAAATGAAATTTTTGTTTTTACAAAAAAATTCAAAAAAATAAAAATTTTTTTGTGGAAAGTATCTCAATGTTTCCAGATCAGAAAATTGTTTTTTTCAATTTTTGACTGCAATATTTGTTTTTCACTTGCCTGTGAACTTAGAAAGTGGCTGTCATTGCTGATAGCTTGGTTGAGGGCAGCTTTAGAATGAGGCAAAATGTAGAGCTGCTGGTTCCAAAGGTCATTGACAAAATTTTCATCCAGAAGCACCAAGTCAGAAGAAGTCTTTCCAGTGGTTGCTAATCTGAAAACAAAGAAGTTTTAAAAAAAATCTACGTTTATATTTTACCTGTTCCGAAGAGAGCCTTTGAGGTCCCAAACTTTGCTCACATTGTGGTCATAAAAAAGATATTCCATAACCAAAATGTCAACTTTCAATTGTGTCGATTTACTTTTGTAACCAATGCGAAAAACTCCATAAACCTGAAATTTGTTTTTTATGTATCATTTTTCAAGAAAGCTGTTGCTGTAAAATTACCTTGCAAAGAGTTGTCAATTTGTTTTCGGTAGCAGCGGTCGTCAGATAATCGAAATAGTTTGGGGCAAACTTCACAAAAGACTGTATTTCGAAACGAGACATTTGCTTGACAACAAATCTCTCGTCTTTTGTTCGGTAGAAAAACGATCCCGACTTCCCTCCCTTGAATATTCAAATGAAATTGATGATCGAGGCCTTTCCATTACTCTTTTGTTAATTAAAAATTCATTGAGATCCTTAATAAAAAGTGAAAATTGCCTGAGGAGTCCAAAAAGTGGTTTGAGATATAGAACGAATGAACGAATTTTCTCCACCAGCGAAGAGGAGTTCACGTAGCTCTCGGAATTGTTTTGCATAGAAAACCTTAAATGATGTTTAAGCAGAGCTCTAAAAGTTTGAAAGAACCTTGACAAAATAGGAAGAAGTGTCATCCTGAAATTCAACATCCAAATGATGAGTGGACTTCAGAATGTCCGATTCGTGGATATCTGACTGATCAGTCTTATCATGTCCAACAGAAGAGTCCGTCATGTCCAGAATAGAAGGTTCCTCAATGAATTTATCTTACAATTGAGCCGGATTTTCAGAAAACTTCATAAGCTGCTGAAGACAAAGCGTAGGCAATAATACTTCCGATATCTGGCTTATAATTTCCTTTTGAATCCTAAAAAGGTTTTTGATTTTTATGCCAAAAAATACTGCCAGCCGTTTTTGAACCTGGATATCTCGAACCACGACCCCAACACGAGGTTGAAGTGGTATGGAGAGGTGCAAATGAGCCGGAAACGGATTCTCCATTTTTTCAAATTTTCCCGGTGGCCACTGCAAAACTTCGACTCAATTGATAAAATATGAAAAAAAAAACCTCGAAATTGATTATTTCTTCCGTTATCTTGCGAGGAGTTCGATCTGCTTGTGAAATTTTTTCATTCCATTGACTTATCAACGAATGCGCTAGTTCACGAACTTTCATCAACATCTCAGTGCCCTGAACAGTCTCCAGTATTTTTGAGTTTTTATTCGACGCGGGAAAATTTTTGAAAAATAAATTATCAAACTGTCGAGTTGGAGCAGCTTTCTATCGTTTCAACATAATTTTTGGAGAAAAAGAAAATAGGCATGCCTGAATGAAAGTATTATCGTTAGTCGATATAACAGTTTCATCTTGCGAGATGAGGTCCTTTGCAAAAGAGCGAGTTTCCCTGAACAATGAAATTCGGGTGAAAAAAACGTCAGAGTCAAACATTGCATAGGTCATTGTGCTCTTCACCAAGCCCTTGAAAATTGAAATCGCGGACGAAAAACTTTCGTCCAAATTTGCCAGTTGGCGATTTGTTTGTTCACAAACTTCCAAAGCCAACTTAGAAAGCCTTAAAATTTTCAATTTATATTTTTTCCTTTTTCTTTTCCGACCTGTTGAGGTCTTCTATCAATTCTTTTTTGCTAGAATTCAGAAGCTTGGCGTGACAAATGATCGGTGAAAAAACGACACCATATGGATTGATCTAGAATTATTCATTTCGCATTGATAATAGTGCCAAACCTTACCGCCACGCTTTTGAAAGAAGTCACAATGTTTTCTAACCCGAAAAACTGCGTCTTCTCATGGAAAAAACAGTGATCGCATTCGTCTTTAGGATTTCCCAGAAAATCGTTCTGGAAAACTGAGTTCGTGATATATGAAAGTCGAAAAATTCTTACGGTAGCATAACAGGAATTGCTCAAGTAATCTATAAATCTGGCAAAGGAAAGATGATAAGCAGTTTCATCCATTTTTGTCATTTTGGACGAGAAGTTGCACCTGTAACTTATATAAAATTTTTTTTTCTACATTTGCAAATAAAGAGTATGTTTGTAACCTACTTTGAGCAGTTCTGCCATGCAACGATCTTTTTGCAACTTGCGTTCAAATCGGTCAAGACTTCAGATTCTGGCATCAGCTGGGTGGCGATTTCAATGCACACCCGTGATAAAACCTGTAAAAATTGTGTTTATCAAAAAGTCTGAAAACTACTCTTGAAGCAAACTCACAAGTTTCCTTGAGTGCTCGAGCATTGAAACTTCACAGTTTTGCGATGGGCATTCGTATGACTTGTTGAAGCAGTACCTATAAGTTTGAAAGTGGAAAAAACTCGGAAGCTCGGGAATACTTGGTCAGAAATTCGCCCAGAGTCATGTCGTGGTCGCCGTAATATTGCATGCTAACGACCCACGGTCGGACACAGAAATAAGGGGCATTTGGGGATTTTCTTGAAAATGAACCAAAGAGAACCGCGATTCTTTGATGCAAGCGGGGATCCAATACGTCTTTGGCGCGTAGTTGCTGCAATAACGTCCATAGACACTTTTTCGGAACTTTTTTTACTTTTGAGCTTTCCTTCTTCTCAGTTGTTTGCCTTTTATAATTTCTCTTCAATTTTTTCCGGAAAGAGACTCCCGCCAGGGAACAGAAGGATGAATATCTTCCGAATAGAGCAGATCCATCGAGGCACTTGCCAAAGTCATGCCGCTCGAGAACTCGGGCAGTCTCATGGTCCTAGATGCTTAAACTTTTCAAAATGTTAACAGGGGATCTCACTTCTGTCGCTGACGCAGGTTTTGCAGAAGCAGTCATATCGGCAGAGCTTCTGAGACGATAGAGTGGATGTTTGAAATAACTTATCAAAGGGCACTTTCTGAATTATGGAAGCGGTTTCAAATCAGAAAAAGAGTCAACTCACTTTCCTTTAGCAGTTTCCAGAAAAGGGGCTTCAAACTCAATAAAAGGAGAAGGAGACAGGCAGGCAGACGAAACGGCTTTTTCGAATTTAGTCTGCAGAAAGAAGTTTTTTCATGTATTTCGTTTTGCCGAAATAACTTTATTCTCGTCTACTTCTGCTTCTTTCCTGGTTTCGCAAACCATGCAATCGGAAGTTTTGATGATTGGACGGACATTGAATGCCGTGAGATAAGCGCATTCGAGACGGTTGGAATAGAAAATTGTGATGAAACACTTCAAGATTCTTTTCACGGTGTGTAATTCTCTTTCGTCTTTGCTCTGTATCAAAAGGGTACAGCCAAGGTCTTCAGGACAATCGGAGAAAACCTGGAATTTTAAACTTATAAAGAAAAAATCTCATACAAGGTTGTAGATGTCCAACAAATAAAGGTCTTCAAATCATTTTTGAACCTTGTTTTTCAAATTCAAATATTGAGTATGTTTGAAAAAAATGACGACACTCACCAGAAGCAATTTCGAAGATCCATCTTTGAGTTTTACTGTTCGCTGTCCAAACATGGAACAATGACCTAAGTTCTGTTCAACGATCTGAGCATCGGAAGCAGAGACGATATCGGCGCCAGTAGCTCGAGAAATTCTTTGCAATGCACTGTTACAAGGTTCCTTTATAATATTTTGCAGTGAAAGAGTGAAAACCTTGATTTAACATTCAGAGCTATTTTGACGTTCCGATTCTGTAGCAACAAGGCCGCGACTCGAGAAACACCTCCTTCGACAAGAATAAGAGAAGCTCTTTTTGATACAATTCGTTCGATCTGTAACAAATAGCAATGTTTCTCACATTTTGGGAAATTGCTTGAAGCGGGTAATTTCTCTAATGAAAACCTGTTTTTCCAAATACTTTTCTTCTTGACAAATGATTGGCTCGAGAGATGTCAATTTGTTGGAAATTCTTTCGTATTCTACTGAACCGCCAATCAGCATTATAGACTCTTCTGAAAAACTAAAAACCGAAAGATTTTTAATCTAGAAAAAAATTTTTCACTTCGTTTTTCGACAACCATGTCCTCATGAAGCAAGCTTTTTGCTGCAGACTACGCCATTCACAATCTGAAAAAAAAATATTATATTATTTCTGAAGTACCAGAAAAAAACCTCAACAGTGGGCTCTGATTGATTGACAAGCAATTTCTTGATGTGGACATAGGCCGCGGCGTTCATGGAATCCCCTTTACGGACGTTGACTTCGAGTTTTTCTGCCACTGATTTAGCTGTTTTTAAAAATTATCGTTTTCCAGCTGAAAAAAACTATAAACTTTTTTTATTTTTTTGAAACAGAAAAATTTCAACCGTTGACTGTCGATATCTTCTCGGAATAGAATGTCGTCAAGAATCTTTTCGGTATTTTTCAAAAAAATTTCCTTGAGATTGTTTTCCGTGTTTATTTCTAGGTTCTTCTCTTCCGTCGACCTGAGAAATTTAGTGAGTAAAGAAAAAAGTTCAGTATACAAACATTTTCGGATAAGTAATTTTCCTTCCAGATTCTACTTCTTGGCTAGCAAGCACGTCTTTCACTGTGTTGGTAGTGGCCATGTTGGCGTAGGCAAACATGTCGGAAGAGTCAGAGATCCGAAATACAAAGTTTGAGACAAAACTTGATTAAAAAAACAACTTCGTTAGATATCACGCCATCCATTCCATGGTTCATGCTTCTGAACCAATCGGGACCAGATTCGTCTTCTTCGCTGATCAGTGAGGTCATGGTTTCCTGAAAAAGTTATTTCAAAGTTAATTAAATAGGAAAATACTTGCCTATTTTTATTATTTTTAACACCTGTGTGATTTTGACCTCGAAAAACATTTTTTTATTTTTATTTTTGCCCTTCTCTCTCACTTATCGACTTTTTTTTCAAATTTGAAAAAATGTGATGGAAGCTCACATTCAGTTGGAGCCCTCCTGAGATATGGGATCCTGCGCAAAGTTCGTGAACGGACAAAATTGAAGGCGAGTAGTCGTTTACTTGGATTTTGTTTTGGATAGGAGGATCTTCAGGAGAATCGATGCTTGTACCCGGGCAAATAGACCAAATGGTTCCTTAATATAATATTTCACTAAATCAACATTTCAGCTGCTACCGTTAGACACTGTTTTCACAGTGTCCGAGTTCATCACTTTTGACTGATCGCTCAATTTGCGAGACAAAATGGTCTGTTGGGAGTTTTTGCGTCCTTGCAAAATACTGGGCTCGTTTGACTTCTGTTGAACTTTTGTCGCGCAAAAATCGCAGAGACGCAGCTCCCCCAAATAACCTGAAAAAAAGCGTCAAACAATTTTTTGATTGAATTTACCTAATGAAGATCCGTCTACTCGATTATTACAACATTTCGAGCAAAAAATTTGCCCACACAGTCGACAATGATGACGACGACTGAAAAGGAAAATTAAATTGTTTTGTTTAGGGATTTTCACACCGAAAAGTTGTGAACCGTTCTTCACACTGATAACATTCTTTTCCAGTAGCATCAGGCATCCAATATTGCTCTGAAAAACTCAAATAGGAGTTGAATTTGAAGTGAAAGATGGGAAAAAAGGAACGTGAATATCTCACTAAAACTGCTGTCGTTGTAGTTCTTCAGCTCAACTTTAGCGTCAACTTTTCCGGGATTTTTGCGTTGAAAAGAACCATTAAAGTTCGCATTGCTTGGTGCAGGAAGATTCGAAACTAAATCAAACCAAAAAATATAAATGAAAATCGTAACATTAAATTTATTGGCATTGCATGTAATTCGTAAGATAGTTTTCCGTAGGCAACGATAATAATCCAGATAACATACAACTGTACCGTCGAAAAATCACCAATAGAGTTGCTTATTGCAGACTCGACGTTTGTAGACGGAACAGATGATACCCGTGGAATTGAAGAAGAAGAAGGCGTTTCCGTTCGAAAAACGCGGTCAATTAATCCCGAGAAAAAACTTCCACCTGAATTTATTATTATTTCCCTCCTTTCCATATTTTGTTTCATTCCTAGAAACATGAAACACAAAAGTATTATACACCAACCCACCTCCCATAGGCGTAGCAGGAGAATACTCGTTAGGCTCATCAAGTTTATTGAAAAAATTTAACTGACCGCTGTCTTTCATGTATCTGAAACAATTTTTTTACTGTTGAAAAAAATTATTATGAGCCAGAAACATCAAAACGAGTTTCATTAGGAAATACTCAAAAAAAGTTTTTTTGACAAAAAAACTCAAAAAAACTCACAGGAAAAAAAGAAACTTTTTCGAAAGATTTAGTGAACAATCAACAAAAAAAGAATAATTCAACAATTTGATTTATATAAGTTCAACAAAAAAAAAATTGGAAAAAATAGAACTTCTTTACAAAAAAAAATGCGGGTGCGGGTGGCGTATGTTCGCAGACACCGCGGCGGTCTTTCCCTCTCTTCTTTTCAAACTCACGTTGGTTTTCTATTTTTTTCTCGTATTATTATAAGTTCATTTTATATTTTTTTGTTATTCTGAAGATTTTTGACGTTACCAGGGTACTCCATTGTACATGGAACATTGTTCAATATCCTCCTTTCATGAATGTGACCTCACTTTGGCATATTTCTTTTTTTTCCCTTGCTTCTTGCGGTTCCTATAATCAGTCTTGTTACGGAGATAAGGAAAAACTATTTTATTTATTTTTTTTTCCTTCTGAGCATGCTTTTCGCTTTCGACTTTTGCGTTTTGTATACTCATCAAAAATTCATGCTGTTAATGTAAGCAATTTTTCTTTATAAAATCTGTTAAAATCCAAGGAAAGTATGAAAATTTTTGGTTTTTTTATGTGTGAATATTGTGTTTTTTTCTCCTTGCAAGTTATCGGAACATTCTTTTTTAAATGTCATTGTACTTTAGACATCAGAAATGCTTTAGTCTTGCAAAAAAAGGCCATTTTCACTCGTCTATAGCCGAAGGAGTGAATTTTTTGACAAATGTTATCCCATGGGTCGCCGGCCAGCGCAAATGTCAAGCAATCCACGCATTTCAAACTTTTTGCACTCAAAGCTTTCAAAAACTTTTTATTGAAGTGTTATTTAGATGCTGGATCATTCCTATTGATAAAAATTTTTGTCTTTGGTGGATTTTCCTCAGAAGAATTGCATTATTTCAGTTGTTGAATTTTCGATTCAGACTTGTTCAAAAAAATGAATCGTATTTTGTTGTATAATTTGAGTTCTATCTAGAAGAAATTGCCATTTTTTGCAGTTGGGTCAGCGCTACGATGATGCGAGACATTCAACGGCGCGTGGAGTGGATACTGGTCAGTGGAAGATGGACTCGAGTGTCGGTTAGTAGGTTCTTGAAAATTGGCAAAAAAACAAATTTTCAGGTTATGGGTACTAATCTATCCGAAGAAAGCCTTCGGAAAGATAACATGGGCGAAAACGATAACCGAATCGTTATATTAATGGTCCCAGGTAAAATTTTCTGCTAGAGATACGAATCTACATATAGAAAAAATAAATATTCATTTGAAATTTTTCAGGAAATCCCGGAAACGAAGGCTTTTATGCAGATTTCGGAAAACGTGTCCTGAGCTGCTTGTTGTCGCGTGAAGAGCGTCTTGGCAAAAGGAAACTCCAGTTTCTTTTCTACACGGTTTCCCATCTGAATCACGTCGTGCTGCCGACTGAGCTTCACCATTCTGGGAAGCATCGCTGTGACGGTAAGAAGACCGTCGTCTGAGAGGATTGTGAAGTGTTGGATTGTAGAGAGATTCACTCTGGATGAGCAAGTTCAACACAAACTCGACTTCGTCAAGGAGTTTTTGCCGCGCGGACACCGAGTCTACATGCTCGGACACAGTATCGGTTCATACATGCTCTTGAGGTGTCTTTTCAATTGAGTCAAGTATTAAATAGAAAATTTCCGACGACTTTCGAAAATATTGACTACATTGAGAAATAGTATATACATGTGTACAGTGATGGGAACCAAACATTTTTCAAATAAATACGTCCAAAATCTTCATTCACAGTAAATGTTTCATACACTATTTTGGGTAATTGTGATTTCAAATAAAACAAGGAAAAATTCAAAATTAGGGTTTTTCAATGAATATTTCTGTTTGAAAATCCTTTTTTTCCTAAATACTTAGTTTGCAATTTTTGAATGATCATTCAATAAAAGTTGATAGAAGAATCATAGAAGCGAATTTTTTTTGGTATTGATTTCTGAACTTTAATGAAAATATGTCAATAAATAAATTTTGTTCCAGAATTCTGCCCTACATCAAAGAAGACTTCAATTTGAAAAAAGCGGTTTGTTTGTACCCCACAATTGAAAAAATGGCAGAAACGCCAAATGGAATTCGCCTCCGAAAAGTTCTTGCAGTGAGTTTTTTAATTTATTGTTTTCAAACTGTAAAGAGTTTGCAGACCCTGAACGCCAATGATTGGTTGGCCAAAAGCCTGACTTTTTGGCTAGACTTTCTTCCGTCGACGGCAAAAAAGTGGCTCGTCAGCTGGAACCTCACGGGAGAAGGCGTAAGTCCATTTTTTTTTCTTTTCAAGGACCACGCAAGTCTTCAGGTCCCCGCAGACGTTATCTCCTCAGCATCGGAGTTGCTCAATATGAATGTTTTTAGAAACATTGTTCATATGTCAAACGACGAGTTGGATCAGGTGATTAGAATATTTGAAACATAATTAAGACCATTATCATATTCATTCTTCTTTCTCATACAAAGTAATTTTTAGGTGACTGAACTCGACGAAACTTTGTTGTTCCATAAAGAGTCCATTTTCTTTTATTACGGGATTCGCGATGGCTGGTGTCCTTTGGAACTCGGTGAATTAAAAGTTGAAAAAAGTTGGAACTGATTTTTTTAAGGGGAAAAAATGTCGGCCAGAATGGCAAGGGGCCACGTTATTGTAGACACTCACAATTGCGAACATGCTTTCGTTATCCGCGACGGAAAAGTGATGGCCGAGGAAATGCTTCAGTTCATTGTCTAATTGTATTCTTCACTTACAATCTCGCAATAAATAAATATTTATTCTGAAGTGCAATAAAGACATCAATTTGGTTTCAGAGTCAGATTCAAAATATAACAAGTGTACTAAAACTGATGAAAACGAGACATTGAAGGTGTTTGAAACAAAAATTCATTTCATTCGGGACGTTCTCAGTTCAGAAAGATAGAAAAAGTAAATTGAAATTTATTACTCGTTCATAACAAGTATTGAAGAAAGTAGATAGTCAGTTGAAGGAATCACGCGGTCAGAAGAACTTCTTTCTGCATGGAAATTTCCTTTCGAATGAGTGTCGATTTTGGCCTTTGAAGTCGTCCAATGCAACAGATCCAAGCACACAAGAGCGTTGTTACAACTATGAAGATGCCGCCGACAAAGATTAGACATGTTGGGACTGCCATCTTGATAATGCTGCTAAAATCAGACAAAAATCAACAAAATTATTGACTTCGATGGAAAAAAGTTTAACCGGAATAAGGCTTGTCGATCAGCAAAAGCGAAAAATTGACAGACAGCCCTGAAAGGATGAGGGAACAAATGAGCGAAGACAATCGTGAAATTTTCCGATATGCAACAAATAGCTTGAAATGTGCGGAGTAATAACAAAACAGCAATAAGCAAAAAAAAGCGATCAATAAGTCAGAGCATCTTATCAATCGCACGGACAGTGAGATAAAAAAATGGTTCTGAAGAGTCAGAAACATGTTAATAGGGCGCCACTTCACGTAAAAATATTTTCTTCATTATTGAAAGAGAAATAAAAAAAACAAAAAGCAAGGAGTCCTAGGTCCATGTACAAACAGCTGAAAATTAGGGTACTATGGGAATTTCCATCTCACTTAAACTTCTTGAATCAGGTCTTTCTCTGCAGTTTTCGGAGTCCTTTTTTCAGCGTCTTCAGTTTTATGATGGAGGTATTCCCTTAAAACAAAAAGATATATTATCCGAATAGAATTGATGAATATACCGGAATTCGCCCTCAGCAGCGTCGCACTTGGAATATCTCTGGTCCACGTTGCGGTTGCTGATTCCCCTCTGATTGCACACCATGCTGCACAGAAAAACGATGCTCATGAGCACGATGACGCCCAAAGTCATTGCCGCGAGCACCACCAGCGTCATGTACAAGCTGTTGGAGCGTAGCGAGTTTATCACGGATGCCTGAGCAAATCTTCTTCTACGGCTTCCCTCTGTACTTTTTCTTACTTTTGGTGGCTTCATCTTCACGCAGTTGTACATTTCGAGATTTTTATGCTCATAATAAACAAACGTGGTTGTGCATAGGTGTGCGCAGACTTCATTGCAGCCTGCTCTGTCTCCAAAAGTATAGGATATTTTTTCTGAAAACTTCATTAATGAGCTTTTTTGGAATTTTTTCGAAAAGTCTTTTTTGAAACTTTTTTGCAAATGTAATGCATAAAAATGAAAACCTGGCTGTTGAGTGGAAATTCCGAAAAAATCTTCATCAGAGGAGATAGCGGCGGCGCACCCGAGAATAACCATTATCACAAAGGTTTTTGGGATATCTGCCATTGCGAACCCTAAAATTATCCTTTATGTAAAACAAAAAAAAATACACAAGTGAGACCCAAAACGCAGTTATGAATGAAGAAAAGAAGAAAGAAATGTCGGGCTTCACGTTCCCAACAGGCCTTTTGGGAAAAAATCTAAAAGACATTTCTAAAATTCTCACGCTCTAAAACCGTACAATTTCCAAAATTTGTGATATCGATTCTTTTGCAAGATAAGAACGGAATTGTTTTTTTATAGAAATTACGCCGGTTTCATTTAAGGACACCTACGCAGTATATGTCAAACAAGCAATGATATGCGAGTGAGGCATGAGTTATAAACAGTCAAAACAAATGCCACGTTATGATTCATCGCTTTTCTCACGTCTCAATTTATGTATACGCTTTTGAAACTTAGAACAATCGAAACTAATCCATACACGAGAGATTCGAAATTCACCTTTGGCAAAATTGAGGTCTTTCGAGTTTTTGATGAAAAAACAACTATATTTTTTGGGCCGAACGATACTTTCGGGAAAGAAAACTTCGCAACCGAAACAAACCATAAAGGTGAAGAAAAAAAACTTTGTACAATTTTAACCCCTCATACATGGACAATAATAAAGAATAAGTCCTAAGTCAAAGTCCGATTATTATGAGTAAAAATTATTTTTCTTATTGGACGATTTTTGCTTGAATAAAAACAAAAAGTGTAACGTAAGATGGTACATAAAGACAAGCTAAAAAAGGAGCGAAGGTTAGATAGTGCCAAGTTAGTGGCGGCATTGTTTGCATTGGTCGGATGTCACGGGTCAGTGCATGGAACTGCCATCAGGTACACATAGCTACACTTCCGTGTATGTACATGGCCACTCCGGCAAGAAAGTTACGAAAACTTCAATTTTTGTTTAGCAGATGTTCAAATGAAGGCTTTGGGGAACAAGTGCAAAAATCCAGTATGTTGCTCAATTACTGATGACATGTTATGATCGATTGCTTCAGTGTCCATCAGAACGTTGGAAAAAGTACAAAGATTTCATAGACCTGAACCATTGGACAATCCTTGAAATTTTCAAATCAAAGTAAATTAAATTTTTTTCTGAAATCGTAGAAAGTTCTTTTATTTTTATGTAATAATTTTTTTTCAAATGTTCCAATTTTTCCCTCTCAAAAACTGCACTTTTCGCAAGAAAAAAATTTCAAACCATTTTTTTGCAAATACTTTTTAGATGAGTTCGAACCTGCACGGGCAGTATCTGCGGAAACGAAGGCGTTCAAGACGAAAGGATAAAGAAAATGGTTTCAAGTCACTTTTTCGGACGGAATGCCTTGAGAAAACGAACTTTCGCGCAAAAGAAAACAATGAATGGACTCAAACGTGTTAGCAATGGATGAGTATGGTGTGCATGTATAAAATATTGCGAGGAGATGTGCTAAGAAGCATAGTGAGAAACAATGACTCTTTCACACCCGCCACACCGATGCGCAATCCGCTACCCGTCGCAGCCGCCAGGAAATTACTCGGCTCCCAAAAGGCTCAGCGCGATCCGGCCAGTCTTATCACCGTCTCAGGAAATTGCTTTTTCTACGCAAACTTTGTCACGCATCATGAACTTTCTGTTTTCCCTACTCACAAAACTTATTTTTTGGGATAATTGTACTGGCTGCGAAAATTGTAAAACCACACACTTCAATGAGGGCGTATAAAAGTTTTCAAAAAAAGGTTCCTCGGGTGGAAAACATAATTACAGCTTTTTTTAATAGTAGCTTCGAGGCATTCAATCAAAGACGACCGCATTGTAGCGCACCAGCTCAGAAAAAAGTTTGTAGTCCATATGCCGATGCATTTCAGCCGTTCATGCGGAAAACGCATTTAATGTTTAATCTGATTCGAATTTTTTAAATCTGTTCTGTTCTAGCTCCACAATTTGCCTTGGAAAAAACGTCAAACTTCTTCTTTTAGTTCAAAACTCCTTTCAACTAAAAAATGCTGACGGAGCTGGAAATAAACTTTAGCTTCTTGAAAAACGGAGAAAAGACTATACAAAGCATAAAAAGAGATGTGGGCGACCTAATTCATTTCAGCCGCAGCCTCCTCGTTACTTCCTTAAAGGTTTTGCCGCCATCAAGAGGTTATACGAAAAGCAATGCGCAAACCAAAACTATTGTGCAGCTGTGCGTACTTTTTCTCCCCGATATGCCTCGTGAGCAACTTCAGGAATCCGATCCATAACCGAGAACATTATTAATGAATCGCAGAAAAATTTCCAAGGAAAAGAGCAAGCGACTACAATTTCCTCCACAAAAGCAATAAGAAGTTGACGGACCGCGTGCGTCAGAAATGACTCGCATCTGGGCCTGAATCGTGCGTGTCTGAAGTTTTCACAAAACTTTCCAAACGTCGTCAACGCCAATAATACGTCTCAAGCACGATAATGGGATGTTGTAAAGCGCTAAGAGTGGAACTTTATTAACGGTTGTTCAGAATATTTGAAAAGGTTTTTTTTCGAAGCATTATCAACGTTCGAAAGTATCAGGGTTGAGAAAGATAAAATAGTTAGAAACAAAAAAGAATCTCAAACAGAATAAAACGATTACATGTTGATGAACACTTTGAAAGGGTTTTTATAGTGTTTTCTACAGTCTCTACCTGGAAAAATTTTTGTCAAGTTCTGCAAAAAAATCGAAAAAAAGGCATAAATTTTTGTACAAAAAAATGAGAAGAAAAAAATTTTTTTCTTTGCAACAACAAATTGCTGTTTTTTTAAAATTTTTTAATCGAAAAAAAGTCGGTCTAGTCAAAAAAAGGTTTAACAATTGTAAGAGATTGTAAGACAATTCATTTCGTGATTTCCTCGGGACTCTTCAGCTTTTTCACATTAGTCCAGGAAATGATAGAAAAATAACTCAATCGAAAAAAACTCATGGAACACCCTAAGAGTTGACCAGCGAAAGTATTTTTCAAAGACTTGGGGAGATGAAGTAGAATCGATTTGATTTGCGAAGCTCACATAACCGGTATCCTTTTTTTAAAGCTCAATTTTTATATTCGAAATAAATAGGAAGAACTTTGATTTTTTTAGTCATACTAATGAAAAAACCACATGTTTAGCAGAAATTTTTGAAGCGAATGAGTTCAGATGTCTTTGCAACAACAAACTTTGGACGATTTAATGAACTTTTTTTGATAATTAAAATTTTTTTCACTCGTGATTCGAAAAATGGGTAGGACTGTGAGTAAAGAAAAACTTATTAAATTCATTAAAGACAAGGAAAGTTATTTAGACTCGTCATCAGTCGGTATTTTGTGCATTTCGACGCTCGCAGCGCTCTCGCGGCGATCGACGTAGCGGCAACTGCGCTCAGATGAAGTCGAGAGGAAGATACGGTAGCAATTGGCCGTGGTGAGGGACTCCGGTAAAGCAGCAAGGAACGACGGCAAGATCTGAAAACAAGGGTCGACATGAGACGAAGGACGATTTGTCAAGTACCAGCAGGCCGTGAAGCATTCCCAGAGAAACAACGAGGAAAATTGCTGCCACGAAGACGGATGGCGAATAGCTCTGCAATTGTTTCCTCTTAATTTATGCACTCGGTGGTACTCAAAAATTGCTCGAAGATAGTTTTTTGCTTCTCAATGTGTAGGAATGACAGTATGTGTATTTTTACCTAACTGATTCTACCTCATAAATCAGTCGAAAATAAACATCAAAAGAAGCCGCCAACTTTTCGGTCTGAAAAAGTGACATGAATTCCCATTCTTTGAGCGAACCGACTTTCTCTTGTATCCATGAACTGACAGTTATTTCAGGCTCTTAGAACAAACATCTTATTTCGAGCCTTCCTGGTTGTTTATTACGAAAATTGATTAAAAAAATTAAAAATTATCTCCTCAAAAACAGGTTTGCGGAGATCTACGGATCTTTTTTTGATTTATTTTTTTAATTTTATATTTAAAAAAAGATGTTCAACTTTTCGAAAAAAAGTCCCAAGTACGATTTCAAAAACTAAATAATTTGCAACTACAAACTAAGATCACTGTGAAAAAAAGAACCGAAAAGTCGGAATTATTTATGACCTCCATTGAATTTGAAAATACCATGGAGATGAAAAACACAATATGAGGCTGGATCAGAAAAGTCAATTTAACCGAAAATTAGGGAGATTTTCGCTTCCTGATTCAATCGAACATCCAAAGTAAAAAAAAAACTTATCAAGATCTTTTTTCATGAGATTGAGTCCTTCAATTTTCAATTGTTCTGCTCACCGCTCGAAAAAGCAACGGGAGAATGCAACAAATAGTGGAAACTCCGGCTTGAATCATCGGCCATGCCACAGCGTCCAAAGTGTGCTCCAGCCTCTCCGTTGGACCGCGTAAAGGGATCTTTACGACCTCGCCTTCTTTGATCTCTTTGCGATGAGCGAGCTGAAAGGAGAAATGACCATCGAGGTCAGTAACGTTTGCGGACTTGGAAATGATAAGCAACATGGGCGATGAAATCGACGCTGAGTCCGATGGACATGAGGACCGCCGCCATGACTACAGGATCGAGGTCGAAATTCCACAGTGACAGGAATCCCATCACGCCTGTAAACTTTTCATTTGCATCAACTAGCTTCCTTTTCAGCATGCATATGAGAGAAAAGTTTCACAAGTTCAGTGAGTTCTTTTTTCTTTAAATTTCGTTCAATCCCAAATCCGTTTTTTGTCTCTTTTGGAACTTTGGAAATGTTTAGAAAATTGTCCGAACTAATAAATGAATACCTTCTAAATTAAATCCATTCAAAGTGCTGGTTTTTTTCATAAGGAAGGTTCGAATGTTCAGAATTACCCGGTACTACTTCTAGCAAAGTTTTTTGAGAAAAATTGAATTTTTGATGGTTGAAACTTTCAAATATTTCATCTCAAACTTAAAGACGGCTTTTGAATTGAATGACAACTGCAAAAATAAATAACTTTATTGTAAAAAAAATCTCACCAACTGTTATGGAAGCGATAGAAATAGCCGCCGTAGTGACGCTGCACGGATTTGGAATGAAAATCGCGCAAACAACCGCCATGCAAATGAGAGTCCATAACGCCGTCTGCAATCATTTCACATCTCCAGAATCTCTCCAACTAGTTTTTCATTGCCATTTTTGCATAAATCGAAAAAAAAGTTCAAACTTATCAAGGTCATTTTTATTCATGAACTAATTAATGAAATTCACCTGTGTTGCTGTTTTACCCAAACTCAACATCTGATCGACAAACATTCCGTTTGGCTCCCAAACTGTGACATTCAAATCAGAATAGCTGAAAGTACCTATTTTTGATCTGTTGACATTTGAAAGCCTACTTGGATGCGATTTGTCTCCAATCGCTCATCAACTGGATTCGAGTGTCCCACTGAGACGTATTCTGATAAGCCACCGACATCATGAACCTTTCCACATGTGCATCGCCCCTTAAGATGGTTTTTTTTGATATAACTTAGCTTTCAAGGTTTACAAATGTTCGTTCTATACTATAATTATTGGGAAAGGATTACTTACGTCTTGTTTTCAATATGTATGAAAGACTGCCAATGAGCGTAAAAAGGCGAACGAAGAAACGAGCTCAGTTTTCCAGTTGTTATATTAGCCTAAAATCCTAAAAAATTAAAAGGAAAGTTAACTATTATGAACTTGTAAAGGATCAATAATTGGGTTGGGCTCCGAAATCGAAAGCCCTAGAATGGCCCAGATGTCATAAGGTTCTCCATAATACCAGAATTGAATGTAGTCTCGCAACCACAACAAACTTGATGTAGAGCCTGGAATATGTTTTAACCTTTCAGAAAAACCATGGAAAGTATTGAATCTTAAAATCGAGAAGCAGTGGTTACCTTTAGAATGCGGCATCGTTTCAAAATCGTCCACCATCGACCAAAACCTCTTCATTTGATATTTGTCGGTAACGTCCAGTCGGGTGTTCACAATTATTGTCACAGGGTGATATTCAGCCCATACTAAAATTGAAACGCTATAACATGTTCAGAGATCCTATCAATACCAATGTTTGTTAAAACGCGGTTAGGTTTTTGAAGTGGAGAATCTTTTGGAAGAATTTTGACCGTATCCAACCGCGTCTTCATAGTGAGCAAGCCTGCAGAAATTCCCGTTGCAATGAGAAAAAAAAAGGGAACTACCGTAAATTGCAAAATACCAGTAAACAGCAGTGAAAACCACAACCAAACAGAAGAAAACACGGTTCACAAGAAGTTTACAATAAACTTTGATAGCACTAGTCCAAAAAGATCGTATCTGAAGAGAAAACTTTTTTTCAATTTTCAAAATAGCTAACCAAATTTCTCCATTTGCTGTTCTGATTTTCCGAGACATTTGTTCGTTCAAATCGGGTAGCAAGGGCCAAAATAGGTCCAAATAAGACTAACTGCAGGATATAAGTGAGAGCCAACGCGATAAAAGACGCAATACAAAACAATCGCGTTTCTGCAAAAATGTTGAAAGACCGTAACTTCCTCACAAACCAGGTGTTGGGGCAAGGGCGCCGATGGCAAAAGAGAGGAAATCGGTTAGAGAAGTGATTGTTATTGAAGGGCCGACCGTCTCGTACACCATTCCTGAACACCCGTTTTAACAAAAAGAAGTCTGAGGTTTTTTTGCGAGAGAATATATACCTAAACGTTCACTCGTACTACAGCCGTCCGATCGAACAGTTTGCCAGCTGTGGATCATCAAAAAGCAGGAATCGACTCCTAAATCCCAAAATGACAGGCGAAATGGTCAATACAACCAGAAAATACAACTCACCGATCCCCATCACTAAAAATGGCATGACCAGCATGAAGGAGTTGATTCTCATGTCCAAAATGGAGACAATACCGTATGTTGACGTGATCGCCAGTATTGGGCACAAAACTGCGCCCAAACTAATGATACTAAAAATAACCACACTTCTTTTTATAAACGGACACCCAACATTTTTCCAGCGTCGAGATGGTCATGAAAAACAGCACTAAGTATAACGCATGCGCTCACAAACGTTATTTCAAACCCAAAGCCTACAAAAAAAATATTTGGGAGACATGAAAAAAAAAATACCAGCGGCAAAAAAAGGCGTCAGTCTCCGTCCATCTTTCATCATCTCGTTGTCCAGAATTTCTGTACCGACCACTTGCAAGTCGATTATTTCACTCTTGTGTTCTGTGAGGCCCCATTCGTAAAGAGCAAGTTCCCAACGGTTCAGTTCCTCTTCCCGTTGTTTTGTGTTCCTGTCTCCTCGAAATATGAACACTATCACCTGTTAGGAGAAAGTTCGATAATTAAAAGACATGAAATCAGAAAGAAAAACCTGCACGTGCTTCATATTAGTTACTCTTCGATGAAGCTTCTCGAGTTCCACTTGGCCTTCGTCTTGCGCATTCGAATTATTTTGCAACACGACGCCAAAGAAACTTCTTTCCAAATGAACTTGGAAACCTTTCACAGTCGCCAATGGGTAACTGAGATTGGACACCAGCAACAGCGACTGATTAGTTTCAACTCTTGCATATTGCTCGTCGAATGCAGACTGAAAAACTCTTTTCAATTTGTGAAGGAAAATGTAAATTAACCTTGAACAGTTCAAACACTTTGTTGATTCCACAGTATGGTTCGCACATATCCGAAAAACGCACTTTTTGACCATTGTTAGTGGCTTCAAATTCTTCGGATATGAACCTGAACGAATTGGTAATTAATTCTTGTATTCTGAGTTGATGGGAACTTGATCAAGCGCTCAGCTTCATCCAAATTGGCTTTTTCGTGCATGGAAGTTTTATTTTTTGGTTGCAGAAGGACGATTGTCATGGCTGGATCACCCGAAATGTTATAAAATTCCCTGCAACGAGACAATTTGATCTAAACTAAAGCACGTTTGCAACCTGAGCACATCAGTTTCGTATCGCGACGGTGCGTTGGTAGGCGTGTACCCGTCTCTTATTCGGTCCTTCAGCACCATTTTGTACATGGCACCCGAATTGATTGAGATCAGCGCCTACAAAAAACTATTTAGTTGTTGCTGAGAAGCGGAGAGTCACCGCAACTGTCAAGTAGGCGAATGGGTAAGCTCCGACAGTGTACCCAATCAGGTAGAAAAGTCTACGGAGGCTGAGAAAACCATGCAAACAGCTGATCTTCCTTTGCTTCTGGTGCGCGACTTCTTCTCAGAAACTTTTTTTGGCTCCGACTACACACTCACCTTTTTTATGGCTTGTTTCCGCCGCCAGAAGTACACTGACTGCCCCGCTCCGCTCATACTGCTCACCCTAAAAAAATTCTGGTGAGCACATTGCTCACAACAGGGTTACCCTTGACTTTTTTCTAAAAGCGCAGAGTTCTGGTCTACTCATGCATATATCTTTAGGATGACATGATTTCAACTATTTTGCTTTTTTTAGGTTAACGAAAATCAGTTGTAACTAGAAGAAAGGTTTGTAAAAACACTTAGAGTCGACATCACAAATGGATACTACAAACTCACTTAAAAATGTAAAGACAAAATAAATACATTTAGAATAGATATAAACAAACTGAGCTTCCGCTAACCTCAGCCATTCTTTAAATGGAGTCACCACGCATTTCTTTGGGTCCAGAACTGAAATAATCTTGTTTTGTTTTCAGTGAGCAGTCATGAAGGGAAAAGGTGGAAATATTTGAAAGAGAGCCATGAGAAGCAGTAATTAGACGTTAAGAGCATAGAATTGTATCTTGTCGAGCCTCACAACAGACGGTTATCATGGTAACAACCGGTTACTACGTGACTGAGACGTGCAAAAATTTTCTCTCTGAATTCGTAATAAGCACGAAGTTCTGAAAATTTGGCAAAACTATGCAGAAACTCATGAATTTGAAAAAATAGTTTTTTTTTCTATCCATTCAAAAAATCCAGACAAAATAGGGAGCACACACAACCTGGGAACGATTTTAAGTCTTATTTAGAAATTAAAAATGAATACAGCCTACAATATTTTCATATATCGGAGCAGAGGGCAAACTTTTCAAAAGTTACCACCGGTTATTAATCAATGACAAACAAAACTTATTTTTGTGATTTTTCGAACCGAGAGTTCAAATTCTGTTTGAAACTTTAAAATGAGTTTTTTAAATCCTCTGTTCTTGATTATCTTGAAACAGAAGAGAAAGGTAAAAAAGCGAAGATTTCGAAAACTCGAAGAAGAATGTGTCAGCAACGGCCTGCACAATATCAAATAAGGCGCAAGCGAGCATCTGGCGGCTTGTTTACTGCTTTCTTCTCTCTGAACTCTTTGCTTTACTAAGTGTTCTAAAAGGCACATTATTCTCTTTGAAACTTCGTTTGTAAACAAATTTTATTGACTTTGAGCACCTGAAACAAAGAGGAAAAAGGCAAAATTATATGAACGAAAGCTATAAGGTTTTTGAATAAATGAATGAGCCTTTAGATAAAATTGGGTTCAGTTAGAAAATAAAGGTAACATCGCGTATTCACTCTATGCACCAACGACTTGTTTCTAACGTCATTTCAATGAAGCAAACTTTTTTTAATTATAAATTTTATTGTAAATAAAAAAATAAAAACAAAACAAAAAAACTCATTTTTTTCACTGAGCAGCTTGATATGAAAATGCTTTTTCAAAAAAAGACTGAAAGAAAATGAAAAAAACGTCAGGATACCCACTTTTTCATGACATAAACAAATAAAAGAAAAAAATCAAAATCAAGGTGGGTCCGATAATTTCCAAAGCAAGAAAAGAAAAGTGTGTCAGATTCCAGGACCGAGCCTTTATAAACGCCTAGAAAATGACGAAAGTTTTTTTCCTACAATTCGTTCCATCAACAATTCCATCATTTTTATAACGAATTCCTGAGATTTTCTCATGGAAACCGTTTTAAAAGTTCACTTTCCGTCATAAAAACAGTTTTCAAAACAACATCGATGATTCAAAACAGTTAACACAGAATCAAAGCTTTGTTGATTTGTTGGTTTAGATCACGTTCCGAAAAGGAACGGGAACACCCAAACGAGATTAGATGCTCCAAAGCAAGAGTAGTGGCAAAGCTGAACGCATCGATTGGCCCGCTAGGCAGCTGAGCTTTTTCGAGTGGCTTTTCTCCTTACTATCATTTTGCCTCCGCAGTTGCGCATTCGGAACTTCCGACCAGCTCATTGAGCCATTTGTTTTTTTGCTGCGTCAGGTTGATTTGCCTTCCGAGCCCCTGCAACCAAAACCTCACCTGGGAGAGAAATTCCCCAACCTACCTGTCAACTCATTTTTTGGCATTTAACGTTGATTTGTTCAGAAGAACCTTTTCAGATTGATGACCTGAAATTAATGTTGTATGGAACTTTTTTAATTCTATTTTTTCACCGTAAGTTGGCATTTTGGTAATAACTCCAATAACATTTTTCCAGACAACTCTGAATATTTGGAGAAGGAAAAACTGTGCTAATTATCTCAACTCATCTTTCTCCTTCCGTTGCTTTCTTTTTTTAGTTTTTCTCTTGAATGTCATTTTCTCTTTCCAGAATTGTTTCCTGCAAGATATGATTTTTCAGAAAAAAAGTAATTTCTTTAGAGTTTATATTCCATAAATTGATTATTGCCGTTCTTTGGTTTTTCATTTTTTTGTTCATGGAAGATTTTTTTCCTTTTTAAAAACTGTTCATTTTTTTGAAATGAAGTTTGTTTTTCCCCTTATTAACATGAATGCATTTTTGTTAAAAAAACTTGTTTCCTAACTCCATCGTTTTTTTGTTTTTAATTTTTATATAAAGAAATCTTAATAAATTTATGTCTCAAAAAATTTTTTAAACGGTTTTCTAGTTTTTTTGCGGTTATTGATTTTTTTATGATAAAAAAATTAAAGTTTTTTTATGAAGAAGATACTTCAGAAAAACGTCTAGCCGCAAATCACCGCTTATTACTTTTTCCCATACTTTCAACTTCACTTAATTAAACAGATTAAAACTCGAAAGGCTGGAAGCGCTTTTTTTTTGTCTATATCCTCACAAATACCAAAGACAGCAATAATATTTTCTCAATTTTGTCTTAGCTTCTCAGAAAGGGGTTTCCACAAAACACATGGGAATGTTTTCAATGACATCAACCGAAAATTTAAGATCCTTAAAATTTCTCTTTTTTTTTCTCTTTTTGCCAAATCAAGAAAAAAAATCATACGTCATATTAACCTTGACAAAAACAGAAAATAATATTTTGATCTTTCTGCAAATGTTTAGAGGAATAGCAGCTTCCTAACAGGAAGGCGAAAAAGTTGCTTTTTTTGTTGTTTTAATGTTTTTGATTCATTACCCTAAAATAAGTCAACTTTCTTTCACTGTTTCGTGAGGGTCGCAATTGTCTTTTTATTTATTTATTGCGGTTTTTATTTGCTATATTCGCAGATTTTTTTGAAAAATTTTATTTAGACCTCACCTGTGAATAAATATTATGAAATTGAAAAATTTTTCATGTTCATTGAAGTAATCGATAGAATTGAACCGAAAAAATGAGCTTACGAGTCGAGTGAATTTTTTTATAAGATCAACGAAACATTTGGATGAAACAGAAAGAAAGACTTCTTAGAGCATTAGCCGTTTTTCGCACTATTCACTGACCTTCAACGCAAAATTAAACGCATTGTCCGTAAACACTTCACTACGCGAGAACATATCAAAGAAACTCTTATCAACTTATTGGTCGTTCGCCATTGTTTCAACTTTTTTTTCTTTTGTAGTTTAACTTTCTCATACTAAGAATTTTTTTTTTGGTTTCAGTCAATTTGTGAGAATAGTTCAGTGAAATGATAACATTTCTTCAATTTTTAAAAATGTTTAAAGATGGAAAATCAAAGGAGCTGGTCAATAAGCAATGGACTTTTACCTTACGCGTTCGTAGTTCTTGGAGGTTACGCGTTAATAAGGTGAAGACAAATATTTTCCACCTGTATATGTTCAGCTACAGGTTCATCAACCGTTTTATCCCCGGAGCTCACAATCTTCCTCAGATGGATTTCAAAAACAAAACTGTTGTTATCACTGGAGCCACTTCAGGTAGAGAAATCTTCCATTTTTTGAGTAACTTTCATTCATTCCCAGTCTTTTCGAACATTCACATTCTTGTATTCAAGGCTTGGGCGAAAGTTTGACCAAGCAGCTGCATCAATTGGGTGCGAAGTTGATCCTTCTTGGACGGTCGCAGCAAAAACTGAAAGATTTGCGCGACTCACTCATCGCTTCAGGCGGAAATCCAAATGAACCCGAAACTTGGTTGAGCAAATTAAGGTTCATATAAGGCTTATGAATATTTAGCGTATATGACTTGGAAGACCCGGAAAGTGCAGCTTCACAGATTTCTTTTGCAACCGACGGTTTTGTCGTCGATGTTCTGATCAACAACGCTGGCCTTTCCGTTCGCGGCTCGACTATCCAAACGAAACTAGCCATTTTTAGGTTCAAATCAAACGAGTCATTCGTCTAGATAAGTTTGCAGGAAACTTATGGATGTCAATTTGTTCGGCCAAATTTCACTCACCCAAGCTCTGATGCCTCATCTCGCCCCCGACGGGTGCATAATTGCTATTTCGAGTGTTCAGGGGAAACTCTCGCTGCCCTATAGAAGCGCTTACTCAGTTTCGAAACATGCCTTTAATGTCAGTTCTTTTCTGGTCATTCGAGAAAACTTAAATTTTGCGAACTTGAATAACCTTTTCTTTCTCAGAAAAAAAAAAGAAAAAAAAATTTCAGGCGTATTTCGATTCTTTGCGAGCGGAATACGCCAATCGACATATCTTGGTTGTTTCTCCAGGCTACATAAGCACAGGATTTGGTGCCAGAGCCCTGGATGTGGATGGAAAACCAATCGGAGACAGTGACGAACACAGTGACGTGAGAGCTTTTATTACAGGAAAAACAGTTTAATGGAGTTTTCGAGATTTTTTGAGAAGCGCGAGAGCTTTTCTGAAATTTGATCATTTTAATTTGCGCAATCAATAAGTAAACCTTCTGGCGGCAAGTTTGGACCGGTTGACGGTAGTTGTCTTGTTTTTGGCGGTCAGAGTTTTCGAACCTTCTAAAAAATGTATTAATGATAAAAAATTGTTCATACGTGTTTTCGCCAGAACTGCTTTCTCAGGGACTGTAGGCTTTTCGATAGAAGTCCTTCCGCTTCCTCCCCATCCCTTAAAATGGCCAAGTTCCTTCAAAAATTATTTACTGCTCACAGTTTCCTGGCTCCAACTGTTTTTCGGATCATTCCAATCAGGACCTACCGGCCACATGCGAGGATTTGGAAGTGGGAAATTTCCCTGCTCCAAATCTGGATTTGGAATGAATTCAATAGGTGTCTGAGTAGTCTGAAAGAAAGATTTGTGCTTAAAACAAGGTATTTTTTCTTTGCGATTTTTCAATAATAAGAAAATGGTGCTTCAGATTGAATTTCTGAAATCTGAGCATGCTAAAGTTTTTGGTTTCGGAAACAAGTTTTGAAAGCTGTGGATCCCTGCAAGACTATCAAGATTCTCACGTTTTCATCGAACAGTGCTTTAGCTGAATTTCAGGAATCACTCAATTTCAAAATGAAAGTGCCTTGTAAAATTAAATCTTTATTGCAAATCTTACAGTTGTAATTGGAGGTGAGAACAGATTGAAAAACGGCTGTTGCTGAGCAAAAAAACCGTTGTTTCTTTGGAAACCTCCAAACTGCTGTTGCGGAAAGAATAAGAATTGGGCTGCAAAGTAGAAATAAAAAAATTTTCTGCTGTAATCAAAGAGTTTGTCTGTGCTTGTTTCTAAAATAAAACGAGAAATTCTCATGGGATTCTAGAAATATACCGAGAAAAAAATACTTTTAAAAAAATTTAGATTTAGCGGAAATATGTTTTTCATCGCAGAGCTCCGTTGAAAACGATGAACATAATCAAATATTTATTTAAAATAATTTACCATCAGCTCCGTAGAAAATAAAAAGCAAAATCGCTAGTTCGAACCAAAACATTTCGCGGAAAAGAAGAAGAGTTAGGTTGGCCCAGAAACAATGAAGTGTTATTCCCAACAGGGAAGGTCAGAAGGTCTTTACAACGCGATCGTTTTGAGAATCGGTTTGCAGGCAATGACGCCGTCGGACTGTGCGGCGAGAATTCTGGCGGCGGCGCGCGAGCGCCGTTCCGACGTCGTTTTGGCGCCTCTGAACGCTAGACTCGGCATCTGGCTGCACTACTTGTGGCCTTCACTCTGTCGCTACTTGCTCTACTCACGGGGGCTTCGTCAACTTCACGGACTTCGCTCAGAAACCCATGATAAATATTGAATTCCTTCTCATTCACACTGTTCCATTGATGTTTTTCAAATTTTATTTTAAAAACGAACCTAGTCATCATATTTTTCTGTTGATAATTAAATGTTTCATTATATTTCGGTGAGCTATTTTATTGGTCTGAATTTGCTTTTTCTGTTTCCCAACAACATTGGTTCATTTTGTGAAATAAATGAAGTTTTCAAAAGTGAGAACCTTCGAAACTGTAACTGCACTCTATGTGAAATTCAAAATAATTTTTTTCTCAAATGGCAATGATGAAAAAAATTCTTTGAAAAAAACAAATGGACTCTTTTTTGATTACTTTGCGTAAAAAGTGATAGCCATCCAAGTATGGGGTTTTCGAAAACTTTCAGGCAAAAAAGTTGAATTTTAGAGAAGTTTCATATTTTAAACTGGTTTTTCTTTTGTCAGCGGCACAATTGGCACGTTTTCGTGGCAAAAGATAAGTTATCAATTTGCAAACATCACTTAATAAGCTTGATAATCCTTACGCCTTCGAATTTGGACAGTCTCTTCATTTTTCCCTTTTTTTACTCTTTGCAGTACTTTAAATTCAGGGTTACAAACGGCGTCAAGCCGAGCCGTTTTATTTGAAACGATGTGGTCGCAAGGTTCAGAACCAATGCCGCCTCGTCAGACCAAATGGTAATATTTAAAATTTCCCATTTAAATTTACTTCATCAAGATTTAAAATCTCACGATGACATGTGATGAGTCTTTTTGGTCTTAAAAAAATGTCTTTTTTGAATAAAAGAAAACTCGATCAATGGCTCGTTTCTCCATTTTTCCATCTCTTTTGCAGGTACCTACTGGAAGGGGTTGACAAAAGAGTCAAATGGACATCAATCGGGTTTTTTTTGATTTCACTAGCTCTACTGATTGCCGGTAGTGTAATGCTTGGAATAGGCATTTCAAAAACGAACAGTTCGAATGATGGCGGTAAAAAATCTCAGAAACATCAGATTTTTCGGTTTTCAGTTTGTCCAACTGTTACTGGCGAAACTATGTTCATCACGGCTAAGTCGACACTTTTGAACTATTCATCCGTCCAGAAAAATTATGCTCAGTCAGTATCGATCTTGACATCACAAGTTGTGAAAGCCCTGAAAAAGAAAATAAGAAAAAAGTTAAGATAACAGACGCACTAACCAAAAGTGCTGGTCTCAAACTCGTTGTAGCGACTGCAGTTCCACCTATTTCAATGTATTGACTTTGTATTTGTTCATTCATCATTCACCTCTTTAGTCTCGGAATATCTCCAACAGATGATGGAGTATTGGTAATCTACGCTTTATCTTACACAAATGATAATGCTCCGGCTCAAGACGATCTCCAGAAGAAACTTCAGAGTGAACCTAACCTAATCCCATCTGCTGTCACCAGTGAGTGCTTAAGAACTTTTTTTCTAGTTTTTTGATCATTTGCATAACGATTCTATAGATAAATTTCTTCTGAACTCGGCATCCATCAAACATTTCTTTATAATTGTATTGATTTTGCAGACACGACGGCCACAAGTTTGAACCAACAAGCTTGCAATGTTGTTTCGAACATTCCATTGCGGACATCGACTACAGTGTCCCCCACGAAGATCTCAACGCAATCTTCTGCAATTCCAACGGAATTTTCACCCACCTACACCGCTAGAAGCTCTGTCTCGGTTGTTAGCAAAAATACTACAAAGAGTCCACTGGGCACGACAATTACCAAAAATAGACAAACAGGGAAAACAAGCGTTTCTTTTCCGCCGGTCAGTGGTCCTACAACGACCCCTGGATCTTCTAATCCCCCGAATTCAACCGTCTCTTCCGCTACAAAAGCTTCATCGATATTCACCACGAATCGAAGTGTTTCAACTAATAATACAGTGCTTCCTGGAAAGACAACAACACCCCGACCTTCTGCAACCACAACTTTCACGGTCACCGCTTACAGTAAGGACGTCCTAATTTTACTCGATGATTCAGTGGCTATGAAAACTCCTGACAATTTTGAGAAGGTAATCAAAACTGTTTAGAACTTATTCATGTCCTCTAAATAATTTTCAAGGTTAAAAAGTGGATAATGACATCACTTCTACCTCTCTGGACGATCGATGAGAACAACATCGAAGTAGCTTTTGTTACCTACGCTAAAGTTTCTCGAACATTTTTTCAAAGGCTTTAAAAAGTTTTTTAGAACGAGTTCAATGTGCTTATGAGCTACGATGAAAACTCTGAGAACGAACTGGACCAAGTGATTCAAGCGCAGCAATATGGAGGGAAGTTCAACTCTAGCATCACCAAGTAAAATAATATAACACCAAAAAAAATCTTTGAATGGGTTTAGAGCACTTCGGGGAGCCGTAGGACTAAAAGGAACCAGAAACGTCCCTCAAACCACTATTCTCATTTCATCATCGAAGTCGGGTATTTACATAAGCAGAAAGAGGAAATTCTTTCAGTGACTTGATTGATATTGAGCAAGCGATGCCATTTGCACGTCAGATTACCAATTCCGCCGTTAATCAACTGATAACGGTTAATTTGGCAACAAACGATGGGGGCAGCTTGCTCGGATTAGTAAGCAATGTTGGTTGAATGATGAGCAAATGAACGGCCTCAGCTTTCTTCGGGTGAAGGGAGATATTTTGGCGTCAGGGATTTCACCCTAACGGAGTCGATTGCTCAGCTCATCAGTCAAGAAATTTATGGCTTTGTCACTCACTTCACGGAAACAACGATGTGAGTTTGGACTTGGAAAATCTGCTGATTTCGGTTTGCAGTCGGACAACGATTCTTCCAGATTTGCCGTGTCATCCAGACATTGCAATAATTCTGGACTCCTCTGGTGCTGTCCCTAACATCACAGAGTACCAGAACGTAAGTTTCGAATTATATTTTCTTTGTTCCCTTATATAACGGGGGGTTTTTCAGCAAATCAATTTTGTCAGTAGTTCCCTTATTCCCAGCTGGCCTGTTTCTGTACAACAAATCGAAGGAGAGTTGGTCATATTTTCATTGGTAACGGGCGTCAGGCTTTTTTTATCAACTTCGGAAATTTTTCAAGACGGAGAGCGGAGATATTGCCGAGAACGCATTCCAATACAAAGATTCGGCTGCTTTCTCCAGTCAAGTGAAGCTCTACAAAGACTTTTATTTCCCACAAGCACAGCCCAGCATCGCCGCGTGAGCTTACCAATGCTCCAAATAGTATATGAAAATGAATTTTTTATTGAACTTATCAAAAAAGATCCTTAAAATTAACGGGCAACAAAAGTTGCAAAAAAGATATTTTTTAGATCTCTGTGGTTCCTTTCAAGAAATTTGGAAAATCGACGCCCCAATCGCCAACCTGTGACAATTATTTTCACATATTCCAGGTTTTCAAAATAATATCAAACTAACTCGCTACCCCATTCTTAGCGATCCAAACGACGTTTCTGCAGCCATTCCATTTGCGGATACTCTGGGAGGAAATCTCATCGTGATTGGAATAGGAGATAATGTGGACGGAATGCAGCTGCAGCAGCTTTCGGGAAACTCTGTGGTTCAGAAAAACTATCAAAACTCGGATGGTTTGACAGCTCATGTAAGCTTTTTTTTAGAAAACAGAGATATTAAATTTAAGAAAAAAAAATTAATTTTTCTTGAGTCGGATGGAATGAATTCAATTTTTGAGATTAACTCTCTTCTGTGTTCGAAATCAACGCGACGACCCACCATGAGGCCAACTTCCGCTCCAGCGACGTCGACTGCAGCGATCACGACAGTCCCAACTACTACACTTATCCCCACCACTCCCAGTATGTCTTCTCCTTACAAATTGATCCTCAAAGTTATAGTCAATTTTTTCCGACTTCAAAGGGGGCGGGGCTGCGGACGGGACGCGTAGTGTGCGCGTTCGCAATTCTTGGTACGGGTTCACTTCAACCGTCAGCGACTATTTGGAGTGCTCGTTTATCGCTCTTTTCATTTCTGAATTTTTTTCATGAGTGAATTGAAAAAAAGTAGAACAAAAAAAAGCGGTGATTGAGCTTTTTGAACAGTTGGTGCGCTTGAATTGAACTCGTGCCAAGAACCGCGTACACACACGCTACGCGTCCCGCCCCTTACTCCGCTTCCCTCGCCTTCCATGGATCGACTATACTTCCGGCAACGAAAAGTTATCGAACGGAAAATATTAAAATGAGATTTTTTGAACGATGAAGATTTTCAGCAACAGTCAAACCCAAACCATGCGCAGACTGTTACCCTGCTACAGCCAATATTTTAATAATCCTGGAAGCTTACAACTCTTCCAACGTAATAAAATCAAGGAAATTCTCACAGAAATTCTCCATTTTTCAGTTGTCGCAACAGAAAACCCTTGTCAATGAAGATCTCACAGGATCTTGGACACACTTCGAAAGGGCTTCAATATTAGGCTATGACACCTACAACAAGTTTTTGGATCCAATCAAGTTGCTTCTTCTCGTATTATGAATATGATTTCATTCTTTTCAGTTTCGGAGATCTACAAGATAGAACAGAATTTTCGGCGGTTATAGACGGCTTGTCCCCGTTCGACAGTGCGCCTCAACTTTTGAGGTTAGATTTTCTTTTATGCAGTTCTCGAAAAACAATTTTCAGTGCTTTCAAAAATGCTTTGTCTACTTCAAGACCTCTTCCTTCTTTTGGCCCGATGAACACTGTATTATTCACGAGTATAACGTATTTTTTTTTGAGTTTTCTTTAGCTTCTAATGAATGGCTTTTAGAGACACTGACGATATACAATCATCCATTCCCTTCTCGGGATCATTGAGGTCTCGAGGAAAAGTGACAGTTTTTTTCTTTTTTCATCAGCAAAATTTAAAAAATAGGTACTCATTGTCGGGATTGGACTACAAGATGTAAGTATGCTCAAAGTACTTGCCGATAGCGTTATACCGTGGCCAGATGTAACAAAAGTTGATGGCTTGGCTGACAAAATCAATTCTTTCTTAGGTTTTAACTGTAGGGTTTTACAATCTTAAAAATATTTTCAAGGAGGAACTGCTCCAACAGGGCCAACTGCTGCTCCAACCTCAAAGTTGACAAGTATAAGTTCAAATATTTTTTTATTTTTGTATTTGTTAACACTGTTCAGCGTCTGAAAGTCACACCTCAAGAGCTGGTCCGTCATCTAGAGTTACGCATGGGATGAGTGAGCTTTCAAAAATAAATTTTTAAAAAAATGTTTCTCGGATGCTTTCAAAATGGTTAGCTTCAATTCTGCCAGATCTGATAAAAAAATGTGTTGATTTTTTTGATTGAGTATCGCAACTGTGATTTAAAAAAATCATAAAAAATCGTAAAAAAATGAAGTTAAAATCATTTCAAAGGAGAAAGGTATTAGAAAAGAATGTTTGGATGAAAAATTTTTTGGGAAAATTGCCTATTTCCACTGCGTTTGATGAAGTTTCTCAAGACTTGATCATGAGAAGTTTTTGGCCGAGTTTTTGCCCATTATTTTTTCTATTTTCTCGGACTTTGATGAATTATTTTTCCGACAAATTTCAAATAAATTTGTCTAAGAACTTCAATTTGTTTATCATGCAGTCCCAATGTGTGAAAACGGAATATTGCAGCAAGTAGCTCTGCGACGGGTAGCACGCCGACCGGCACCACACCACAAAGTACACAAACGAGTGAGCCGCTTCCGTTCTCCTTGTCTTCTAATTTTTTTTAGCCGCCCCGTTGCCCTGCAAGCGATCTTTAATTCTTCTTCTCGACGAGTCTTCTGCTTTTAACTTGCAAGAAAATTTCGACGTCGTAAGGACAAGTTTCTGGAAATTTTTTTTGACCCACTATGTTCAGGTGAAGCAATGGGTTCTCAAAAAACTCATTCCGAATTTGCCGTTCCAGGATGGCATTTTAGTATCGGCATATGGATATACAGCAAAAGTGAACTATTTCTTGAGGATTTGTTTTTGCAGTTTTTTGTGCACTTTACAAACTAGAAAACCTCAAGATTAAGTTCATGAAGACCAAAGATGGTTTAGGGCGACATTAGGTAAAAATGACGCGTACATGAAGTCTTTTTTTCGTTTGGACTCCTAAGCCATCGGTGACAAATCACCTCAATGAAAGTTTGTAATCTGTTAACAAAACAATGAGCAAACCTTTTAGGACTTCCTTACAGTAACTTCTTACCAAACTAGCGGCGAAGGCAGTGCATCGTAAACTTTATTTTGCGCTCTTTTTCCCGTTCTAAACTTGTGTGTTCCAAATGCAAACAGCGACACTAAAACTGACACAATCGTGAAAAACCAAACATGTTAGCTTCCTTTTTTTTCAGAAATGGGACGATATCGGAGGAGATTTCGAGTCTAATAATATTGAAGATTTGTCGGAAATCATTGACAATATGTATTTGTATCAAGGCAAGGATAGCCCGAATATCACAAGGTTGAATTTCTATCAAGGAACATCAACATAGTTTCACAGAGCGTTTATCAACGTAGCGGATGTCAAAGTGAATAATGACTATAGATCTCTTCCGTTGACCACTGTTATTGTTTCTGCGTCTGAGTAAGTTTTGTCAAACAGTTGGGACCTTTTTGCAATTCCCTTCCGAAGTCAAAAAGTGTTTTAAGCAATCAAGATGACGTCACGAACGCCAAAAAGTACGCGGTGAAAATGAAAACGGCTTTGAGCGATGTCGTCACCATTCTGTTCTCGTCAGAAGAGACAGACAACCTCAAAAAAGTAGGAGAAAACGGAATTGCAGACTCTAAACTCAGTTTTCAGTTGTCCTCGGGAGATTCTTTCAACTTCAAACAATCTTTTGAGAACATCGGACAAGAGTTCACCTCATCTGTTGTTAAATCTATTTGTGCTTCGATTCCCGCAACGCTCTCATAAAATCTTCGATGTTATTATTTTGCTGATATTCATTTTTTTAAACGAAGCGTGAGAAAAAATGAGCCAAAAACGATTTTAGTGATAAAAAAAAGAGCGAGCTACAAATTACACATAGGGACAAAAATCCGTTTTGCACAGCAACAGGAAACGTGAAAGTGAGCTCAAAAAATAAATTAATATGATGATAAATGATATCGCGCCAAGTAAACAACATTATAATTAGTACAAGCAACCTATTGTATATTCCAAATTTCTTCTACATTTTGAATAATTATTTTCATTGCACCAAAGAAGAAAGCTAGAACGCGCCAAAAAAGTATATTTAGACTCAGGAAAGTTGGACGTTCATGAAGCTTTTTTATAGATATAGACACCTGAAGCTTGTTACAAGACCGCCGATACATGATTTTGGCTGTGTCTTCTTCGATTCTGAAGGAAAAAGCGATACTGGCTTATTATGCATGAAAGAGAAGAACTCCGTTGAATAAAGCGTTGAATGAAAACAAAATTATGAACATAATGTTGAATGGAAGAGAGAAAAGCTTTCAGGTAGAGTTTACATTTTAAGCAAATCCAACCACAATCACAACCAAGAAATAGAACTGCATTTGGGAGGCCCCACGTTTGCGATCTTTAGCACCAGCAGTTTCCATCATCTGTCACAATTTGTCGCTGTCTTATAGGATCCATGTTCACCACGTTCGCTGAAGCAACAGTTTATACTCGAATAGTTTTTGGGGAAACTTGGAGTTTCTTCATAAGGATTCTCTTTTTAGGTTCAAACAGCCAAACACTATTTTAATTGTTCCATAACCAATTCAAGAAAAAAAAAACTTACGTGGGTCAACAGGATCATCTTTAATGATTCCTGGTAGAGCCCCAGCGATGCGGCGGAAAAGCTTAAAAATAAATAAATCATTCTTTGAAGCAAAAATCGAAAAAAAACTCTCCATAGAAAAATAAAAGAAAAACTATGACTGACTATAAAACAGCTTGAGATGCCAAAAACTTCTATGCAAAGAACAAAACTGGACCTGCTTGACGTTGTAGCCAGCTTTTGCTGAAGTTTCGATAAACATGACATTCAGTTCTTTCGCCTTTCTTTCTCCTTCATCCGTCGAAACTTGGCTGAAAAGTTTTGTTTGTTTTATTTATTTTATTAAACATAAAAATACAAATCTAAGTAAAAAAGGAACCTCATATAAACATTTCCGAGGGACTTGCAAAAGGTGGGAATTTCTATAACTCCAAAAAAAACGAATTTGTTCTCTTTTTGCCTTTCTACTTGTTAGAGATAAGGAGAAACCAACCGTTTGTCTCCTAAATCGGTTTTATTACCGACGAGCATGATAATGACATCGCTTCCTCTTTCAGTTCTGACGTCATCGATCCATTTGGATGTTTGGTGGAAAGAGTTTGCATCTGTTCAAAATTTGGAATAAGTCTATGATTTTGCCAGATTCTGATTTTGGTTGGGTTAAGCTTGTCTTTTTTATTGAACAAAAAACCTGTCTTCTAATAATCAGACCCTTCGAAAATTTGAATAAGCAAAAAATAGCTTCGATCGTTTTTAGGTTTCTCTAAGCACGGGAACTATTTTTATTTTAATTTTTTAAGTATAGACAAAATATCCGCGCTTTGTGAAAAATTATTAAGATTGATGTTAAATTCTTGAATAATACGAAACATTACGAGTGTTTTAAAAAATTTTATTTGAATGCCAGAAAGTCTCAAACAAAAAAAAAGATCGAACACATTCAAATTTTTATTTCAAAGTTAAAAAAAGTAGTTAATTACTGAGATGCTTATCTTGGTCGTTCAGTTCAAAATTTTCTCAAAATACAAGTTGCAAATCACGCAAAAACAAAGTTTTTAGGGCTACAATTTACATTCTCTATCTTTGAGAGAAAAGAAAAACCAGGAAATCGTATTGTACTTTTGTGCATGATTATAATTTAATTTTCATATTAGGTGCGGTCAGAAAAGATTTAATATTTTTCTTAGTGACAGTTCATAAGATATATGGTGAAAAGACGTCAGATGAGTAAAAAATAACTGACTAGTGATGTCGTAAACGACCACAGCCACAGTCGAATCGCGGATGTAAGAAGGAATCAATGAACGGAAACGCTCCTGACCGGCCGTGTCCCACAGTTGCAGACGGACCTGAAATCATTCATTGGTTGATCTTCGTCATTTTGGATTTTAATCATTCTGAAAAAAAAATAGAATACCGTTCTGTCTTCGAGGTACATAGTCTTGCTGAGAAAGTCGATACCGATAGTGGCTTGGTACGTATTATCAAAGGAATCGTACATGAATCTAGTGATCAGTGAAGTCTTCCCAACTGTAAATTTTGTTTCTCACAATTGATTCTTGAAAACAACACTCACCACTCTGTTCGCCAAGAAAAACCAGTTTGAACTTTTTTCAGAGGATTTCCGAAGTCAGACATTTCTGGAAAAAAACGGAATTCTCCCAATTTTTTTCTATGAAATTCAAAAAAAGCTAACATAAAAAAAGATCTAAAAATTCATATTAACTGTCTATTCTATTGTTTCTTAAATTAAAAAGATAGAATATACAGCAACTCACCACGTAGCGATGTGGACGAGCAATTACCGTGGGAATTCTCTTCGTTGCAAAACCCTTTTTTAAAGGAGCATGCAAAAGTTCAAAAATTTGCTTTTATTCCATATACTTTGACAAGTTTTTTTAAGCTTCTCAGTTAATATTTTGTTGAGAATTTTAGTTAAATACTTTCTTGAACGTCTTGTGATAATGTAGCTTTGTTGGATGTTTGTTGTTATTTTCATTTTAAAACACACTTTTTTGTTAATAAAGTTCAAACTTATCGCTTCTCCCGTGTTTGCATAGTTGAGTTTACAATTGATTAAAAAGATATAAACTGAGAATATGAAACTTTTTTTTATTCTTTATGAAAAAAAGGTATAAAGTCGTTTGGATAACAAAATAATCCAAATTTTGGTGTTATTCTTTTAGTTTTCTGGGTGAGCACGCTTTTGAATCTTGAATGATCACGTTTTTAAATTTTCATAGCGTCGATCAAAGTGCGCAAAAAAGCGATTGATGGTCAGAAGATTGACCCGAATGCGAGGCGTGGCCCCTTGGACGCGGTGTACAGCCTACGATGTATTGCGTCTCTCGCTGTGAACGGACTTTGTTCTTTCCGCTCTCTGCTCCTTGGTACCCGATTCCATCCCTATCACCACTCGACTTGTTTTCGTTTGGCTATAGCGGCTAGTTTCTGCCTCAGTTCTTCTTTCCTGCGTTTGTAGTCCTCACTTTTTACTTTGTTCTTATTCTTTGAATTTCTTGTTCTTGGAAAGGAGACTGAGTTTTTTAAAAGTTTATGTTGGACTTCATGAATTATCTCTTTGGGATTATATACTTTTTGTCACTTATCTGTGAAAAAAAAAAATTTTTTTTGAGACCATCGAAATTGAGAGTTGAGATATTTTCCGAAATGTCACAAATATTCAGGAAAAAGTATGAAAAAAATGATTGAGACGATTTTTAGGAATGCTGTCACGGGGTATCTTGAAAAACGGCTTCTCTTAGCACTGCTCGATTTTTCTCGACACCAGCGAGCGGCTCGGGGTTTAATTGCGGTAATCTATACAAAATAATTTAATATTTTTGCTTTTTTCAGATCTTTCTTCTGAACAGCGCGAACTTCGAGATTCTGTTCGAAAAATTCACGGCGGATGAGATCATCCCAGTAGCGGCCAAATACGACAAATCCATGGAGTATCCATGGGACATTGTGAAAAAAGCTCACCAGCTCGGCTATGTTACTGCCGCCATTCCAGAAGAATATGGTATGAGAATTATGTTTTTTGAACAAAATAACCTTTTTGGCTTCAGGCGGGCTGGGTCTGGACATGGTTTCCACCGTTCTGATCAGTGAGGAAATTGCCTACGGTTGTTCCGGAATAGGAACTGCGCTTTTGGCCAACGACTTGGCTATGACTCCGCTCATCTTGTGCGCTAACGATGACGTCAAAAAAAGATTTCTGAGCAGAATGTGCGAAGAACCTTTAGTAGCAGTCAGTTTTTACTTTTTCTAGAACCGTAAAACCGTTTCTAAACAATTCCGCTTATTTCAATTAAACAAATAAGGAAAGAAACTTTCACAGGCTTATGGTGTCACTGAACCGGGAGCTGGTTCTGATGTCGCTGGAATCAAAACGAAATGCGAAAAGAAAGGAGATGAATACATTATCAATGGATCTAAGATGTGGATAACCAATGGCGGTCCAGCTAATTGGTTAGTTCTTTTTTCTCAAATCCATTCATCTTTCCTTTTCTGCAGTTCTCAAAAACATAAAGCTGAAAATAAATTTTCTTTCCTATCGGCCAGATTATTTTTCAAAATGATCGAACCGAACAAATCGCGAAAATGTGATGTGAAGAATTTTTTGAAAATTTTCAAAAGATTCTAGAAATCGCAAAGTTGAATTTCTACATCATTGACAAACTTCAGATGAAAATTCAATATGGTGCTAAAATGTTTACATTTTACAGGTATTTCGTATTGGCTCGATCGGATCCGGATCCAAAGGCACCATCTGGAAAGGCGTTTACGGCCTTCGCTGTAGAAGGAGACACACCCGGAATCACTCGAGGAAAAAAGGTTACTCAATAATTTTGCGCAGTTCTTCGCAATTTCGATAGAAATAAAAAATGAAAAGTAATCTATTCAATTTGGATAATTTTATCAATCGACTCTCAGTAAAAGCTTATTAAAAATTTCCAGATAAATGGAAAGATTTTGGAACTCACAAGAAAAGCAGAATAATTTTTTAATTTACGTTCTTCTATAAAAAATGGGAAAAGCACAATGTTTCAATTTAACAAGGGACAGCAATTTTTGGTCATTTTCCGTTATTATGCCTGAATATCTCTTTAACTTTCAGGAAATCAACATGGGTCAACGTTGTTCAGACACTCGTGGCATCACGTTTGAAGACGTCAGAGTTTCGGCAAAAAATGTTGTCGGCGCTCCCGGAGAAGGCTTCAAAGTGGAATTAAGAGTATCTTCTTTTTCGAAAAATCATGTTTAGGTTGCCATGAAAACATTCGACAAAACTCGACCTCTGGTCGCGGCGCTGGCTACGGGACTCTCGTTCAGATGTCTCGACACGGCCACTTCCTATTCCTTAGAACGAAAAGCCTTTGGAACTCACATTGCTAACGTGAGATTCATCTTGAGACGTAGAAATGAATGAAATTGGACAAATGTAGGAAATTGATGAATTAACGTGCAGTTTCGAAAAAAGACGCCTCAAAGTGCGCCCGAGCGTAAAAAATTCTCCTTTTGCATCAAATGGAAAATATCTACTGTTTTTCAGAACATAAAGTCTCGTCCGTAGCAAAGATACAAAAAGCGCTTTTTTTTGTTATGACTATTAACTTTACCGTTCTGTCGGATTTTTAAATTGCGAAAAAAAAATACGCACATTCATAGAGTTTCAAAAAAGTTGAACTCCCTATAAGGAGGTTGTGAGAAAAATCAGTTTTCGTAACATTTAAAAAAATTTCAAATTTATCTAAGTTTAAAAAAAATTAGAAAAAGTCATTTTTGGGAAAGTCAACATTTACCTCAACTCAACTCGAAAAAGCCATGTTTTAATTTTGAATTTTCAGTTCCAAGGCGTCTCTTTTATTCTTGCCGAAATGGCTATCAATGCCGAATTGGCACGCATGATGACTTACAAGAGCGCACTTGAGGTTTCAAGCTTAAAACTTCTTCAGAAGCTTATTTGCCACAGGTTGACATAGGAAGACCTGGCTCGTATTACGCTTCAATTGCGAAACTCTTCGCAAGCGATTCTGTAAATGCAGCCGCTACCAACTGCGTCCAGGTTCAGTATCATTTTTTATTTAATTTTGTTTGGTCTTTTAGGTGTTTGGAGGCGCTGGATTCAACACTGAGTACCCTGGCGAAAAATTGATGCGTGACGCTAAAATCTTCCAAATCTACGAAGGAACATCACAGGTTATTTTGTACTAAGGTCCGCTTCTTGACCTTCTTATTCAGATTCAAAGAATGGTCATTGCTCGTCAACTTTTGGCACGTGTAAAACAAAACGGATACTATTGAAATATACAATCGCGAGATTAAATAAATTTCTGAAGATTATCGTTGTTAATGATTGTGTTCTGAGCTGTTTTTGAGCAGCTTTATATTTGTTTTACCATGACGACTTTTCCTTGAAAATCGTTTGTTTAGGACGATGCTGTCCAGAATTGCTGCCAACACTCCTTTTCTCCGTTCCATCACTGCCACGGCGGCGACCACCAGCCGTGCATTGTCTTTCGGTTGGAAAATTCAACCGAATCTATTTTATCATAAATTTGAGATCTGACGGACACTCAAAAAGAAATACAATCAGCAGCTCTGAAGTTCTCAAAAGAGGTAATGGCGATTCAGGTTATGAAGTGTTATCTTTTGATTTTTGAGGTTTTGGCTTCCAACGCCGCCGCTCATGACGCATCTGGTGAATTCCCATGGGAAATAATCAAACAGGCTCATTCTTTGGGTTTGATGAATACCCAAATTCCTGAGAAATACGGTACAGCTCAAAAAAAAAAGATTCAAAAAACTGGAAATGAACAGGCGGTCCGGGTATGACCACGCTGGAAACTGCGCTAATCGTTGAAGCGTTGGCTTACGGATGCTCGGGACTTCAACTGGCAATCATGGGACCTTCCCTGGCAATTGCGCCTGTTTATATTGCGGGAAACGAAGAACAAAAAAAGAAATACTTGGGTCAGTTTTCCATTTCACATAGCTCTTTTTCAAAAAGTAGTTTTCAGGATGGCTTGCCTCGGAACCAGTTATTGCCTCTTATTGCGTTACTGAGCCAGGTGCAGGATCCGATGTCAACGGAGTCAAAACTAAGGTTGCTTTCTTCGAATCGTTTGTTGCTGAAATCAAAAACCAGATAAATTGCAGGCAGAGAAGAAAGGCGACGAGTTTGTGATCAACGGTAGCAAAGCGTGGATTACAGGTGGTGGGCACGCCAAATGGTGAGGAGAAGAGTCAGAATAACAGATTGAAGACCGAAAAACTAGCATATGAAGAGATAGTAGTAAATGGGCAAATATTTTTATTTTGTTTTGTCTGTAATTTTGTCAAAAACAGTTGTTTGATCTGAAAATTTCACCAATTGAGTGAAAGAATGGGCTAAACTAAATAATGGTTCGAACCAATTCCAAAAAACATCTTCTAACAATTTTTTTTTGAATACTCATCAAAACTGCAAAAGAAATTATTGAAAAATAAAAATTCAACAAAGTTGGTGAACGATATAAAAGACTATATATTTATTACTTCGTAACATAACAAACAAAGTTATGAATAAAAAACCAAAAAAATACGCATCCGTTTTTGCTACTGTAAATAGGAAACTTTTTATATATAAATGGTATCTTCGAGAACAAATTTTTCTAGTATCTGTTGTTTTTCAATAACTTTTTCTGTTTGATCGCGAGCTGATTTTGAGGTTTTTCGTTCTGGCGAGAACTGACAGCGATCCGAAGACACCAGCCGGTAAGGCTTTCACTGCTTTTGTTGTCGATGGGGACACACCTGGTATCACTCGCGGAAAGAAAGTAAAAATCAAAATAATCATATCGGAGTCAACTTGAAATTCAGGAAAAAATGATGGGTCAACGTTGCTCCGACACCAGAACCATTACTTTCGAAGACGTTCGCGTTAGCGCGAAAAATGTGCTTGGCGCTCCTGGAGCAGGCTTCAAGGTGAGTCAGGGCTTGTCGTATTTTTACTCGTTTGTCCACTTTTTCCCAGTATTAAGAAGGTATCTTGGATGACGCAGCAATGTTTTGCTCAGACTAATATGTTCTTGAAAAAAGAAAGAAACGAAAACATTTACTGTTAATCAAGAAGTTACTTTTCAAAAAAAAAGTCAAAACGTTTAGAATTAGGCGGCCTAGAATTCAAAATCATAAGGTTCCCCATTCTTCTTGAAGTATTTCGGTCAATTTCAAAAAATATCCAGATTAAAAAAATCAACGAATATGAAACCTTTTCTCTCAACTGAATTGTTTTATCATCTTTGGCAAATATATAGCTCTTCAATGAAACTTTACTTTGTTTAGAATAGTCCGTTTTCTAGAGAAATTGATATAGAAAGACATTTCCAGGTAGCAATGTCCGCTTTCGACATGACCAGGCCAGGAGTTGCAGCTGGAGCTTTGGGCTTGGCCTGGAGAGCTCTTGACGAATCTGCTCGTTACGCTTTGGAACGGAAGGCTTTTGGTACCCAGATCGCAAACGTAGGAAAAAATTTCAAATCCTAAGTCATGTTTCATTTTAAGCATCAAGCTGTACAGTTCATGCTCGCGGACATGGCTGTGAATCTTGAACTGGCGCGGCTAGTCACATATCGTGCCGCCAATGACGTCGACATGAAGGTGGGACTTCTGATACAAACATCTGTCAAGTTTGTTGGATACAGGTGCGATCTTCATACTTTGCTTCGATTGCCAAATGCTTCGCCGCGGATATGGCCAACCAGGCCGCCGCAAACGCAGTTCAGGTAACTTTTTTAGTTTTGATCGATTGAACTCAAGAATAAACAAACTTTTTCTCATAATTCATAACAGGACTTCACTCCTTCAATCAGTTCAAAAATAATGTGAACCTTTCTCAGATATTCGGAGGCAACGGCTTCTGTGCGGAATATCCCGTAGAAAAACTTATGAGAGATGCCAAGATCTACCAGATTTATGAAGGAACATCTCAGGTTTTCCATAAACTCATTACAGATTACACTGATTTTCTTTCAGATTCAACGGGTCGTGATTTCTCGGATGCTTCTTGGCCATTTCCAACAAAACGGGACTTCCAGACTTTGAACTATAAAAATTATAAAGTGTTTTTCAAATGATTATTAATAAAAATTCTATTTTCTGTTGATGAAGAAATTGAAACTCTGAAATGAAAAACGTGAGCGTTCGGTTCTTCAAGGGAGCAGAGCTCGTTCTAGGAAGAAATTATTAGGCGTCAATTCATAAACTCTTCTTATTTCCTGAATAGTGTTGATTGCCTTCAATGCATTGACACATCTTCGATTGACGTCTTGAGTTTAAAAACGATAAAGAAAAAAATCAAGAATTAGGTGAACTACAGAATCAATCAGATGTCAAGTAGCTGTCCAGTGCCCGTATCCCAGAAAAGCATGTTGAAACTTCATTTCATTAGAAGAAATAAAACTAGTTCAATATTTTTGGATTCCGATTATTCTTCCTTTTCCTTTGTATAGTCTAAAATTTCAGTGTTAAAACTCTCAGACGAGGGACACTGGAACTAAAGTTTTCCTGGTAATTCGTTCTGAATTTTGTTCACATTATCAATTTTTTGAAAACTTTTTAGCCATTTTCAGAAGAATGATGTATGAAAAAGTGGTACGAAGAAAGAAAAAAAGTTATCTTTTTCCGGTTTATATCTCTCCGTGAAAGCCTTGCCAAAAATTCATTTTCCATTAATGCGCAAATTTTTTTTTTGGAAAACAGTTTTCTATACTTCAACTGAAGTTTCAACACTGACAAAAAAATAGCTTCCGGTTTCAAAACGTACAGAAAACGGTTTTTATTTCAATTGAAAAAAAGATTTAGATAAGCCAATAGACGATCGTAATTTTTTTTCTGTTTGCATTAGCTTAAGAAAAAAAAACTAGAGCGAACAGTGACATGTCCGTTTCTCGCAGATACTGCCCTGATTGATTGTTTTTTCGCGAAAAGTTCTCGAAGAACGTCTCGAACGAATTATTCAGAAAGTCTCCTCGGTTACGCAAGAATAATTGAAACATCTCGGCGGCGAATGATTCTTCTCAACAAATCCCTTCCCAATTATCCTGACCGACCTCGATTTACGGCGTCTGTTTCCGAAATCAGTTCTTGGCGTCCTTCCACTTGTTTTGTTTTTCACTTTCTTGTCTTTTCATCTTCTTTGTCGTCTTTTCATAAATTTGAACAAAGGTGATGCCCGAAGCGGGTTCTGAGGGCTTCGAATATATGCATCAGTGTGAATTGATAATGTTTTTTTCGTTCTTTTCGACTTGCCAGTCTCATATTGAAGCGATTTATTTTTCTTCAAATGAACGATCGGAGTATTTTTCTTTGTTTTAATATTCAAATCTCAGTTTTTCTGCTTTCGGTGATCTATTGTAATTTTTTTTTACATTACTCGATGCCAAGAAAATTGAAGTTTTGCAGATATAGAGAAAAGCAGATGTTGGGAAGGAGTTTTTGGCTTCCAACTGTTTTTCTAGTCGCAGTTTGTATTTTTATTTTATCTCAATTTATAGCTCCTAAACTCAATGATCCTGGCAATTATGAATTCCTTGAACGTCGAGTGAGTTGTTCTTTTATCACAGCGGTTTTTGAAACATTTATCATGCTCATCTATGAATTTTTAAGTTTTGAAAATTCAGAGAGAGAATGAAGGAGGCCAATAATTATAATCTCGACTCTTAGCAAAATCCATTTAAAGTTTCAGGAGTATTAAATTGATTAGTTTTTTTCCAGGTAGAAAGAACTAAAAAGACCAATCCACAAATTCTGGATAAAATCGACCAAAGTTTGAGGTTTATTTTCATTTCAGTTTCTATAGTTTTTTTTTCACTGCAGTAGAAGAACCGACTACATAAAAAGAGAAAACATGAGTTCTTGTCCCCCTCTGTTCGGGAAAATCATCGTTTTTGTGGCTTTCGTCAAAAGCAGCATGGAGACGTTTAATCTTTTCCAAGTTAATTCTTTCTAGAACTACTTTTCAGTCACTACAAAGTTGCCCAAGAGTCTTTACAGTGTTATTTGAAAGGAACGAACTATACTGTAGAAATGGTTGATTTGGACAACGATGTCCGTGTGCAGCAGGCCTGTTTTCGGAATAAGCAGGTTAGTCAGGATTTCGAAGAACTCGACCTTCGGAAGGATTCGGAATCCTCGAAAATAGAGAAAGTTTCAGCTTTTTTTCAAAAAACATTGCGCCGCAGCTGCTTACCTTCAGGATTCCGATTGGATGTTTGTATTAGACGCAGATACGGGTTGGTAGGTTTCTTCGGACGTTTCCTGTCTTCGATTCATTTTCACAGCAACCTGAACAAGATTTATCGAAACTCTTTCAGTTTCGGTACTTGCGAGAAACGTGTTAATTATGTTGTGAAAAGTTTCAAAGGCAGTTACATGTAACAATCGAGCTGGAATTACGTCAATGTTCTGCAACTTTCACTGGTAGTTTGCAATGTTTGAGGAATGTCATTCCTCTCGGTCAATGCAAAAGAACTCGCTGTGAATGGCTGTAAGAGGGCATGTTGAACCTTCAACCTTGACACAAACTATGACGGGAATTCTACTGTGCACGGCCGCAGAATAATATGTACAGTCAAAAGAAATTGAAGGTGTTGTCAACCCAAACCATTGCCTCGAGGAGTATATCGACGATCGCGTCGACATTCTGTTTTATGAGCGCTTTTTCAATTGGGAAATCGCTAGCGGCAACTACATAGTAATTGCTTCATACGTTAGCTTTTGTAATAAATCTGTTGAAGATCCGCAACTCCAAGTTTTCTAGAAACTTCCTCAAAGCTTGGGGCGACTGGGAGTTCAAACAGCCTTCCAATTGGAACGGAGCCGACAATGGTGTTTTACAGGTCGCTAAAGGAACACTCATTTGATTCTCACTGTTTTGAAGCTTGAAAACTTAAGATAAAATTTTGCAGATGCACATTCTTCAAACAGTTCTCCCTTATGCAGTACAAGAAATCAAGAACTGCGACGATTACTGGCATAAAGCTACAAACTACGAGTCGTATATGGCTTTTGTCACCTGTGTGAAATTATCCCTAGGTTACTGAGGATTTTTTTTTCATTTTCTGAAGTGGCTTTTTCCAGGCGCAACCCGAATTTGGCCAGGTAAAATAAGAATATATAAACGTGCTCACGGCTGGGTCCGTGACGGTTTCATAACCAGTGACAGGTTTGAATCACTTATTCCTTAAGAGCATACAGTAAACAAAGATAAATTTGCCTTTTACGATTTTCGGCTTTAATGTGCAAAAAGAGAAAAGAGTGAAAAATGATAGAAAGTATCAAAAATTGAATGCTTTGATGCTCATAAAAAGATTGGACAGATGTTATATCAAACAGCAAATTCATTTTCACTGATTCCACCAAACTCATCTCATTTTTTTCCGAAAGTTTGATGAATTATGTATTTCAAGCCTGATCCAAATTGTAGATGGTGCGAAGACGACTTCATGTTTCACGGATGGAAAGCAAACGAAGTTGGTTTCCAAGGATGGGAAAGTCCGTTCAACGTGAGTTCTTTCTCTCCCAAAGTAGATTTTGGGCTTTCCATCCGCTCTCAGAACGATGCTTCCAAAGAAGTTGTCAAAACAACAAGTTGCCTTGACAAAGACAACGAAAAGCAAGAATGACTTGCGACAATGGCAGACCATTTCAGAAAAACCTCAACGTGTCTCTGTGCGGGAAAGGTTACGAGGGCTGGGATCACCTGCTGAAAAAGCGTGTAAGCACCGTCGAAATTAGGTGAGTTAGGGCCGACGGGGTCTTCTAACCCGTCAGACGCAGGAAGTCGCTGGCGATGTTCGAAACCAGCAGCGGACGCAACTTTCCTCAGGTGGCGCGCGTCTTGCCGCACTTGCAGTCGCCAGACGTCGGCGAGTGCTTTCCACTCTGCGATCGTCTCGTTTAACTGCGTTTCTAATGTATACATCTTCTGTTCAAACTCTAAACTTCTTTTGCTTAATTATTTTCTAGTCGCTAATTTTTTTGCTGACAGTTCAAGAAATTTTTCTTTTTTTTTCTCAATAATTGTGCATCTACACTTTTTTCTCGCCGAAAAAGTTTTTTCAAGTGATTTTTTTGAATTTTTTGTTAGCTTTTTTGCATCTTTTTTATAGTTACTGTCCTGAAAATACGAGGTATTAAAAAACAATTTTGTCCAAGTTTTTATCGACATTCAAACGAATTGACCTATTTTTCAAAAATCGCAAACAATTCAATTCCAAAACAGAATGGAAATCGCGGATTATGTGCAACAAACGGACAATGAAAGCCTCATTTAACGCTTTAAGAAATCTTCTCAGTAGTTTGGGATTCTCGCCTTTGCTCTGTATTGCTGGGAAACGATGTTTATTGTGAGATATTCATTATTAATCTTCTCATTTTTTTGGAGAGAATCAAAAAAACTCATCATCTTGATCTTTTTTTAAAAAGAGAAGCAGTAAATCAAACTAACCTTTAAACTACTTTAAGGAGAAGTTAAAAAAAAGACTTTTTCCATTCCCCCAATCAATTTAACTGATGAATTTGAAATTCAGTAAAAATTAATTTTTCCGGGTCATCGTTTTTAATAGACTCAAATAGTTTATTTGAAAAATTCTCTCTCAAAACCTAGGGAATTCGAAAGAATGGTTCCGTGGAGAGAGTTTTTCGGCGAGAAAGCTCCCCTGGATGAGTTTAGAGCCATAATCGGGATGCTTCCAAAGTAAAGCCTGGTGACCAGGTTGTTGATGTTTTCTGTGCCTAACGTGTGCCGAGCGTGCAACCGGCGGAGCGAAGTTGTTTTACATATTTGTCTTTATCCGGCCCGTAATACAGGATTTTTGGGCCGCTGTTCCTCAGCAGGCACTCAAGAAGCCGCGTACGACAAGCGCGCTTCTTTATTGTCGGCAACGTTTCTCGATCTCGCCCATCAGCCAAAACATCTTTTTCGGCGATTCGTGCGCCTTTCCCTCACTTCCTCCGCCGCTTCTCCTCAACTTTTTTCCGTTCCATAATTTTTTCTTACTTTTTTCATCCATGACCCCAGTTTTGAAAACGCGAAATGCTTCGTTCAAAATGTTCTCGATATTACGGTATATAAAAAACATGTTGTTTTTCAGTTCATTTCAGCAGTTATTTTTAAAGTTTTTGTTCAATTTCGTGAGATGTTTATTTGATGAGAAGTTTTCTTATTGTACAGAGAGGAAATCAAAAGTGATTCAATTTTGTACACTGCACTTTTTTGATAACCCGATTTGTAGCTCCAAGATCTCAACCAACAAAGCAGTGACTTGCTCTACAGTATTTTGGCGGGAACCCCCAGAGGTTTCTCATTTTTTTCCATTTTTTTCCCTTTATAGGCTTGTAGGGGATGAATGTGTCCGCGAAAACCATACCAATGCTCAAAATGATTTTTTTGTGCATCTTCTTTTTCCAGGTGCGGCAAAGCGCAAGTCTTCGCGGCGTCCGACGCAGTAAGGCGTTACTTCTGAAAAAAAAATAACACCAAAAAGTCACATTTCATACGCATCGCAGCTTTTTTGCATAAGTTCGTAATGACTCGGAAAAATTGGCGTAGAGTAGCGAAACTGTTCCGCCTGAAGTTTTCCACAGTTTCGATGCTTTTGATAGAAGTGTAAGAGAGTTTTGTCTGGAAATGGTAGTTCACAACTTGCCTAATTGCCTCTAAACGGGTTCGAAAAGAGTTCCAGTTTTGTGAGTCCGTATGCGACCCTAATCGCGGACAGGCGGTCCCAAATGCCTCAAAAATCCTTGGCAATTTGGGGTTACGCGCAGCCGTGGAACGACTTGAGAAGTTCGGCGCCATGCTGCGAGTTGTGCATACTAATTGGCGTGGAATGGTTAGTGGTCGCGCAAAAACAGTTCAATCAAAGAAATACGCCGGTCGGCTGCGTTTGCCCCTTTCAGAAGTAAAACTTCGGGTACTGTGCTATTTTTTCATTTATGTTCATTTTTCCAAAATTTCTCAGAAATTGAAATTTTTTTCCTTAAAAAAAATTCCTGATTTTTTTAATTCGAGTTTAATATGTTGCGCCGTCAACTCTCATTTTCAGATGAGTCGCATAAAAATTTTTTTCACATCAATTTTTTTAACCAAAAAAACTTTTTTTATAGAGTACGAAAAAACTGTGGAAAACGGCCTTGCGAATCATCGCTTTAATGGCCACGCTTATTAAAAAAAAAATCAAAATTTTCAACCTCTTGAAAGTTGAGGCCCAACAAGCTTTTTGAAGAAACTAAATACCTTTTCCTCACTTTTTTTCGCCCTGTTCTCCGCTTGTACTGTAAAAAGTTCTTTGACTCACTTTCATTTTTTTGCGAAGGGTATGAAAACGCTGATATTGACACGAATTGATGAGATTCATTGCGTGTCGTGTATCTTGGCCAAATAAACACACATGAGCGCCCTGTCGCCATAGCCCAAGGAAAAAAATAACGAAAAATGTTGCGCGGGATGACGGTGGATTTGCAGCTAACCGATTTAGAACAATAAGAGAACCGACACTCTGTTTGGCGCTGGCCGCTGACAGCAAAAACTTCGAGTATCGCAAGACAACGTTTAGAAAGCTATCAAACTGGCTTGCATGGATCCGATGATTTCCTCGATTTTGTTCATTTAGCCTTTTCGATTCTCTTTCAAACTCTCTCTACATCTTTCTCTGAAGGTAGAGCTGAAAAAGAGTTTTTCCGAATTCTACGAGCTTTTATTGATTTTCTCATACATCTATCTCATTTGCCATCTGATACTCACATAAACAAGATAAAAAAACTACTGAAAGTAAAGATTGAGTTCAAATTCATGGCTGATATAGAAAAAAAAATGCAGTTTGAAACAATTTTCAGCTGTCTATTTTAAGCGCTTGGCACACTTTCCCGCTTCTGGTTCAAATCAAACTTAAAAATGCACAAACATATTTTCGCTACAAAGTTCAAAAATGAACATATCTTCAATGTTCATTAGATTGATTCTGTCATGTACTTGTGTTATTCATTGGTAGAAAGAAACTCTAGACAACAGCGGCTTCAGACAGAGAACACGATTGACCGGTTGATTTTCGAGTCTGCACCCTTTTCAGAACTCCAGACTGCGTGTGGAAGATATTCACATGCGATTTGCGTTCTGTTTGCCTTAGTTGCTCGCTTTTCCTTTCTCGGCACTGTTTGGCCGTCGAGCCAAGAGCTGGCCGCCTCGATTGTGCCGCCTTCTTAAGTTTTCCGTCGTAGTCGATCGTTTCACACGCTGCGAAAAACGCCCACGTGAATCCCCGCTTCTTCGCTTGTTTCATCTGGTTTTCCTTTTCCGCTTTCTTATTTTCTTATTGAACTCGTCTTTTTTGGGCAAACAATATTTTCAGTTATTAAATGATTGATTTACATTCAAATTATTGAGTGTTCGGCTTTGCTTAACTAATTTTTTTCTCATCATCAAAAAAAGCGAATTTCTGTGACAATTTATCGAAAGTTTTTTTGTTATTTCAAATTAAAGTAATCTGATTTCTTGATATTGCTTGCTCAACTCGACATTTTGAAAAGAGTAAAATCGTTGGAAAAATTTTCTTCATAAAGTTCATAAATTTTTATAAATTTCAAACTTGAAACTTCTGAGGAAAATCGAGCAAAAAAGGCGGGTTCTTGAGCTTCACTCAGATTTTTTGACGCCACTGTCTGTTTATCGGACAGCAAAAGTTTATCATTGATAGCGTTTTTGTCGCAATCTGTTCGTGGCTTCATTCCAATGTCGAGTGAGTCCAGAGGCATGACGGCGATTCGAGACAACCTCTGCGACTTGGGACGTATGGAAATCCCGAGGCCCAAGTGCACAGGCATGCAGTTCGTTGCCACCCGCGGTCGCCAAGGCTTCTACCGAGTATGTTTCAAAGTTGTTTTTTTGAAATTGTCTCCAAGATGCTCACTGGAAATTCCAGGGCAGCAAAACACGTACACCAAAAAGCATGATTTTAAAAACAACCTCGGCGCTGAGGTGCAGTGCCTCTGAAAATTTCGTACAGACCATAAAAAATCTCAACTGCATTATTATTTCAACATCTGGCATTGAGGACACGGGACCAAAATTATAACGGTTTTGACATCAATAAATTAAAAAGCACTCGTCGCGCGAGCTAATTGAGCTGAATGTCCATCGGAAATGGTCTCCCGCAAGAAAAATTGAAAAAAGGTCGCAGATTTATAGATTGGTTATAAGATGCCAAAAGGGTTCGGACCAGACATTTTATTCTCTTCGAGTTGATTTAAAAGTTTATATTCAGAACAGTTTGCATTTGTAACGAAATTTCATGTATCGAATGCAGAAACCGCATGAATTTTTGACTTCTTGAGCAATCAACTTTCAGACGATTCGCGAGAACGGCGCAAAATACGGTTTGCAAATCAAGCCCCAAGGACCTCGGCGGCCACAGCTCAGTTCGGATTTGTTTCATCGGTTGTGTCACGCGAACTTGCCTCAAAAACGCATTCATTTGAAGGCCATTGACTGTGATGGAAGAAAACCGCGAAGAATTGGACGCCCCCGAGCAGACTTCTCAACCTTCCTACAAACAGGATTCGCATGTTAATTACAACAATAATAACATCGTGGTCAGTTGGAAAAAGATTGGAAATCAAGATTAGAAAAAACTGCTTTCGATGATTCAACGATATTTTCTAATTCCGGTTTTGTCTTGTTTTGAATATAGTCAAGATTTTTGAATCAAAAAAAAACTTCTGAAAAAAACTATTTATCTTGTTCAAGTCGCTCAAAGAAAAATTCGAATAGATACTTGCGATCTAATGATTAAAATTTTTTTACAAAAGTCTTTTTGATTTCATTCGAACTTTCTCGCAAATCGGGATGAGAGAGCTCTTGAAACGGAATTATATTTCGCACTTCGTAGACGTTCTGACCGTAGCGCTTTCCTGAGAGTTCAGTCGACATTAGGTTGAGTGGCGAGCGCGGCGACTCCACGCTGGTCCAACTATTTGATGGTCATTGAAGAAGAGTGCTTTCAGCCTTTTTTCGACAGGATAAACCATCCGTGTCCTAGATTTCGCCTCTTGAACATTGAAAAAAAAAAAGAATTTTTCTTGGTTTGAGAACGAAGGTTAATAACAAACAGTTTGCGATCCAAAAAGTTCATGAATTTTTCTTAAATTTTGGTCGGTACCTTCGATCTTTTGTTTTTGATTTTCAACAATTCAAGTTTTTATAGGTGCAAAAAAACGTCCAGGAAACGGAGCAAGCTTACAAGTATCAACCAAATCCTGGAGATATGCTGCAGAAACAACGATACAACAAATCTTCATGACTTTTTTTTTGATTATTTTTCTAATGACTTATCCATCCATCACATTTTCCTCGGTCTTTTTTTCTTCTGCCTCTCATGGTCACATTTCTAGAACTGGGTAGTAAATCGCAAGAGTCCTGTGATAAAACAAGCTTGCGATTTTGGGAGCTTTCAAAATTCCGAACAAGCTTATTCTTTGATTGTTATTTTGTTGTACATAAATTTTATTTTTGATTGCGAAAAATTTGTCCAAAAGACTCGGAAGCAAAGGTTTGGACGCCAAAAATTTTTGTCAGGCGGGCCTAAGTGAATTCCCTAAACAACAGCTGAAAGGTCTGAAGTACCACTTGATAACAAGAAAAATCATACAAAAAAAAAAGTTTGAAGATACTTTCCGTTGAAAATTATCTTTTCCGCGTTGCTGATAATAGGAACTGTCTGGTTTACATTTCAAACAGCTACTTTTTTAAATTGATGGAGCTCAGAGTTTTCTATTTCGCTTTCTAGCGTTCTTCGGTCTAGCTATCCCAACTTTTAAACTTCATCAGCCTTGAACCCTCAATGAACTCATGGCTGGCATCTTTCACCTCTGTGGGCTTTTTTTTTCTTGCTTAAACCGATCGGAATGACATCGACCATCTTTTATCAGGCACAAAATGAAAAGCAAACAGTATTGCAGATTGTTTCATCAAACAATAGAACTTCGTTTTTAAGCACAATTGCTCAAAAAATTTCTTATCTCTCATCCGCGTTCAAAGCAATTATCTTTTTTTTTTTTTGACGTTTGTCACATAAAACTTTGAAAACTGTAATAACTTCCCTGTATTTTTAACTCGTTATAAAATTTTTTCAAGAAGATTCAGTTTAGCTTTTTTTAAGGCTAACAAAAACCAATAATTAAGGTTCATTGCTATCCGAAATGAAGAAGTTGATAAAAGATGGAACAATTAAAAAGTGTTTATGAATTGCTGGGAGATAATTCAACACTTCAAAATATGGTTATATGACAGGGAAAATGGCAATCAATAGGAATAATTTGAACCGTATGAGTAAGATTGGACAAGAATGTTTTGAGTTTTCAATGATCACATATTTCCTAAAAGAAACTATTTTTACATTCGTACAGCTAGAAAAGTTTCCTGATTACATTCCTAGTAAGAAGTTGGCAGCAGCGTTTAGTTCGAAGTTATTTCGCTCCAATGCAGATTTCGAAGATACGACGTCTGTCGCGATTCCCATGTTTACCAGCTGATTAACTTTCAATTTTCTCAGAGCTTCTTCAGTATTGCCGTGACACTCGATGACCATCGCATCACAACTTGATCGACTGAAAAATTCGAAAAAATGAAATAAAACTTTAAGAGAGACTGGATCTGATCAATTTACTACATATATTTTTTTATGAAATTATGGGGCATTTTGAAGTTTCCCAAAGATCAGAATGTTGAATTGAAAACTCAATTTTTTTCTGAAATTTTTTTCTGAAAATTTGAGCACAGTAGCGCTTATAGTGTCTAGCATTTATTTATAAACGAGGATTTAAAAAAAGATTTAAAATTTTTTTAATTTGATTTTTGTTAACCTCATTAATTTCAATTTTTGTTAGGAACTTGGTGAAACATGGAGAAAAAGTTACAAAACTGGCCTCGCAAAATTGGCCTCACGATAGAGAACTTCCATGGCTTCGAATGAGTTGGTATTTCCGGCGCTGGCGCTGCTTCCAGACTGTGAAACGGGTCTGTAGGAAACAAATGACGACGGCTGCAAAAGCTCGTTGATGTCAGATTCGGCCAACGGTCTGAGGTCAGGAGGAGTGTCGTTCCGGGAAGGCGCGGGGACGTTTGCCATGTTTCGTGAAGCGTTTGGAGTCATAGAGTATCCATAACCAGGATACATTGACGGAGTGTAGGACATTGGTTGATAGGGCATCGGATAGCTCGACTGGCCGTATCCGCCAAAGGAAGGATATATCGAGCCAGTTGAGTAGGCTGAAAAAAAAAATCAAATAAAAGCTCTCGAACTGTTTTGAAACCATTGTAGGATGGATTCGATGAATTCATAAGGTTATAAAACGGCATGACCGCTTGCTGAACTTCAGGCCTAACGATGGGTGCTGGTTGAGGTGGTGGCGTCACTCGAGTTTTTGGCACTTGATTGAATGTCTAAAGAAACCATAGGCCTTCTTTTTTGCAAAATTCGAAGTAATACCGTAGATTGAGTGAAAGGTTTTGCTTGATTGTTGTGGAGCAAAATGGGCTGCAGTGGAGCTGTTGGTAAGACTGGCTCTGGTTTTTTGATTGGAGCCGTAGTCGTTATTTCACCTGGTTTTGGTACCGTCGATAAAGAGGATGTCTACAAATGCTCAATCACAACTTCAAGCAAAATTTGACCCTACTCTCTCTGTGTTTACTGGATTTGAAATTTTTGCGTTTGTCTTGGAGCTCGAGGAATTCCCGAAAAGCAGTTTGCTCGGTGGAGGCAGCAATGACGATATTTCCGCATTAATTTTTGAAAGTCTGTCCATTGCGGTGTTTGGAGGCTCCGGATTCTGACTGGATTGTCGCGAGGTGTTGGAAGGAGCTGAGAGATTGGAAGACTGGGGTTTCTCCACCGCTGACGGCTTCGTTCCAGAATCTTGGTTTGGCTTGCCAGAAGAGCTCAGTGACAATGCTTGAGAATTGCTGTTGGTGCTCCTATGATTGGTCGAACTTTCAGCCGATTTCCCATTATTTCTCTCCAATTTCTCCGTAAAATCACTTCTGCCGTTTGAAAATGTCGTGCTTGTTTTTGCTTCTTTGTTGATATTTGCTGTCATCGTAGTCGTAGGTTGAACTTTCGATGGTATCAGGCATTCCGAAGGTTTCTTTGTAGTCAGTGTAGCGGGTCCATTTTGCTGAAACCTTTGTTTTTCTAAAATTGAAAATCAAAACTCACAAGTCCAACCAACGGAATTCCTATTGAAGAGACCGGTCTTTGCGTTGTTGAGACTGGTTGCGACAAACTTTGGTGTTCCTGTATTCCAAACATACGATTTACCAAATTTTCGACTCACAGAAAAAGCGGTAGAAGAACGAGAGATATGTATTGGCGGCTGCGACGCAGAGTTCGTGGGACGCAAGATCACATTATCTAGAAAGATTACAGATTATTTTTCTTTTTCCCTTCTCAAGACCAACCTTTATTGTTTGACGTTCCAATGGGAAATTGATTTTGCTAAAAAAAATTAAAAGGTTTCATGGGAAAAAAGGCCGGACTTACAGTGGAAAGAGCAACGCTTGCGTTGTTTCTCGCGTTTGGTGGCGGAAGAATAACCGGAGTTGGCTGAAGTACCCTATTTTCAAAAATTTGATTTCCGATTCTTGGTTTGTCGTTATTGGTGGATGTAAGAAAATTGGCGTCTTTGTTTGCTAAAAATATGATAATTTTAAAAGTTTCTCCGCTAAAATCACTTTGGACTGTTGATTTGGTTTTGTACGATGTGAAATGTGGAGGAAGAGGAATGTCAGCTGAAAAAGAAATTATCTTTCGGAAGGAACAACTCAAGCAACTAACCCGTGCCCGTTGTACTTGGGGTGATCAAAACTGATTTCGGAACGTACGAAGGCGACATGAACGAGCTCTGAAAAAGGAAGTTCAAAGTTTATTTCTGGAAATATATTGAAAATATATATGTGAATTACATTATTTGCGAACGAAGAGATAGGCGCCACGTTTCGAGTAGGGAGAAGAACGGGCTCTTTGGCAGATAAAACGATCTCGGTTTTCCCGTTTGACACAAAGGAGATGCCATTACTGTTGCTTCTTTCTGCAAATTTTTCTAGTCAAACAGACAATTTATCTTTTCACTTTGAAAAAAAAAACAATTTGATAGTTCTGGAGTTTTTAAATAAATGATATTATCTCAAAACTGAACTCATAAAATTTCAAAAACTCCTTTGATTTATTATTTGGAAAAATTTCTTTGCCGAAGGAAATATTGGAAAACGAGGTTTGATAAAGCAAAAAAATGCACTCTGTTCCGACGAGACATTACAGAACAACACAAACAAAAACAAACTGAAAAAAATGAAACATATATGGACTCTTTCAGAATTGGTACTGACCTAGATCTCGTGGGATCTCAATATGACTCGGAGAAAAGTTTTCCGACTGAGCCGTTTCGAAGTCATCGTCCCAAGCAGCGTGTACGGTAACTGCGGATCCTATCTTTAAGGCTGAAAGTCTTTAAAAATAACAGTGAAGTTCTGCCGGTCTAACCGTCACTATTCAGTGAAGGCCTGAAAGAAGGACAATCATTGGCTTGACGATCGGGAAGTATGGATTTCACTACCAGAGCGCCGTTCTGAGCGCTGTAAAACCGAAAGGAAATAACAAAACTAGTGAAAGTCAAGAGCTTTGGTATTGGTGAGTACGACAATTTGATACTTGAATGAAAAAATTCAAAGCATTGTGTTTTTGAATTGTGAAAAAACATCAGAAGCTCAAAAAAGAGTTCGTCTAGGAACAGCGCCTTTTTTCTTGAGTTCAAAATGTAGGCCCTGAATTCGAAGACCAGCGCGCATACATCAGTTTAGAGAGGACGGTAAACTTGGAGTGACCAGACTCGTACTCTCCTTGCTCTCCACACTGTCTGAGAACCTGCGCGCTGGAAAGCCAAATTTAACAGAAAGTTTCAAGTTTACCGTTCTCTCTAATCTGATGTATGCGCGTTAGTCTGCCGTTTTTTCTGAGGTATAGACTCATAAAACGGGATAAAGAGTTTCAAATTGCAATGATAGGTTTTTCACTGGAAGATTTGAATGAAAAGTCAAATGGAAGCATTTTATTGCTGCAGTAATTATTTCTCCTCAATTTCGAAAAAAGAAAAAAAACACGGAAGACCTGGACAAGGGTTTGCCAACAACAGGGTTTTTAAGGTAGACAGAGTCGATAACAGCAGGATCGCCCCAAGACTGCCCTCCAAGACCATCGCCATGTCCCACGTGGATGAAGGAGCCTGACAAGGAAACTCTGAGGTAACATGAGACAATAGGTGAGAACAAAACGTTTCGGCTGTATTGTTAAAAAAGAAATTCTTTTTTAATACACATTGGTTCTTCATATTCTCCAGCAATTTCCAGACGGAAAAAAAACTTTTCAAAAAAAAACGTCATGAAGCTCTGTCAGTGTTGTTCCTTTAAAATGGATAAATTGCACTTTTTCTCTCTAAACAAAAAGCCCAAAGTTCTCATTCAAAAATCACTTGAAATTCATTAAAAATACACTATATTGAAAAAAATTGTCCTGTTGAAAAATAGAAAAAAAACGTTTCACGAAACACACCTTGTACCGGAAGGGAAATTTTGAAAGAACCAGCGTTTTGAGAGTTGACCGATATCGCAGGAAGTGCTTTGTTTGTCTGCGGACTTTTCTGGAAGATCTCAAAGAATATTGAGAAAATCCATCCGTTTTTACTAGCTGTGCTACTGGATCTGGAACTTCGCGAGACTGGCTTGGGACAAAGACGATCTCTCGCGGAAACTTGCCAAACTCACGAGAAACTTTGCTTTGCCCAAACCATTCGTGGCCACTGAAAATAAATAGCATTTTAATCACTGAGAAAAAAATTTCAATTAGTTCAGGAAACCTGTTTTCGATAACGATGACGGGATCGTTTTTTTACCCAATGAGAGATGTTTTTGGATTTCGAGCCACATGCGGCTCTCTAACGACTGCAGTGTTGAACTCTATCTGCAAATATACGGCTGTTCAGGTAACAAGCTTCAAACACTTGGATTTCGGTAAAAAAAAATTACCATGAAAAGATTTTTAGTATTAAAGCTTTTTTAAAAATCAGATTCTTCAAATCACACCGCAAATCAAATAGAGACAACATTTATGAAGTAAATAAAAATAGAACTCACAGCTTTCAAATTTGCTCTGAGAGTATTAAATTTGGGACGATCTTCTGCTCGAAGTTTCCAACAGGAATTCATGATTTCATACAGTTTTTTAGATCCGTATTGAGGCTCTTCCAGTCTTTCTCCGGCGTCAAGTCTTTTCAATACCTGAAAACATAGAACATGTCATCAGAAACGAAATAGAATTCACGTCAATAGCCCGACATCCTATCCAGGGCTCTTCACCAAGCGTGAAAATCTCCCACATCAGAACGCCATACGCCCAAACGTCAGAAGCATGAGAAAATTTTCGGTGACGAAGGGATTCAGGGGGACACCTAAGAATAAATATGTTCTATTGATTTCTCAACTAACCAAGAAAACGGGACTTTTTTCTGTGGTCCCATTATGTACATCTGCTCGTTCTCTTTGAGGTTCCTCATTAAACCAAAGTCTGACAGTTTGACACTCTGAAAAGGGGAGTTCGAAATTTCTCGAATTATTCTCCTTACCATCTCATCCTTGGTTAAGAGAATGTTTCGGGCAGCGACGTCACGATGGACACAATGCTTAACTTCCAGAAACTGGAGAGCCTTCACGGTTTGCATGCAATATTCTAGCAATTGAGTGACAAAAGGAGCTTTTTTGTGGTCATCACGAAGCCGATCCAACAGAGATCCGCCTTCACAAAGCTCAAAAATCTGGAAATTTTTTCGAATAATAAAACATTAACATTTCAACAATCATTTGAACTCAAAATTATTAAAATCACGCTTACCATCATTGAAGGGCGTTGAACGATTCCATAAAGCCTGATCAAATAAGGATGTTGTAACTTCAGAAGATGGCTTGCTTCCACCTAAATGTATGTGTTGTACTTTCATATAATTTTTTCTTTGCAAAATTTTAGATCATGAAAACCTTGAGGTCTTCCAATACTGTGGGAGAAATATCGCGAAGAATTTTGACGGCAACATCCAACTTTCGGCCGCCAGGATACGTCCAAGTGCCCCGTTTAACAACCGCGAAAGTCCCCTCTCCCAGTTGTTCAAACAATTTGATCTGCGAAAAATTTTAAATTATCGAAAACAGTTTTTGTTTACCTGGTCCGCAGGAATCGAAGTTTCTTGCGTGGGGACGATCTGGTCGATCGCACTTTTTTGGCTGACGTATTTGCAGTCGTTTTTATCCGTTTTCGAATCTTGCATGACAATTTTGCTAGCTTCTAAGAGCCTTTTGATTTGGTCCTGATGCAATCCGGCCGTCTGAAAAAAGATTGAACTGAATAAGAAACAATTTCGTCGATGCCCATTTTTTAATTATTCCTTATTCTAAGCGTTGTTTCAAGTTTGATGCCCGCATTTTCTCAATATACAGCAATGGAAATGCGTACAAATTGAAAATTGTAGGTAAAGACTTTTTTGAGTTATAACTTTCAATTAGCAATATTCCAAAATTATTCGCCCCATTTCTTTTTGTTAAAAGGCAATTTTTTTTCTGGAAAACTTTATAAGGTCGGCGTTCAATGAGAAATAACAAAGCAAAAAATATTACATTTTTCAGAAATTTCAAAACTGACCGCCATGTCTCTTGGTTTTATTGCATGGAAATGCTCGAGTCGTCTGACTTGGAAGCCAAAAACAAACAAATCCTGATACTGCAGTAGTTGGGTCTTCTGCAAAACATCGAGCACCGAGCTCTCCACAAGAGCTCCTTGACTCATCTGAAACAGGAATGTTGTTGAAAAAATAAAGAGAAAAACATTTAAAAACGGTAGCATATACAAGTTAAAATATTATATGACAGTTCTGCTGAATCACACTCGCAAAACTGTCTGATAAGGCGTTGAATAAGAAGATAACGGTATCGATTCGAAAACTAAATGTGTTCAGCTTATTGCCGAAATTTGCGCTTTTGCTAGAAGAGAAGAGCAAGTAATAAAACTTCAGAAAAAAAATTGATTAGATTTTACTCATCTAAAGTTATGACACAAGTTTCTGGGCCTGTGAAATTGATCGTCAAATTTTGGCTTTTCTGAAAACTTAACCAGCAATTAATAGAGAGGGTCATACTTTTCCAAAAGCACCAAATTTTCAAAGCGTCTTTTTCAGAAAAAAATAATCAAAAAAAGATTTTTAAAAAAATTTTTTTGAAACAGTTATTTTTGATTTAGCTAATTCGAAAAAAAGAAAAGAAACATAAAACGTCATTTTTTTCATTTTGAGCGGTTTTTGTCTTATTTTCAACAAGCAAAAAAACCGATTGAAGGATAATTCGTGAGTAAGTACAAAAAAAGAAAAATAGAAAAAAAGAGTAAACTAGAAAAGATTCGAGTTTTTCACAAATATCAGTTTTTTTCTTTTTTTGCATTTTTTTATGATCAGAGTGGCAAATTTCGCAGAACATTTCTTGCGCTTAAACCTTAAGAAAAAAAGCTCGATAATCAAAAATTTTGCACTTTTTTTGAAGTTGAAGGAGTTTTTTTCTGAGAAAGCTGAGTTATGAAAATAATGTATAATATTTTGTAACCATTTGCCCTTTTTCCGGGTTCTCCAAAAATTGTTTAAAACAATTCACAAGACAATTGAAACAGAAAACGAATGCGAAAAATTGGTGTTTGATGGATCACGTCTCCATGCGTTCCAGCTTTTTCAAAATCAATAAGTTGTTCAAGGGACGGTGCGGAGAAGCGCGAAAAAAAAACAGGAAGCGGGCTTGTAGGGAGCGTTGAACACAATAGTGCCCCACTGCAAACAGCCAGCGCGCGTCATATCCGCATGCATGAGTCCCACGCAGCCGAGGGACCGCATTTCTGTTGGTTTTTCGGATCTTCGCTGGAACCAACTGGGCTTGTCATTCTCACTTTCCTTTTGTGTACCAGTAACCGTTTAACAGAATATAGTTTCTTGATGTAAAGGTTGAATATTTTTTGTTGTTGAAGCTATTTTGACACGTTTTTTGAACAAATTGTTAATTTTGAAGCACTTTAAGAACTTTTTTCTTTCTCATGGCATCGTTGAGACTAACCTTTTTTTGTTTTCAACCGTATAGAAAATCGTTTTGCTCGTCCCTAGAAGTTTTTTTCTTAATTTTTTTCCACTTTTTCAAGCTTCTCATTTCGAATTTTTTCCCAATTTATTTTAAGAAGCCGATGTTGAAAATTTATTTCCTTTGCGTTGATAATTGCGAAAAAAAGTATTTGATCATAAACATTTTTTTATTTGTTACTTTGTACCTCTACACGAAAAAGAAATATGAAAGCCATCAAAGATTTCACATTAATATGAATGAAGGTTTATAAAATAATGAAGAAAAATAAAAAAACAAGATAAAAGTTGTAGACTACAAATAACTTGACATTTGCTTTTTTTATTTTCTAGGGAATTGAAAAATTTTGGAAGAAAAATCCCAATAAGTGTGTTGGATACTTTTTTTATGGAGTCAAGGCCCCCAAAAAAATGCAGGGCTGTTATCAAACCCAAATGCTATGCTACGGAGTATTAGATTTATTTTTTTCCAATTTTTCGAATTAGAAGTCATTCATACCGTTTCATTGGCTTTGTTGAATTTTTTGTTGATTATTTTTTTAAACGCTCGTTTCAAATTTCCTATGACATCAGTTTACTTAATTGGTTGAAATTACGGATCAAAATGATTTTTTTGTCAAAGCTTAGGACAAAACCAAAAAAATACTCACCTGTTTTCGTTGCTGTAACTACCAAGCTGCTTCTCAGGATTTCAGGGAACAAAATTTTGCTTTTATTTGAAAATGTGACCTAAAAATGTTTCATGTCAATTGTTAACACAAAAAACAAAATCAATAATGTATTTTGAAAACAAACTGGGGCAATGCGTTTAAAAAACCTCCTTTTTGTCCGGGCTCGTGGAAAAGTCATGTGTTCGAAAATTTCAACCAGGAACTAAACTTTGAAGGATGAATCAACTGTCACGGGCTCTGCAATCAGGAAACGTCAGCGAACGGACTATGTTCTGAAAATAGGGATGTGAAACACCAAAAAGGCAACTTTTATGGCTTGTCAATCTTGAGATTCTACCTCGGATTCTTTAATCCAAGTTGAAAAAAAAAAATTAAAAATTCACTTGAGAAATTTTCCATTGAATTTTTGACAGGACATTGAAAAAAAAAGTTTAAAATTTACAGAAAGGATCAGTCTATACAGACAATCTTCTCCTCCAGCCGTTTCCACAGATCAGCTGTTAGATTTAATTGATTGTTTTAATGTGTTATTTTTTGTATTTGTCGTGCAGATTGCGAAATGGCGAATAAACATTTGAAATGAAATAAAATGAATTTTGAAGCTGCTGCCTTCGAATCCAATCAAATGAATGTTTATCACGCATACAGAAAAATTACGTAGCGTGAAAGTGAGCAACAAGAATTGTTAAATTAATCTCTACTTTAAAAGATTTCCATTTGCTTCAAATATTTTTCCTAAACTTTCAAGGTATACTTTGTATGATTTGTTGTCGATTTTTGTTAGAATTTTCGTTTCATAAATAACGATTCTATTTTTAGCCGTCGAAGATGCTCAATAACTTTAATTTCCATTCCTGAACTACATGTTCTTGAACTTTTTTTACTTGGAGAATTGAGTCAAAACATAAAATGTCTGAAATATGTTGCACATTAAACATTTATTCAGTTTTCAGATAAGTTTCTCTGCTGAATAATGGAATATCCAAAGATTCGTTTGCCGATTCGCAAAACTGTCGTTGATCAAAACCGGTACGATTTATTGGCACGAGTTTTGAGCGTTCCGACAATCAGTTGCTTCTTCATGTATCCCCAGAAATACATTTTTTAAACTCAAAAAGTTGATGAACCCTTATTCGCCGACAAAATTCGAACAAGGGAAAATTATGCAAACATAATGTTCCAGACATCTACTCAATCGCTTGTAGTGTTGAGCGTCAACAAACGTGAAAAGGTCCGCCGCTAGACTTCGCACACATTCCAGCAACTGCTCCCGACCAAAGCTGAACCTCGTCCTTCTTTTTGGCAATCAGAACACATAACTATTTCGATAAATTCCTGCTGTTTTAGACCATCACTAAAAAGCGAATGATAAGTGTTAGAGGGAAAGAAAAAGTGGGACATAAAGAACGCTGGAAAGGATTACTGTAGTCCCTCCTTTTTCTCCTCATTGACTCGGCAAAAAGTCTTTGAAGAAAATTTCAAAATTAATCTTTAATTCAAAAAATTAGTTGACTTTTCCTTCTTGTCGGCCCTACTTTTCCTCCCTGCAAGAGATTTGTTTTTGGAGAACTCATTCCCGCATCATGATCATACCATAATGTTTGCTTCTTGTACATCATTTTTACTAAGAAATATTTTTTTAACGACTTTGCTCCAATTCCAAATTTCGTAGATAAAAACATCCAAAAGTTTATTCGTGATGGACATACAAATTATTTCATTTGAAATACGTGTTTTGTCGTTTGAAAAGTCAGACTGAACATTTTTTCGGCCGAGGAAGTTGAGACTGATTTCTGAAGTACTTTGAATAGAAACTTGCGCAACATTCGATGTAATGACCGCGTCGGATTTGTAAAGAGGCACTTTGAACTTGAATTGAAGCACGAATTGCTTCGAAAGTCTGAGACAGCCACGAGGCAAAACGGTGAGGGCAGAAGAATGGAGGCGACAAAACCATTATGCGGTTTTCGCAATAATTCAAGTGTGAAGAGAGGCGCTAAACAAGTACTCTAGGTAAACTTGAGCGAGTACATCAACCTGAGCGTTTCTAACCAAACTTCCTGTTTCAATTTTTCTTTTTCTTACGCGCCAAATGTCCTGTTGAATAATTGCACATGTAGGTCGCTGATTTGACGTTTTTTTGCATACTTAATGACGTTTTTCATGACTCTCTGATGAACGGCTCGTTTCAAGTTTCTCAGAACCTCATGGGCAACTTTCCCGAATTCCAGCTTCATTTGCATCCTGCACATGAACATGGAATGAGTTTCGATTATTCGAAATTAAAAGACAAGCGTCCCTAGAAGCACTGCTCTCATAATCTCCACGCTTCACAGATTCAAATTTGTCTCTCTGTTGACCCACTCCGCAATTCGCAACATATCCAGTTACAATCGATCCATGAAGTTTTCGTTCTATGAAACTTTGTATTGTCTATTTTGCTTCTATACAGCCAAGGATTTTGCATGAAGAGAACATCTTGTTGAAAATAGTCCAAGTTGAACTAATCAGATTCGACTCTTTTCACTTTGCCGCTGTATTTAGATGAGAGTTTGCTCTCATTCGATTAATGTGAAAAAATCCTCATCGGAAAAACCCCGATCTCAAGAAGAACTTCTCCTTTTCAGCCAAACACGCTAAGAAAAATATACTCAACAGAAAAAAAAAATTAAATTTACTCAATTTATTTTCCCAAAGGTTCATCGAAAGAAGCCTCCGCGATGGTTCGTCGAGTAAATTGACATAGAAAAGGCTAGTTCTGTCTATATTTTCAAGTACTTTTCAAAAAGTTTTCGCTCTGCTGTTACCTTTTTTTATTCAACAAAAACGAAGTTCTACGATAAACGAAAAAGAGTCTGATTGCCTTTCATTTGAGGGTGGGTTGAGTGACGTACAGCCGAATATTGGCTCTAACCTCTGAGGACGTTTAAATTCACTTCCCCACTTTTGCGAGTTTTCATGGGAATTCAACCGTTTTCCTATTTGAGATAAATGCCTCAATTACCATTTTCCACGAAATGCTAATTTCCTTTCAAGACAAGTTTCCCCAGTTAGCTCAAACTCCATTCGCTTGGTTTGTATTCATATCATGCGTTGTTTTAATGAAGTTTCAGTTCAATTCAGAAAAAAACCAACAGTCAAAATTTTTACTTATTTTCTTTTTCGAAAAAAACAGGTTCATTTTAAAATCACCTTTCTGGGAATAAATAGACGAGTTCAAAAAACCTAGACATTATTTGGGGCGTCAAAAGTCAAATTCTCAATAAAAATTTCATTCACCGTTCCTCGGACACCAAAATTGGAATTTTGCTTGATGGAAGATTCCATTCGAGCTTAATTAACGTTCCCGTTTCATTCAAAAAAGGTCAACGGAAATTTTAAGAGTGTTTTGACGAATAATACGATTCTCATTGTTTTGTAACTCTAGACTGAGGTTCGCTCCGGCAGCACTTAAATTTGCTCCGGGAATCCGGCGGCTGGGCTTCGTCATCGTCGGTCTCGAGGTCCTAAATTCCCACCACCACTTCTAAAGATTCCTTCTTTATATACTCTCACTTTTTTTAGGAATCAAAAAACCAAGAATCTTGAAAAACTACTTCATTTGAGAATTTTTTGAAAAAGTTTCTCTACAAACGAAGTAACTACACTTCTTACTGTACTTCACGACCTATAAAATACTCTTTCGAAAAAAAACCGGTTTTCAGAATAAAATTAATAAGCGTGAGCATTGGAGTGCCATAAAGCTGTTCAGAGCAGCTTTTTTTGTTGAACCTCATCAGCAAAAGAGCGTAGGTTTGATTGGTTAGAAGAATAACTGAGTCAGATTGAGGCCTCCTCATCAAAAACCACTCTCTTCAGGCTAAATTCGAGGAAATGGATTTCCATTTTCGACGAACCAATTAGTCAGTTGAGTTTTGAACAGTAAAAGATATTATTTTGATTGAATCATTAATGTAAATTAAATTTGTTAGTAATCCTAGGAACTACAATTTGTTGCCTCAAAATAACTTATCAAAATAGAAAAAGACTGGAAGCTGGACCGATTGGACTCATTAAACGTTTGTTCCCGCCTTCAGCAGCTATTACCCTTTACTTTACCTTTACGAATTTTTCTTTTGCAGCGCGTTTCCGTTGAGTTTACTTTGCGAAAAGTAGTCTTCTCAGCGCCTTTTCCAATTTTTCGCTTTCAATCAACCTCTTAAGTACACGTTTCGAACCACACGTCTGGCGCCTCATAAGACTCCAATTTTATTGAGAATTACACACACCTTTTCATTTGTATCATTTACACACCCGCTCTGAAGCTTTTTCGTGTTTCAAAAAAAGTCGAAGCTTGATAAAGTGGATATTGGGGGAGCTTTTTGCATGGCCCTTCAGAAAGTTTTTACCGCTTAGTATTTTGAATGCAAAGTACAATGTGGAAAATTGCATTCAAAAGTTGGTATTTCCCTTGCTAATGAGAAACAAAGAAATGTTCTCAGATTCACACAGCTTCACCAGTTTCTGGTTATTATGCGGAACAAAGAAAAGACTCCGTCTTTTGTTGCGAAAATCAGCTGCGCGTCATCGAGGGCCAGACTCGAATAGTGAGGAGCAGCAGGTGTCGCACAACTTCTTGCTCTTTCTCATGAGATCCGTTCTTTACCCTGTTACAGAAAATTTCATTTTTTTGACAACTTCGCTCAGCTTCAAGTTTTTCGACTTCATAATTTAATAACTTCAAGAATCGAATTTTATTCATAATCTTGACTGCTTGAAATATACTGTGATTTATTTCAGAAAAAAAGGTTTTTTTGGGCTCCGATGTTTCGTGGTTGAACGATTTCAACTTGTTGAAGAACTTCCGAGTTGCCCGTCTTATCATCCTCGCATTAAGGTTCATTTTTGATACTCTTTTTCGATGTAGTCAAGTTTAAAAAGTTCGAAAAGAAAACGCACTTTCAAACTTTTAAAAAAGCAAAGAAGTACGTAAAACTGATTCTATTTTTGAACTGAATTTCGAAAGTGTCACCTTGGTGTCTGGAACATTGCAAACTTTTCTGAGCATCTTTTCAAAGAAGTATCCTGAAAGGTTGATGAGAAGACGGATGGAGAAGCTGGTCTTGTTTCACGTCTCCGCTCAAGACGCTCTCGTAAATTTTCGAGGTGTCGAAGCGTTTTTTTTTTCGTTCGAGGGATATGAACTTTGAACTTGCTTCCCATTTTTTTCTTGTTGTTTAATTAACGTTTGCCAATCATCGAAAGTTCAGAAAGAAGCTCGATTAACTTTTTCTATTTATGAACGCTGAGAAATCGTCTAAAAAAGTGACAGCAAAATTCATTTGAAAAATGAAATAGCAGACTTTTTCGAAAACAAAAACTTGTAATCCGCAATATAATTACTATAAGCAAACTCATGCAAAATTTAAAAAGAACTTGCTTTTGGAGAAATGAGCCGAATTGTTAAAGTTCGCATTTTTCTTTTGTAGGTCAATCGTGTGAAAAAAAAATTAAATCTTCTTGTCCGACTTTTTCGGAGCTAAAACACTTCTGCCTCTTCACAAACTCAATTTTCGTCAATTGGCAGCTTCTATTTCACATATATATTTACGAGAGTAACATAATCTCAAAGGTTTTTTTTTCAGGAGATTTTCAAATCTGCAGCGGTCCTAATGAATTAATATCTCGAAAAAATATTTAAAAAGTTTAAAAACAGTAATTCAATAATTTCTGACAAATAAAACGAACAAATATCAAACTACTCGGAAGTGTTCAAATAAAGATCTTCAACAAACTTGAACACTTTTTGAGCACTTTTTCACAATACTGTGATCACTTTTTTTGAACTTTTTTTTTATTCAAATGAGAAAATGTGAGTTGTGAACTGAAAAGCTTTTTTTAATTCTATTTTTGAACTCAAAGAGATAAATGAGAAGACGGTAACCCTCATCAGAATCCAAATAATGTGTAGTTTGAATTTGAAAAAAACCTCTTTTCATAAAAAAACATTGCCTTTTTCAACTCAAAGAGTCAATTGATTTTGATGAATATTAGATAAGCTCATCATTCAATAATATAGTTCCTTTTAAACTTTTGGTTGCTTTTTCGAACGAACCAGGTTTTTTGCAGGTTTTGATCCAATGGAAAGCGACTCTCCGCTGAACAGACCCACAGTTCATTTCTTGCTCTCGGCTTCCTACCTTTTTGTCTTCCTCGCGACAGTTTTGGGTTTGTTCCATCTTTTTTGCACTTAGGAGCGATCTGATCTTTTTAGATCTTTTTCAAGAAACGAAGAAATGCTTAGGGGAAAAGTACAAAAGCAAGAAGAAAACCAGTAAAGTATCGCGTTTCTCTTTTGTGTCCGTGCGAGTTTACTCGCACTAACAAATAACGGCCACCGACGACATCGTCCGTTTTTATATGTGATTCTCGCACCTTGGCAGGGATTCAATGAAAGAAAAAACGTTTTTGCGCTGATTCCAAGGACAAACACTACCGTGTTGTTTCATCGGCTTTTCATTCGCGGAGGAAAATAATTTTCGATTCACTGTTCGTTTAATGGATAGAGCTGAAAAGAATGTTCGTTTCAAATCAGGTTGAGTTTAAGCTCGACTTTCTAATTTTCAAGATAACAGACTAGAAGAGAAATCATTAACTCAAAACATAGATTCTTTCTTAGACAGGCAAAAATTTTATTATTCATGAAGACACTGAGAATCATAATTTGAACAATAAGCTTTCATTGAAGAAAGGAATTTCTAAACATAAGCTTTTTCCCATAGTTTCCAAGGTACTACTTTTTGAAGTCTGTTTCAAAAAAATAGAATTAAAAAAAATAATGAATGCAGCCTGTTTCAATAGAAAAAAAATGCGCAAGCTGGGGCTTTCGAAACTTTTTTTCGAGTACGTCAAATATTCAACCGAATTTTTCAAAAAAAATATTTGATTTTTCGAATAAAATTTTTCTTTTTTTCAAAAATTCACTGATCCGAAAAAAACACAATAAGGTTTGCACATATTCCCGTGGATTTTTTTGTTCTCAAAAAAATAGTGTTCTGTTATTTTTTTCTCACTTAACCTCAGGTTTGGCCATTTTTTCAAAATTTTAACTACAATTTTCTGAAACGAGTGTTTTATTTTTTATCGTGTTCCATTTTAAGTGAACCAGTTTGCATTTGTATTCGGCTGAATTCGAACGCTCAAGAAAAAACGCGGCAGTTTTTTCCCTGCAAAATTATGCATTAAAACAGAATTTAGAAAGAAAGTTTGCTTAGTTCAAGTTCAAATTTTTTTAACTTTCTCTAGGAGGCTCAAAAAATATTTGAACATTACTTCGTGAAAAAGTTAAAGCAATCGTAAATAAAATAAAAACATAAATTCTTTTTTTACAGCTTTTTAAAGCATCCCACTGAATTGTCAGATCTGCGCCTACTTTGGCTGCATTCGCACCTTTTGCGCTTCCTGTGTTAGAAAGAATAATTGCAGGAAACATCGTCATTCTCCTCGTTTTTATCTCACAAAAACGGATAAGGAGTGTCCCCAACTTCTTTCTCGCAAACTTGACGGTGAGTCTGAAGTATTCATGTTGAAACATCAGAAGTTGCAGGTTGCTGACCTGTTTGTCGGTATTTTCTGCGTTCTGCAGAATGCCGCTCATTTCGTTCTGCAGGGTAGGCTGAGTACAAAAAAGCAATATTATTATTTTTTAGGACACGGCCGATGGCCTTTCGGAAAAGTACTTTGTTACTCTTACATCTACACTCTCCACATGGTCCCCAACGTTTCTGCTGGTATTTTGGTCAGTTCCATGAATGGAAGGGCACTTTCATCAGGTGGAATCGACTAGGCGGTGAAAAAATTGCTCTTTTGAGCGGCACTAACACTGCCTTTGGCGAAAAAGAAGTCAAAACGTGTAGTTGATTGATTTGAAAGCATGGCCTTACGATCCTTCGCCTGTGATTCCACAAGTAGATCCCTCAGTTTCGCGGGTACGGGCACGGCGGTGATGGTGGGGCTCGGGCACGGACCCCGTGTACACTCTAGGACAGTCTCGGCCGACTGAGAAAGCTGCCACTTCGAGTGAAGAAAATACACGGAATTCCTTCAAATTTGTTCGAATTTCGAAATTTCGCAAACCACGATTTCTCAATTTAGTTCGAAGATTAAATTTTTCTCGATCCCCCCTAATGAACAAAAAAAAATTCTGAGCCTAGCCTATAAAAATAGTATCATGTCAACAAATTGATGAATATCGAAAGTATGGTTAAAATATGATACAAAGGACTGATACTTTTCGAGATGATCTAAAAAAAAATAAACCGTTTTTTTCCCAGCTTTACAACAGAAAACAAAAAAGCTACCTTATATAGAGAATGTGCTCGTAGTGATAGTACAGAAATATAAATGGCAGAATAAGAAGTTGTTTTATAAAAATCAATGATTTCCCACCTACTCGAAAAATCCAAGGACTTGGGTAAAAAACTAATACAACATCCATCAAAGCTGAATCAAACCACGTCAAATGAAAATTTGAGTTCAAAAAAACGTCAGGCGTTTGCAAATATTAATAGAAAAACCCAATGGAGGAGATGGACGGGAACGTTAAAAAAATTATTTTTAAAAAAAATTAAACTTTTTTTCTTTTTCTGGGTTTGTCATCTGAAAAAGATATTTTTTTACAGGTATTAGTCTCAGTGGAAAGACTGATAGCCGTTTTGCGTCCTCTTCGAGTCCGGCGAACTTTTTCCACTCGAGTTCTCATCACTTCTTCTGTTTTTGTCTGGACAAGTTAGTTCGACTGTTCGAAATAAAAATATTGTTTTTCACTTGAAAGCGAAAAAATTGTGTGTAGAAACAAACAAAGCGTTCATTGCACGCTTTCTTTTTTAAGCAATTATTTTTTAAAATTGATCGGAAACACCAAAAATTGAACTTTTTTTTTGTAGAATGATAAGAAAAGCTTTTTTTTTTCTTGAGCTTTTGTAATTGCTCAAAAAGTTTTGATTTTTTAATGTTTTGCGTGTATGAAAAGTTTCACAGCGTGGAATTTAGTACAATTTTTGTAGCTAGTATCAATCAAATACTTTCAATAGATCTTTCACGTGCCAAAGGTGAACTATCTTCAATTTATGTTGCAGCTAGTGCAATCATGAACCTTCCTTACTACTTCGCATCTCAGTACTTGGAGTACGCAGACGTCAATGAAACGTTGTCGGTAAGAAGTTAGAAGAAATTGAAAGATTCAAATCGTGAGTTCGAGATTTGCACGCGAAGACATATCGAAGTTGGCGGCGTGAATGTTTTGAAAGCGGTCGCCACCCTCAACTTCATTGTTTGGTAAAGTTTGAGTCCCAACTTTTCGAGAATAACTTTCTAGGTACGCGTTACCCCTGTTGGTATTACTCTTCATCTATGCGACTATCGGCATTGTTGTGAGTAGAACGACGTACATCACGAAAAACTCGGCCACCAAACTCCTGCCAAGATCAAGTGCGTACTAGGAAATTCAAAACGAGGAGAAAGTTCTTCTAGGTTGGAGATCTGAATCATCCTCTGGGGGAATGACGACAAATAAACGACGCAAGGTTGTTTTTTGGTCTCAGAAAGACCGAAAAAAAAGAAATTGTTTTAGGTGGGACGACTGGCAGTTGGAATCGTCGTCGCTTTTGCCTTTTTCTCATTACCAAGGTACTTGTACTTCATGTGGACTGTTTGGAGAGATCCCATGAGTAAGTTGTTATTTTCATTGTTGATGAAATCCGACTATACACATTTTTTTAAAAACGAGATCATAAAGCTTCGCAAAAAACATAAAAAGCCACATTCGAAAAACAGTTTTTCTCGATCTGCCGTTTTAAATTCTGAAAAACTCAAAATTTCAATCGAAAGATCTATGTAAAAAAATAAGGAAAAATCTTGTTTGCGTCTCCTAAAAATCTCGCAATTTTTGACACTCACGAAATTGATCTTTTTGCAAAATCAAGTTCTCATTTCAACTTTTGCAGTTCCGAGATGTTTGAATTGCCTACAAAATGTGCTGCAGCCAATAAGTTTTCTGCTTCTTTTCTTGAATTCTGCTGTAGATCCCTTTCTGTACGCTTTTTTGTCGACAAGATTCCGACAATCCATCAAAGAAACTTTCGGCTGTGGGAAGAACAGCAAAACCCTTGTGAGTTTTCCCGCTTCCCTTCAAATCGAAACCTTCACGAAACTTGGCACACATCATGATTTTTAGAGACGACAAAATACGGTGGAAATGTCGTCGCAAATGAAACGGAAAACCACGTTAGTAGCAGCGGACACGGCTTTCGACGAAATTGTCGCCAATGAAATTTGATCTTGTTTAATGTACTATTTGTATTATACTCATGATATCATTTTTTCATAAATTATTTTTTGTTTAATCTGTAGAATTCCTTGTTCATCGAGCAAGCCTTCGGAACCCCAACCATGAGAAAAACCGAACATTTTTAGTATTGTGAAATTCGGTGAGGCTGTCAGAGAGTGGATTTCGCCTAACTTTTCTGTAGCAAAAAAGCTTTTTCCATCATGATTCAGACCTTCCTGAATTACGATTAGATCGAATCTACATGTATCAGCTGGAGTTCCAAAAATTTTCGAACTGCAAAAATTCTCAGTTTTCTAGAAACAAGGGCTCACAGTTTGAAAACAACCTATTTTGACCGATTTTAATAGTTATTTCAAACATTGAGATCTTTTTTCTCGAAAAATAGAACGATGTGCAGGTTGAGAGTTTTGAGCTATTACTGATTTACAAGTATTCTGTCAAACTTTTCCACGTTTTTTTGAGTTTTGTCAAATCACAAAGGCAAACTTCAGTTCAAATTATCTTGTACTTCGAGAAATTCCAAACTCGCTCGCAACTTTTCCTACTGTCGAAATTTAAATGCGATTTATAAATTTTGTAAGCAACTCAAGGGTAACACTTTGGAACATATTAATAACCAAATTAAATGTTTTCAGTGCCACCCCAAAAACTTTAAAGAAAAACTTATCTAAGATAGCTGTTAGCGAACTTATTATTAACACCCCCAATCGTCTTTTTATAGTTTATCTTTTTTTGTTCTTCTTTTTTTGCAAGCGGTCGCCGTGGTGCTCATTAGGGCACAATATGACCTTTCTGGCTTTGTTGTCTGTCCAATGTTGTATCATTTATTTCTTATTTGTACCCTAATTATTTGCGTGGTTCTGACAATGAAGAAATAAATAAAGGGTAAAAAAATGGAGGTTTCGAGTGAGGCAGAACTAAACCTATCTAGGGGATTTGCTGATTTTGGTGAAATGGATAATTTTTCGAATTGGTCGGGTAAGACAGTCACTCAGAAAGCGATTTCGACGGTGACGATCAAAAATGTGTTTCATTTTACAGCTTAAATAAGCGCTTCAGTCTTTTTCGTTTGACTGAGAGAAAAAACTGTTTTTAGTTTAACTTTGATAAGACCATTTTTTTCCGAAGTAATTCCAATTTTTTTGAACGAAATCCTACTTCTACTTTTGCGTTCTTGGACAAATTATAATATTTTTTTGTGTGCTACAAATTTAAGAAAGAAAAATGTGCGATTTTCCCGATAATTTACATTTCAGCTTTTTGGTTTACATATCGTCATCTCATTTTCTGCAAATTTGTTGTTTAATACAACTTTGTATACTTGAATTTCTCTCACAACATAATAAAAAAAACCGTAGGCTGATCTTTTTCTAAGTCTCACCAACATCTTCGTTGAAAATCTCCTTCACTCGATGAATTTATATGAAATTTTTGAACTTCAAGCCGATCCAGATTCAAGGTTTACAAAAAAATTTCATTATTATGACACCAATGAAAAAAATCAGCCAAAAGTTTTTTTACAAAGCCACCATCGCGGCGAATAAAAAAATGAATTCAATCAAAAAAATAACACTTCTCTTCGAATTTAGTTGATTCACAGTGAGAATTTGATCATTTTCATTTCGACTATTGCCAAACCCTCGAAAGAAATATTTCGAAACGACCAGAACAAATACCCCGACTGCAGAGACGACGAATGTTTTCGAAAATAGAGGGCGTCAGACACGTCAGACGACCGCTTTCGCAACCGCCTCGCGCTTTCCCTCTCGTCGTCTACGTCTAGAATGGTCTGCAATGTCTCCGGTCTGCGCTCTCTCCTTTGTCTTGCTCCTCCACACACCGCACACTGTCTTCGAAATCGATGCGGAAGAGTCGAGAAAAGGGGAGGGCGGTCGTATAAAAGCAGCCGTCCGATGGTAAGACTCATACGTCTCCCATGTCTCCGTTGCTGTCGCCCCAACCGTTGCTGCCGTTTCAGTTTTCCGACGTCCGTCCGGTGAGATTTTTCCATTTTATCCTTTCTAGTTTTCGGTATCTTCTCCCACCAGCCGTTGACGCTGGTTAAATGATTGGGTTTTGAATCTATGGGATCCTGAGCCTCTCCGTTAAGCGCTGTAACTTCCATCATTTACCGAAGCTAACCGAAATGGCACCCCAAGTTCGTGGACTTATTCCTAAGGTTGGTAAATTGTTTGAGCTCAATTCGTGCGAGGACCAACCCTGTAGAGGTGTCCGAATTATCGTTGCCGTGCTGTTTAGGACGAAAAGCAAAACGCCAGGTTTCAGGTGCCAAAAAGAGCTAGTGGCCTCGATATAGACTGTCGAGCGAAAAAACTAGATAAGAGCCAATTCTCAAAAATGATGCGAAACGGGGCGAAGCGCAAAAACTTCTCCATTCCCGGATCCAAAGGGCACAAACCTACAACTTCCGAGATGATGAAACTCTGAATTCTAATGACCACCTCTGGCATTCAATTCTTGTTTTCAATTCATATTACCTTGTTTTCTTCCACATCGGATTCCAAGACGACCGTTCGCTTGGAAAAGCTAAAAGATGCACGGGGCTACGAACCTTACTTGCACAAAATCATACTAAATAAGAATAAATAAAAAGCATTATTATTTAACACGTGTTGAAGTTGTTGAACAAAAAAGTTATTTCTTTGAAACCTTCAACTTTACATCACGGCCAAAACCTGGCAAATGATACATCTACGCTGAGGTGAGCGCCCTTTTAGAAACCTTTTGCGAACTTTAGCCCGCATGAAACGAGAGAGAGTCTGTGCTGAGGAAATGAAATGAAAAACAATTTTGTACAAAACGCGTGAACCAAAAATAATCCGACCCAATATTGTTGTGGGAGCGTTTTTAACAGGAAGATTGTGTTTTTTTCTTATGACAGCGGGAGAACAAAGAATAATCTTTCAGCAGGTTACCTTTCGTTGGAAAAACAAGAAGGACAAGCTAATATGACTGATAGACCGTGGTAGTGAAAGATAATCAGAACTAGCTGGCAAACATTTGAATAAAACAATCACCTTAAGCATCGAAACATTCTACCGACACCCTACAAAAATCTAAAAACAAATTTCATCTCAAACACTTTCGAAACATTAGGTAGGTGGTACTTTGATGAAACTGCGAGCCATTTTAAAAAGAAAAATGAACAAAGCTC